ATCAGCAAACATGGGATCAACATTCCAGTCTACAAGACAGGTCCAGGGGGAACCTTGAGGGCATTCAGGTTGCCACTCAAGAAGGATTTCTACATTGAATCTGAACAACAACAAGCTGTTGTGTCAGTAGATGAGAAGATCAAGAGGAAAGAGCAAGAGCAACTCTACCTCACTGTCCAGGACAAGGACACCATACAAGGATGGCACAACAGACTAGGACACATGGGTGTCAGTACCATCAAGAAGCTTGCAGCATCAGGACAACTACACATCACAGACAAGGACACCTCTACCTTCAAGATGGAAGAGTGTGAGGTCTGTGCTATAGCCAAGACAACCAGGCTCACCTTTGGTGACATCTCAGTGGCAGCTCAAGAACCACTGGAGATAGTACACTCAGACATAGCAGGACCCCTCAAGCCAGACATCAATGGGAACATTTATTATGTTACCTTTATTGATGACTTGACAGGCTTGACCTGCATAGGTGGTCTGAAGACCAAGACAGCAATGGATGTCCTAGGATGCTTCAAGAACTTCAAGAAGATTACAGAACTGGCTTTCAACAGGAAAGTGCAGTGTCTGAGGACAGATGGTGGTGGAGAGTACCTGGGAGGCATGAAGCCATACTTGCAACTACATGGGATAGTTCACCAGGTCACCACACCATACACACCTCAACTGAATGGCACAGCAGAAAGAGCAAACAGGACACTCAAGGAGATGTGCTCTTCCATGCTCATTGTTGCCAAGATGGACCACAAGTGGTGGTTCCATGCCATGCAATATGCTTGCACCCTCATCAACATGGGCAAGCAATATCAAGGGAGATCTCTGGAGGAAATCATGTGGAAGCACAAGCCAGGATATGGCCAACTTCACTCCTTTGGAACTGAGTGCTGGATCAGAGTACCCAAGGAGGGCAGACTCAAGAATGATCTCACCACCAAGAAAGCAATCAAGGGGAAGCTGCTCCATCCAAACATCACTGGAGCAGGCTACCTGGTGGTCATACAAGAAGAAGGAAGAGATGTCACCCTTACCAGCAGGGATGTTGTGTTCAAGAGGCCAGAGGGAGCTACTGAAGGGAAAACTACTCCACTGGGAACACAGCAACAACATCAAGGACATCTTCCTGATCAACAGTATAGGGGTACCAAGTCACCTAATACTGAGGATGCCTCTGAAGACAAGGAAAATAAAGAAGAAGAACCTCAGAAGGAAGCATCACCACCAGCAGTCAATGGCCCACAAGATCAGCCATTGGACTACAGGGATCCTTCACCTCAGATAGAAGAATCAGAGGAAGAAGAAGACTCTGATGATGAGGATCCCATGCTACTCAGGCCCAGGGCACCTATCAGGAGAAGGTCACCCAGGCTGAACATCATGCAAGAGATGGCACTGGCTAGTGTCCACTCTGCAGAGACACAAGAAGACCCTCAGTCATACAGGGCAGCCATGCAAGATCCAAGGTCTGACTTGTGGCAAGAGGCCATCAACAAGGAACTCAAGTCAGTCAAGGATACTGGAACTTGGCAAGAGGTCAAGGTTCCAGAGGGAGCTAGCTTGGTAGACTCCAAATGGGTCTTCAAGACAAAGCTCAATGAGAGAGGAGAGGTCATCAAGTACAAGGCCAGGATAGTGGCCAGAGGCTTCACTCAGGAGTATGGTGTCAACTACTTTGACACATACAGCCCTGTGGCCAGACTCACCTCACTCAGGATACTGCTCACCATTGTGGCAGCTCAAGACTTGGAGCTCTACCAGATGGATGCAGATACTGCCTTCCTCAATGGCACATTGGAGGAAGACATCTACATGGACTTTCCAGATGGATACCGAAGGCAGGACAAGAAGTCAACAGGACTCAAGCTTGTCAGATCCCTCTATGGTCTCAAACAATCACCCAGGGTATGGTGGCAACTCATCAGCACATACCTGGAAGAGTTGGGTTTCACCAGACTATCAGCAGACTGGGGACTCTACTATCACAAGAAGAAACAGGCATATCTACTACTCTATGTGGATGATGTCCTGATTGCTGCTCAAGAGATGAGCACCATCAATGGCATTAGGGATGCATTGAAGGACAAGTGGAAATGGTCAGATATAGGAACAGCCACCTATATCCTTGGACTCAAGCTGGAGAGACACAGACCCAGCAGGACCATTTCACTCAGCCAGGAAGGCTATATAAAGAGGGTGCTGGACAGGTTTGGCATGCAGGATGCCAAGACAGTCACCACACCACTCTATGATGCCATGATGAAGAGGCAAGAAGACACCATCAAGGAGGACAAGCAGAGGAAGACACTCTACCAACAGATAGTTGGATCCTTGATGTGGAGTGCCATGTCAGCGAGACCAGACATTGTCTTTGCTGTTGGCTACCTCAGCAGGTTCAGCAGTAACCCATCTGAACAACATCTCAAGGCAGCCAAAAGGACTCTGGCATACTTGAAAGGCACCATTGACAAGGTCCTTACCCTTGGTCAATTGGACAATAACACAGGAGGCAATCGACACAGCCTCATTGGATACTGTGATGCAGACTATGCAGGAGACATGGAGACAAGGAGAAGCACTACAGGATACTGCTTCAAACTGCTGGGATCAGCAGTCTCATGGACCTCTATCAGGCAAAGCACAGTGACAACATCTACCTGTGAAGCAGAGTATATGGCTTTGGCGGAGGCTGCCAAGGAAGCCATCTGGCTCAACAGGATGTTGCAGGAGTTGGACTTCGTCATTAAAGACAAGCCAACTCAGATCTACTGTGACAATCAAGGAGCTCTGGCATTGGCCGGAAATCCAGCTCATCACAAGAGGTCAAAGCATATCGACATCAGGTATCACTACATCAGAGAGATGGTGGACAATGGTCACATCACCATTCACCATGTTGGAACTCAGGATCAGGTAGCAGATATGCTTACCAAACCACTGAAGGATATCAAACACAAGCACAACTGCCAGCTCATTCATCTAGAGTGATGGAATGAGAAGATCCACTGTCAGCACGCAATCTTAGGAGGCAAAGGATCACCCTCAGCAAGGATTGGTGCGAACCATCTTGGAAGTCGAAAAGTTACTCCATCCTTTTCAGGATGCGGCTCACTCCAGGATGAGGACTTGGTCTCTAGGAATTGAAAATCGGTTTCAACAAGAAAATGAAGTTACACAAAAACAGCCAAGTCAGAGTGCCTTGACACTAGGAGGACTTTGAGCTTGAGCTTGAGAGGGAGTGTTGGAAATAGGCATGTGATGATTAGTCATCAGCACATGGAAGCAATCTCAACCACAAAGTAAACAGCAGGAAGCAAAAAGGGCAATTTGCAATTGACAACCGCAAACCGCAAACCGCAAACCGCAAACCGCAAACCGCAAACCGCAAACCGCAAACCGCAAACCGCAAACCGCAAACCGCAAACCGCAAACCGCAAACCGCAAACCGCAAACCGCAAACCGCAAACCGCAAACCGCAAACCGCAAACCGCAGCCTTTTGCCTCCATTTGCCCCTTCCCAGAAAAGTATATATAGCAGGCCATTTGGGTCAGATTTCTCTTTCCCCTCTCATGTACTACTTTACTTTTATGCAAGCAACATTGATTCATCTTCACAACAAGACAAGATCAGCAATAGTAACACACCATTACTATTGCCTAGGTACATCAAGTAACCAACCTTGGTGGATCTAGTTGTTACTTCACAACATGCAGACCCCGGCAAAGTTGGCTAGTCCCTTGTGCCCAATTTGCAAAGCTTCCCAACACCATTGTTTGTGTCATATCTGATCTCACCCATCAGCACTGCAAGGTTTCGTCCTTCTTACCAGGCTCACAGGGTGTATGGAAGGTGATCTGCTCTTTAGGGTCCAAAGAGAGCGCGACACCTCAGATACAACAAATATAATTGTCATCAAGTCAACAGAAACCATCTTGCACACATGTGGATAAGTCATATGTGACTTACCTCAAGATGTTGAGCAAAAAATCTCAAGCCTACAATAACTAGTATACAAACTCCTGTCCATCGACTTTAATTGCATATGGTAATGACGTTACCGACATCAACGCCGGACAGATCGACTTTGGCCATGGATGTACAGAGTGGCGACTGCAATCTGTACAAAAGAACCAGAGCATGCCAAAACACTACACATATCAAGCTTGCAACTTCAGTACTTTTCTATGTGAAAACAAGACAAGTGCTGTTTGATCATTAGCATCATCGGCAAGACCATGCATTGCAATAGCAGATCTGAGAAGAACTGAATCAGGCACGTAGGCCAACTTGTACTTGATGGCTTGCTTGCAGGGTCTAACTGAGACAAGGGTGCAGGATCAAGTCAAGGCAACACATACCAGAGATCACAAGTCACACAAACAAGATTAAGTAAGGCTGACTTAGCCTGTAATCAATTTGCTCAGATCAACCAAAAACAAGTCACAATCACTGAGCAGAGGCAAAGCTCAACATGGGGGTCCATTTCATGGTCAATGAAGTTCTCTTACTTCCCACTTGATCAACCAACCACCTCGCTCTTTTGGACACCCAAAGAAAGCAGCAGCAAGGGTAGCTAAGCTTTGAAAAGGTTGACAAAGGTTGTTGTGTATGATGGGGACTTTGTTGTGTAGGAAGACACTAAAGCAGGGTCTTGCAACTAGGTAGTGAGAGCAGTGTACAGTAAAGAGGTAGAGTGTTGTACCCTGATGACCTTTCTCCTGCCTCCTATATATACTCATAAGTAGACTGGGAGTACAAAGATAAGAGGTGATTGTACATTGTACAATGTACAATGTATAAAGTATGGAACATGAAACTATGCGAAAAGTACAAGTCGTTCCCCTGATCCTTTACAACCAACATGTGATTTCAGTCACATAAGTGTGACTTCAGTCACATCAAATGTCAGCAGTCACAACGGTGATCCTGGTCACATGTTGACCCTTCATGCTTAAGATTACACCTTGAGCATCATCTATGATGTCATAGCATGCCAATCTTCAACAACATGTGCGTGTACTCCCCTAAGAACTGATAGGGACGCGGTATTTTCCTTAGAGACACGGTATTACGGGATAGCAGGCGTGAGAGGGGGGGGAATAATTCTTCCCCACAATACAAATCTTGCGCATCACCTCTACAGCGATTTGAGCTGCAGGAGGATTTCTCTGAACAGAATCATCAGGAGACTTCCATAAAAATTACACAGCTGTAATATACAGTGTCTAAACTGCATGAATCCCTTTTCAAGAAACAAATTTGTAGAACTGTTGCCTAGCAAATTAGGGTGAACAGACATGTAGCTCAAATTCGAGCGAAAATTTCCGGATGCAAATATGCTTCCTCGTGCTCTTGTGCCTGCCAAAATACCGCGTCTCCCAGGAAAATACCGTGTCCCTAGCAGTTCTTTACTCCCCTCCTATCTTACGTAAGCTACTGTTAAGATTAGCATGGTATGACATTGCAGGTGATGACGTCATTATAGGTGCAATCCTCAATCACAAAGCCTCATTTTGTAGAATGTACATTGTACTTTGTACTTTGTACAATCTACATGAGCTCCTGTAAAATGCACAGGCTTCAGGGGGTTGTGGCGCCATAGAGGTCCACATCAGCTTTAAAGCATAGCAATGATGTAGCACCAAGAACAGGAAGAAGGCTCGCACAAATATGTCTGCGGTCTTCTATTCCTGAGCGCTCAAATTATAATTTATGATAGGTTTGCCCAGGTTTGGCTGCCATATTGGCTGAGTGGAACATGTCAGTGATGAGGTTCATTATGGCCGCGCCTCGTCCAGTGAGCACTGCCTGATGCCATAGAGCACTGTCTGGAGGCCTGTATGGTTGAGCCTACCCAGGATCTCAAATATTGTGCTATAGACCTCAAAGGTTGACTGGTTTACAAAGGAATTCTTTCTACGCAAGTGGGTTGCTTTTGGGTGTATGATGCATCCAATTTGCAAGGCCAACAGACACAAGACCTAAAGTCATGCTGCCCCAAGTTATTGCAGAACCGCAACTCATTGCAGAGAAGATTTTGGCTTGGATATTGGTGTCAATCAGACTTGCCAATAAGCAAGAGATCCAGCTGAGCTTGCTGTGTGAGCTTCATGAGCCTATAAACGACAGCAAAGCCCATAAATAATGTGGGCAAGAAAAATCGCGATGCTGATATCTGCAATTGATCATATAGTGTTCTGTTTCAGATCACGGTCATCATAATGAATTATAACAGAATCACTTGTCTTTGGGGAGTTTCCATGAATATGGTTATTCACTGCACAGTGATTCTGATGCATTCTTGCAGTCCTACAATTCACAGATACAATCTAGTCACAAACACTGCAAACTGATTGTAAAAGCTGTGAGTCATGTGGCATGATTGGCCAGAAGAATTTAGATGGCATGAAAAAACCTAGATAGTAGAAATTCAATGGCCTAATGCAAGTAAGTTGGAACAACTTGCAGACAAGCTTGGGAGGGGGGGCAACTTTGCCATGGACGACCTTGTGATTGAACACCTGTGAAGAAAAGCATCGTCATTGTGCCCTCCACACTTTTATGCTGGGACAAAACCTAGCCAATCACTAACAAAACATCACATACTCATACAAGAAAATTCTTGCTAGCACCACACAGGACCAAACTGACAGGTCCTGCAACATCCTTACCACTGCACACAGCAACTGTCCACGCGACAAACAGGCGGTCAAGGAAGAAATGGAATGGCACCACACTAGGTGGAGGTTCCGCACCGAGTTGATTGGGAAGCTCCTCACAGCAAGGACTTATCAGTGAGTTGTTCCAATGCGTCATCTGCTATTCTTGCCGTACCCTATCATACCTGTACTGTCTTCTAGGACGAGCTGGCCAAATCTTTCAGTCCTACTCATAGCGACATCGTCAAAGTGCAGCAAGCACAATTGCTGCACCTTTTGATTGGGGAATTGGCTTACAATCAGGGCCTTAGGACTCCCCACACGCCATCCCTTCCTTCCAACACGGTCGATTATCTTTTAAGGTTACCTGTACACCCTTGTGTGACTTCTCCGGATCACCCAGTGCTACAAATTGACTTCCAGGATGGAATGCCAAAAAGCTTTCACCATTACATGCGGTGCAAGCAGGTCAACAATCTCAAAGACCGACTAGAAGGCTTTCTAGAAATGCATACAGACGGGCCGGGGTCAATCAAGCGACATCGGCAATGGAGTACAGCCAACTCCCTGTCAGACCCTCCTACGCTGAGATTTTGAACTGCATGTCAATGATGAGAGACTGGAGGTCGCGAGCTTGTTCAGTTTTGCTGGACCACATAGTGGCAGGGATTTAGGTCGAGGCAGGGCGTGGCACGAGAGGACGGTGAAATCGATTTTTTCGCGAAGTTGTTATGGTGCAATTATGCGATTTGCACCCAAAAAACGCGCATAATTCGACATATTGCGCGATCGATTTAGGTCGACCTAAATCACCTAAATCAAACATTTGCGCCCGTAGGGCGCCGCTCGGAGGCAGAAAGTTAGGGGTTAGGGGTTCAGAGTGGCTGTTTTACGACGTTTCAGTAGTTGTTTTGAGTTGTGAAAGTATATTGCAAGAGGTTAGATTTGCACTGAACAATCTGAATAATAACCTCGAGTCGGACATGTCTAAGTCTTTGAATTCGATCGTTTTAGAAGCAGTAAAGACCAGGTGCAGATCGTATGGTATTGCATAGAACAGTTACAGCATGTACAATCACTTCTTGACCTTCTTATTGCCGTTTTTAGGCTCAGCGATCTCCCACAATTTTACAACTCGATTGTTCGAGTCTTGAGCCTGACGTTTGTCGTCGCTGTAGTAGCGATCCGGGATCTCCTCGCACAGGTCCTTGAGAGCACCAAGAGCACGTACAAGCGCAGCAGTCTTGTCTCGGATGGCGTGGAGATCGTCTCGATTCAACGCGACGACATCTTCTTCGTCTTCGGGGTCGAGACTTTCGACATGACCGTCCATCAGCTCCTGCACTTGCTCTGCGACTCCCTCGCAGCCGATAGCAAGGTCCCAGCCACCTGATTGAACCTTGACGAGGCCTCCCGTATTCACCCGCTTGTCGCAGACGACGCCATCGAACGAACACTGAGCACAGTTCTTGTTCGGTGCAGTTTGCTTGCATTGCACCAAAAGTCCGAACTCGCCGTTGTTGCCCTTGCGTTTGGGGTTCGTCCACATCGCACGACAATGTCCGCACCTATCCTCACCCTTCCTTACTTTGCCCTGACGAGCAAAGAGGGTGAGAATACCGGCCTGAGATATGATACGCACACGATCAAGACTTATCAGTTTGGGTGCAAATCTATCTCGTTGCACCGAAGCAGAAGAAGAACATACCTCGAAGTGATCCGGTCCTTTACCGTTGACACTCCCTCTCTTCTTCAAACAGAGCTCGTATAACCTCTGATCGGTCCAGTACTCCCTAGCCTGCCACAGCTTCTTCAGCCTGGCCAAAGCCTTGGGTTCCCTGTACCCGATCACCCTGTCTCCGACCGTTTTCTCAATCATATACGCCCGCAACTGGGCCCACTCGTCTTCATGGTCATCATCGACGACTGAAATCCCAGTAAGGTGTCTGTTTGTGTGTTCAGTAAGCAAGAACAGATGAGAAAGTGTTAAGTGCAGAACGGTAAGATTGCATCAAGAAGCATGACTTACTCGGCAGGGATCTCGTTGTCGTCCTCGTCCTCGTCCTCGAGCTCGTCCTCCTCTTCACTCAAACGCCTGCTGCTTTTGTAGCTCGAACTCGAGCTCGAGGAGGAGCTCGAGCCCGAGCTGCTCGACGATGAGCCCGAAGAGCTCACCGGGGCCTTCCTCTTGGTCGTCTTGGGGGCCAACGGCGCCATTGGCTTCTTCCCACCCGTTTGCATCCGTAGGGACTGCTTTCGAGGATGGACAGCAGCTTGAGAGGACTAAACAGGACGTTTTAGAGTCAGTACAAGTCCGTACAACTCGATGCAAAGCTTCAGTACTGCAATAGACGACTCACTCCGGCTTCTGCGTTCGACATCGCGCTAAATTCACGTAAAGTGGCTGGTGGCTTGTTTCAGGTGGTTTGACGTGTTCAGGCGATGTTATCTAATGACTAGATTGCTATAGCTACCGTGTAATAACGATCTAGACGTCTAGATGTAAAGAAGATAGATGTGAATCGAGTACAGTGCAGATTCGACGATCGTACGTCTAGATGCTTCTCCGGAGGCAGATTTGCACCCGAGATCATCGTTTCTTTTGTTCTCGTTTCGAGCTCGATTTTTCAAAATCGAGTCAGTTTTACTGAATCGAGTATTACAAGTCTAGAATCAATTATAGAGGCAGATAGTACATCGTGGGTGATTATGAACGTTGTGATAGTGCGTGACAACAAGAACAGAGGGTCTATCGCTTATATTAAGTCAGGAATCGATCGAGAAGCATGTACCGATCTAGTTCATGTCGACATCGTTGCTGTTGCCTCGGACCGCACGTTTACGGCTTTGGAGAAGTCCTGCTTCCTTCATGTGCTCCCTTACAGCCTTCATCACCTTCGTCAGAGTCCCTTGTGGGTATTGTAGCTCGAATAGGGCGATACCAGCTTCGGTGCAAATTTCCAATCCTGTCGTCTGCGTATAGGCACTTGCCAGTAATTTGCGCTGACCGTGAAGCACTTGCATAGCGGTATCTTCCTTGGTGATTGGCTTCGTCACCCACTCATCTGGCCACTCCATCAGGGCGTACTGGTGCTGTCGTTTGTCCCCTGTTCCTGCTTCAAACCACTGAAGCAGCGCTTCTCGAATTGTAGTAACTCGAGGGAGGTTCATCGGACGCTTCCCCATGATGACTTCACCGGATACCTTGAAGCGTAGACGATCATCACGGTTCGAGTGGTCTACTACCATCCTCGTACTGCCTGAAGCAGTGTTTCGAGGAGGATAGAATGGTGCAGAGATGGGTGCAAGGTGTCCAGATTGCACCGGATTCGTCGTGTTCAAAGACAGGCTCGGTGGCATCGTAAACGAGGTCGATGGTGCTGGTTGCTGCAGCATAGGAACCTGTTGACTGCCTGAGAGGGTTTCCACCCTTGCCAGCAGCGTCTTAAGGAGTTCTTCGGCCTGAAACAAGTGAATCGATCGATCAGTATAAAGGTCAAGTTTGGTGCAATTTTGGGAGGTTGTCCCCAAAATTGTACTTACTCTCGACTCCGACTGCGAGTCACCACTCGGTTCGAACGTCTTGATATCTCGCAGCATGCTCCGTATCTCGTCAAACTGCTGCCCTGTCGATCGTTCCTGTTGTTTAGAGAAGGTTCTGAACTCTTGCTTGACCTCTTCTCGAAGACGTTGAATATCCGCTATTGTCGGCTGTAAACCGTCTCCACCATGCTGCTGCAGCACATGCCGGCTAGCAATCCATAGAGGATTCGTGGCATCTCCATGGTACCCTTGTATCTTACTCTGCTCATCCAGCAGATATCGCATCAGGGTCGTCGTCTGAAGAAAAGAACATTGAGCGCAGATCAGTCGATTTGCACCGAAGAAGAACAACTTTCGATCTTTCGTTCCAGAAGACTCACGTGCTCTCCACTGGCCCATCCACCCCACCAGCGGATGATAGGCAGTCCCCAACGGTACGGAGCATAGTTATGCCTCCACTGAGCACCTCCTCGTTGAAGAGAATGGCTACTGAAGTCCGAGGTGGGATTTTGTTCGTTCAGACCGGATTTTTCGCAGAGTTCGTTCCAAATAGCCACCCACGACCTAGGTGGCATGGGTATAGACACGTCAAGCTTGCCACCAGCCTGAATGGCAGGGAGAAGCATGTCCGAGCCAGCTTCAGCGATCGCTGTTCGTTCTATTACGTATTTTCTCCATCGAAGGAGAGGAGGTATCGCCCAGACCTCCATCTCCTCTGGGTCCATTGGACGATGTATCTGGTACTTATTACCTATTCAGAAGACGCATGCAAAGACCATAGAAATGAGTCTACACGTCAGATAAGGATGAAACAGGTTTGAGCGCAGATCGTAGAATCTGCACCCACAATTATGCGGATCCGTCTGATTCGTCTTTCGCCAAGTCAGATAGATGAACGGGATGTCTTGACCGGGGTAATTAGGGTCTGAGCCATGCTCCACGAAGTCAGAGACCTTCAGCTTCAAGCACTCGTCCATCCTTGCCATCAAGAACCACCCCAAAGTGATATACGCTGATGCGTACATCAGCTGCGAATATCGCATCGGATTGTTCTCGGTGACCAGTTCTTGCTCGATGTACCGTACGAGGACCTTCAACTGGGGCAGGAGCAGAGGAGAAGACTGGGAAAAGTCAAGAACTCGATCAGTTTTGGGTACTTCAGCTTCAACGCAACATCAAGAATTTGCACCCACCTGCTTCGTAATACTCTCCTTAGCATGACGTCGCTGTAGCGATTTAAACAGGTCCGTATTGTGGCCATCGTTCACAGGATTGCCTTCCCATCGACCATCGACCTGCCTCCACTCTGCAGCCTGTACGACAGGACAAGGGGACAACGGCAATATCACAAAATGAGTGTCGATTCATCTCCCCACGGATTTGATGCAGATCTGAGATATTGCACCCACATGACACTGATTCGGGAATTGTCCAGCGAAGTACGCTTTCAGGGCTGAACGACTCCCCTCGATCGATCGGAAGCCGACCTGATCCTGCCTGGAGGTCCAGAACAAGAATACCATCTGCGCTGACCGGATACTGAGCACGTCGAAGACGTCGGAGAGATCGGGGTCGTTTTCTGTTCTACTCGCTTGGTAGTTCTTGATCCAGTCCTTGACGACTCTGATATGACCTGCGTAGGCCTTGTTGGTGGTAAGGGCCCTGCGATGAAGGTCTACAGTGTCTTGTCCTTGTTGAAAGAGGGTATTCGAATCGAGGACCGTAGGAACCGAAGAGGAGTCCCTTTGCGTGACCGTAGCACGCTTTCCTCTCCCTGAGCCTCTAGCCTGACCTCTCCCTGCTGGTCTACCACGTTTCTTAGGTACTGGACCTGCCAGAGAATCAGCCTGTTGCGATGTTTGAGCCAATTGCGAGTTCGGTGCAATCTGGCTAACTTGCGGTAAGCTGAAGGCTGGACCCGACGATGAAGAATCACCCATGCCTGGGGGGTAGACGAATCCTGATGTACTAGGTTGGAACCTCTCCATCTCTGCCTCCATCTGAGCTATGTCTGAGCCAAACTGGTCGAACTCGAAGGACACCGGGTTATAACGGTCGTCGACGTCGAGAGATGCCGCGAAGGCTGGCTGATGAGGGGTATTTGAAGGGTTTCGGCTCATTTTGACGGGCTGAGTGATTGTAGGTGGTTTGTTTGTACTGCTAGTGATGTGTATAGCGAAGGACTAGATGTCTAAGACCTTATTTGATGTGTAAAGGCATATTTCGAGAAGTTGCAAGGCGATCGACTTGCACTAAGTCGATAGGTCGTCGACTTCGTCAACATGACGTTAATAATTAATTATTACATTAACACATCATAGCTGTAAGCGGTAAATTTACTGATAACGCGTCGAATTTAGGTCGATTTAGGCCCTGCTAAAGCGTGTCGCATTATGAGGAACATATCTCGTCATATATGCCCTGATAACGTGGCTAATCTCGATAAATGCATGTCTACAGTTGTGTGTTTCGATCATTGATTGTAGCCGACACGCTACGGCTTCTCGGCTTGCTACTGCGGATACACTGTTTTATTTGACTGAATCGATCCCCTTCAATCCTTCTTCGACCTAGCAAGAGTCTGCTGGACCTCTTCCTCCACGCTCGCGAAAAAGTCGCCAGCGGTCTTCTTGGGTCGCCAACCAATTGATCGAGAGTGGTCCGCTCGGCATCGGCTGTTGGTACCAGCGTAATAGGACTGGGTACGGCGGGGTGTCAGTCGCGAGAATCGGCGTAGAAAGATACTTGGGGACTTACGCCATTGTAGTATTTGTCGACCTCTTCCTGCGAGAACGTGGTGGGCTCGGTGTCCTGAGCGATCTTCATGTTGACTAGCACTCGACCAATGGTCTGAGCCAATGCGAATCTAGAATCGAGCAAAAGAAGCAGGCAATCGTAAGACTTTACGTGTTTCCGTGTGACAACTATCGACAATACTGGTTCCTTACTGTGTGTATTCGCCGCTCTCGGCAAAGTAGTAACCAGAGGTTCCGTGATTTCCCTTCTTGCCCGATACGGAGTACTCGTATACTTTTACGAACAGTTCCTGTTTGAATTTGAGATCAGCCTGTGGCGGTTGCGTAACGAGGCGTTGTAAGTGTGCACTCACGGAAGTGTCGTTGATGTGAACGTTGGGCCTAAAAGATTCAATGACGAGTTTTACGACCCGAATGAGCTCGTTGTTCTAGCTGGTAATAAAAGAGGAAAGTACTCACCAGATGTTCTGCCCGTTACCAACCATACCCGCTCGGCCTCGGTCAATGCTAGCCTTGATGAGGTTGGGCACCTGCTGGCTCTGAGGGTTGCCTACTCCCTTTTCTGCGAGCTCGGTCTTGTTGATACCGTAGATGGTGCTGGGTAGAATGATGAAGGCACGGATGAGGGCTTGCTTGTCAGCCTCGATGATTTCGAGGTCAACGTTCCTGTGGAAAGCTGTAGGAGGGAGCGAGTCGAGGAAAAGGACAGGAGGCTTGCCCGTGGGGTTGGCTCGCAAGTCCGAGTAGATGGTCTCGCTCGGGTAGGCACCCCTTGCATCCTGTCAATATGCGCACACTTGTCAATACCGTGAATGCGCGACAGCTGAGAAAGTGATAGGAGACCCACGTCGATAAGAGTACCGGTTCCCGAGGTGTGAATAAGGATGGGTCGGTGACCGGTAGCGTTCTTACGCTTAGCCATACCCTTGAGGACGGCCTTGGTCAAGTCGAGCTAGTAGGGTGAATTGCGGGTCAATTTCACGGAGTTAGTGAAATGCCACTAAACTATACTGCGGCAAACAAGAATCTCGCTCACATCGTCCGAGTCGGCACAGTTGAAGGTGATATCATTCTCGCTGGCGAGCTTTTCGATAAGATCCAAATCCTGGTGGGTACCCTGGACGGCCTTGACCTGACCAGGTCGAATCTGATCGATGAGCTTGGCCTTCTCCTCGGAACGAGTCAGGACCGTGAACTGATGCTTGGTCTCGAGAGCCAAAAATCGAGACAGGACGGCGGATCCGAGGTATCCAGTACCGCCTTATTTAGATACGAGAATCAGCCGATTGTTAGAGCCATACGGAATGACACTGTCGACTGACCTAGGAACAGAACTTGAGATTGAGCAGACATTATTGTGGTTGATAGCGTGTCGTACGTTGTTGTAGTGTTGAGTCTTGTGAGATTATGAGACAAAGGTAGGAGGTGCTTTGGGGAGTGTGAAGCAAGAAGTGAATACGGTGTGGACTGCCGGACTGTGTTGTTGCGATGTCGAGGTCTTATGGGCCATGGGCCACTCGGTCTCGATTTTTTCTGCTCCCACAGGAGGTCGTTCGTGGGAGGTGGAGCGAGGTCGCCAGGACGACAGGGATCACTACTAGCGCACAGACACGCGTCAACCGAGGGGGAAGATGACGAATCCAGGTGCCGTCGGCTGGAGACAAGAATGACGTCAGAGGATCAGAGGTCACGTAATCAGCGGGAGAGTCGAGTTTTGAATGCGTTTCAGATTACACGAGAAGCATCCTCGGCATGTTCGGCGACTTTTGAGGACCAGCCGATCAGCCATCATCCACAGTCCACGATCATCTCAAGCTGCAAGCTACAAGCATCGCATATAGAGTGTATCACACATACCAAGGTAGGTCTTCTAGGTATACTCGACCCCCCTCTCTAGGACGGCTGCATTTCAGCAGCAATCAGCAAAGCTGGATCCAGCCTTACCGCTCGTCGACCGGACCGACACATCGAATGCCGCGCCGCGATGTCCCTTCAACAACTACCTGATCCCCTCGTTGCTCAATTGCGGTCGAATCTGAACATTACCTCACTCGCCTGCGCCTTGAGAGAACTGGTACAAAACGCGCTAGATGCGGGCGCCACTCGGATCGATTGCTGGGTTGATCCTGCTACCTGGTCCGTGAAGGTCTCTGACAACGGAACGGGAATCTCTCGACACGACTTGGAACGAGTCGGAGTGAGATATGGTGAGCCCAGAAAGGGTTTGGCATGTGTTCTTCGGTCGATGGTCATTTCGATTCACCTTTCTCTCGCTTGATCTATAGCGACCAGTAAAGCACGCGGAAAGAGTGAATTGGTCCCCGCAAACACCTTTGGCTTTCGCGGAGAAGGTTCATCTCCCCATATCTCGTCGTCTCAGCGAATCTTCGACCCTGACCCGAGTTTGTCATGCGTTTGTAGCTATTGCATCCTTACAACAGATCGCAGAGGTAGAAATCGTTTCGCGACCGTCTGAGCCAGGCCCGACCTGGACGAAGCAGATGAAGGTGACATGATTCCACTCCCATCACATAGTTCAGAACTGAGTGAACATCGACAAGCAGTACGGTCGAGTATCTTTCTGCGGGCAAACGTCTGGTCACAGGCAACAGATCGGTACTACAGTCACGATACGCCAATTGTTCCAGAATGTGAGGGTTTCGGCAGCCGCGATGTCCTTCCGAACAGTGTTGATCGGAGTCTTCCTTGATCAGATCCCCATCAGAAGAAAAACGGGAAGCCTGGCTGCACAAAGGCAAACATTACTTAGGATCATGGAACGAAGCGCTATCGGCAGCCCCAGAGTCGGAATGACATTGTTCGTAAAGTCGAACAATCGAATCGAGGCGTCCAGTCTAGAAGATTCGTCGTACGAGACGGTCTTCCGGCACAGAAGTCAGCGAGACGACCAACAAGCTTATCGCAAGCTGCTGAATATTCCGGACGATCATCAAATTCTGGTGAGGGTCAATGATAGTTGACGAAGGAGTTTGGCTGATCTGCTTAACATTTCGCAGAGTGTACGAGCTTCCGTTAATTACGGATCCGACAAGCATTCTATAAAGGTAGACGGTATCCTCGGCGATTTTGATAATCATTCGCGGGTGAGTCAGAGTAGAATGGAGTCAATCCACTGGAAGACATATACGCGGGGTCTGAGTGCTTTCATCACCGCAACAGTCGCAACAGTACCTCTGTGAACTACATCAATACCCCGGATACATGTTGTCGGTAGAGGCTTATTCCCTCCTTCTTTTCAGATGTTAACGGATTCCATCTCGAACGGTGTGAACTCCACGAGACTATCGAAGACGCATTCCGTGCTGAGCTTTCAGTGAGTAACTGGGAAACGTATATTCTCGAGGATGCAGCCTTCACGAGCGATACACTATAAACCTCATAGGCTCGAGATGACATCGTTAAAGGAACTCAGCGACGTAGTAAGCTGAAACCGCCTGTATAGCCTCCTCATCCGATCACAATGTCTGACTTTCCGTCGAGGCAGAAAATCCTGACGACGACCTACAAATCACTGCATATCCTCTGTTCGTGATCAAACTGAAGTTGGGTTCGGACCGGACCGACCTGTCTTATCAGACGGACAAGAGCTCGCTTACGCTCCAGGTGAAGACCGATGCATCAGCGCAATATGCGATACCACCGCTCATAGAAAATAGCGCAGGATTTATTTGTTGTGAAAGAAGCCCTTAGCAGGGTCATCCGAGGTCTCTTGGGGAGGTTCAACAAAGCCGACGGACGACCGCCTCATCTAGATTCTAAGCCTACTATTCCGGAGCGACAGTTACAAGAGAGCATACACGGCTGCGAAGACGGGACTGTAATTATGCAGGATCCGATCCGAGAAGATCTAGCCAGAACCTCTAGGATGCCTTGCGCCGAGATGGGTTATCAAGCCGGTTCCGATAGAGCTTTGTCGGTTCCAAACAGCCAGTCACGACACCTCAAATTGTCGAGCATAGACGACCATAGGAAGGGCGCCGTGATCGAACTCTCGACTCTGGCTACGCATAGCGTCCCTCACCAGCCAGTGGGTCTATCGCCCCGGTCACCCGTATGAGAGGTTAGGTTTAACGCTCTGTCTCAAGACTCGCACAGTACCCCCTCGTGTGCTCAGTCCGTCACTACCACTTCGGCCGCTCTCCTGTCTGAAACCAGAGTCTGTGCGACCTCTTTGGATCGACCTGTCCCATCTTGGAATAGCTGGCGCGCAGGTCATCGGTCAGGTCGACAACAAGTTCATCGCTTGCCGGATCTTCGCTCGTGAACGTACTAGTACTGCTGCGCCGGACCGCATCGCAGCGACGAGATGTTTCATCGTGGTGATCGACCAACACGCCGCAGATGAAAGGATCAGACTCGAAAGTATATTGTACGATCTGACAGCTCAGGTCTGCTCAGGTGGCGCTGCTTCCAAGGCATTGATCGGAGACGGGGCAGCTTTGAGATTGACTCCGGCGGAGCAGAAGTTCTTCCGTCAGGTACCCCTGGCAGTTCCGCTTCTACACATATGGGGTCTGACATGCGTTTTACAAGCGGATTCGGACTCTTCTGTGCCCAAGCACGCGTTGATCACCACCGTCCCCAAGCTACTTGCGAATCGCTTAGCATTTGAACATTCGGAAGTAGAACGCGCGTTTCACGACTACGTTGGCAACCTAATCGATCGGGCGGCCAGCGATGCTGCCATTCGCGCTCTCCTGCAGAAGTTCGAAGGTGATGTCGTGGAACCTACCAACGTGTTGAGCTGGTGCCCTCCACGATTTATAGATCTGGCCAAATCTAACGCATGTCGAGGTCAGTCTTTCCGGGTTGAGACGGCCGGTGCCGTGCCGTTGCCTCAGGTTCTATATCCGCTCAACTTGCTCAACTTTCAGGTGCCATCATGTTCAATGATCCACTCTCGCTCTCTCAATGTCAAAAGATGGTCCGCGACCTGGTCAGGACCCGAGACCCTTTCCATTGCGCCCATGGTAGACCCAGTTTGCATGTCCTGTACGAGCTTTCCTCGTAGCACCAACTTGACATTGTCAACCCTTACATCAGCGACTTTGTGCGAGGAGAAAGGCAAAGATGCGTTGTGCCAGAATTATATGAAATATCAGGAATATCGAGCAGCGTGCGGCAAGACTTTGAGAGAGTCGGCCGCGGCTGATCAATGTGCATCTAGTGCATCTAGTCACTGCGATCACCGCCAAAGAAAGAATCCTCAAATCGCAAGTTCGCAAGCGCAGGTGGCCCCGCAACCCGCGATCTCGCGATTCGCGGCCATAACCAGGAATCTCGGAGCTTAGATATCGATTCAACAGCCTGATATGCACAGCATCTCACCCGGTCACCCGGAAGACACAATCAAAACGAAGTCCGTACCTCATATATCGCATGTGAGTTCGTAGCAATATTCGATCTATCCGTCGATATTCTGGTGCTGGGCTGCTAAGTCGTGTCTGTTGCTGGTAGCCAAATGACGGACAGCTCGACTATCTCCCAATTTACGAGACCAGCTTTGCTTTGCACGCCATCTCTGCCGTACGAGGTGATCCAACTGATCATTGAGTGCTATATCGATCTAAGAGCCAAGGAAGTTGGAAAGCTGCTGCTGCGGCGGGAACGCATCGGCCGACAGGAGAAAGAAGTCACTCTCTACCCGATTCTGGCAATATTGATCACCTCAAAGTGGTTTCATAGTACCACAATTCCACTTATCTACAAGGACATTTCGCTCAACTCTCAAAGAGCTTTGAACGGATTCATCATCGGACCCTCATTCAATTCCTACAAGCACGTCAAACACATACATGTCGGATCCATCTCCGGGTCATTCATCTCATTTCGCTCGGCGGAGCAACACTCGGATATCGCACTGGTACACTTGTCTGGCGTAGGTGGATATGATGTGCTCGAGAGGTTGAATAAACTGTGAGCGAGCTCGGCAGCAACACCGTAATGATCGAGAAGTAAACTGAAACCATACACAGCTTTGACATCAAGCACGTAGTCATAGACGATTTCAGGTCTTATGCAAAGGTTTATCCACCACTAGGCATGTTCAGACGAAACCAAGCTATCACACTCCGCTGTGATCCCTTTCGGATATACAACTGTCGGGGTCAGGTCCCTGTCGATGAACGGCTCTTGGGGGGCCCCTTGTTTCACCCCGATCTGTTCCTGGAGATTGGTTGGCCTCGTAACAACACCTTTGACCAGATCTCGACCCGTTATCGTGCCTGGATGTCGATCGGGAAACTCGTCAAGCACTTTAGCGGACACATCGCTTCATCCTCGCCATTCACCCGCATTGTCATCAGCCCTTATCTTGGACAAGATGGGAGTGATCATCGCTTTTGCTTCGGTAGAAACCCTCCCCGAGTCGAAGCTCCACCCAATCGCCCCAAGATCGATTTCCAGTCCGATTGCAGTTGTGGGAACGGAGACAGCAGCGGCTGTGAGCAGCTCGCCTCCTCTTGAGTCTTGGACTTACTGATCGGTGGTCGCTATGCTTACAGTCTGGGAAGAACTCGAAGAATTTATCCTGGACTGCTATTATGAGCTCTGATCTCGGACGACGGACCATCGACCTTCTCAGCGTGAGCCACTGTGCCAGATGAGCCCTGCCCAAATGCGCAGCAACTTCTCTCATCGCATAGCCTATGGGGTTCGGCTTGACTTCCGATAGCACGAGCCTGGCCGGGATTCCTGCTTCTCGACAATCTGCTTGATTCGCATTTGTACTTTCGCCTGGACGTACGATCGAGTTTCCCATACTGTTTGTATCTCTGTGTTCGCATCCAGTATGAGGACATGACTACTACTACTGTACCGACCAGGATAACTGTCCCTTTTGGTTTTGCTTATGTGATCAACTTTTGCCAAAGCAAGTGTCCCTTTTCCGGAAAATCAGCAAAAACGCGATTTTGGAAGCACATTTTAGCGTTTTACGGCATTTCGGAAGCTAATTTTAGCGATTTTGTCGTGGGGACATAGGACAACTGTCCCTTTTTCTCTAGGACGCGGGACAAAAGGGACAGTTATCCTGGTCGGTACAGTACGTGTTTACTCTGAAACCCGCGCTGACGTAAGGCGACCGCAACAAACAAAACAAAAGCGATCAAGGGGTTGGGATGTGACCATCAACTTCAACAACATCTCAACAACTGATAAGAAGCCCAAGCCAGACGATCGGGTGTCCGGCACGCATGTTTGCCATCTGCTGAGATTCTCGGGAAGGACTCAGCTAGAGGCCTAGAGAGGCGTCGTCAGCGACAATCATTACTCGCCGATCATTGCCCTAGTTATCTGTACACATAGCAAGCGGGTTCCCCACCATCACCGTCGATCGAGCAGACATCAGCGTTAGACGATACCACAACAACGAGAGGCGAGCTTTGACATCGAACTCCTGTACGACCACGAAACTCTTCATTGCATCAGCTACCTGAATACGACGTAATCACGCCCGTAGGCATCACATCGCCCCCAGCATCATCAAACGATCTCATTCCGCTCGATAATGAAGCAATACGCATCCTCCCGCTCGCTGCATCAGCAAGTCCAAATGCCTCCCACACCGGAACAGAGATCTAGGTTTGGACTGAAGCAAGCTCAACCAGGAAGCATAGTCGCAACCACCTCTGAGCCGAGAGCAAGTCACTGTCAACCGATCTAGACAGTTGAATGTGCAAGCTGATAATTCTTCCTTTGGCTTGATTTGAATGTGATTGAAACATCGTAGATAGGTGCAGGCTATAGCAACCCACGACAAGCTCCGCTACCTCCGACGACGATGAGTAGAGGTGCGCAAATGTCCTCTCGCCAACAGACGGGTCGTCCTCAGGTGGATCCGGAAGATCTATATGTCCGACAACATCGAATCGGAAAGGGGTCGTTCGGCGAGGTCTACAAAGGTTACGAGAAGAGGACGACACTACCAGTGGCGATCAAGATCATCGACCTAGAAGCTGCCGAAGATGAGATAGAGGACATCCAGCTGGAGATCCAGATCCTCGGGCAGATGGACAGCGAATGGGTTACGAGGTGCTTACAAGACGCTCGCATTTTTACGGGACTTTGCGGCGAGCTGATGCGATCATGACGTCATGTGCAGGTACCATGGTGCTTTCCTCAAGCAGTCTCATCTCTGGATTATCATGGAATACTGTTCGGGCGGGAGTTGCGCGGATCTCGTGAGTTGTCCGCAGAACGCCTGTTCACCTCGAAATTTCAAGCTCAAGCGATCCGGGGGTTGTCAGCTGAAAGCGGTAGGTGTGTTTCGCGAGGAATACATCTCTATACTCGCTCGAGAACTTCTGAAAGGTCTGGAGTACCTCCATGGAGAGAACAAGTTGCATCGAGATATCAAAGGTACATTCGAATGCCGGTGCACGGAGTTTCGCAGGACTGAATATGCATCCTATCTTAGCTGCAAACATTCTTCTCACATCGAGCGGTGGTGGTAGGTCACTACAGACTCTGTTGAAGCGACAATCCGCTAAGGCTTCATGGAGCTATACAGTGAAACTCGCCGACTTTGGTGTGTCTGGGCAACTCAGTGCGACAATGACAAAGAAGGTAAGCGTGTCTTGGCACCTGGATTCGTGGCTCTGACAGAGTCTCATATATCCTTTCTTTTCGGCTCAGAACACTTTTGTGGGAACGCCCTACTGGATGGTAAGTCGAAAGTGAGCTGTAATGTCACGGCATATGAGCTGACGATGATCTATGTTCAGAGTCCCGAAGTCATCAAGCAGTCTGGCTACTCGTATAGCGCCGATATCTGGAGTCTGGGTGCGTGCTTATACCTGGTCTTGCAAGCGAACTCTACTCATACTTAGAAGCAACCCCCACAGGTATCACCTTGATCGAAATGGCGAAAGGAGAACCTCCGTATGCCGATTTGCATCCAATGAAGGTGGGTTGCAGCTTCCCGGTTTCTGTCCCTGGCAATCACTGACTTCGAGTCGTGTTAGGTCCTTTTCCTGATCCCCAGAAACCCACCACCGGTCCTCGATGAGCGATTCTCAAAGCCGTTCCGCGAATTTGTCTCACTCTGTCTACAGCGGGACCCCAACTCGGTATGTAGCAGAGGATGATCGGGACGCTAAAAGGTCGAACTGACATAGCTACCACTGCTGAACGTCTAAATAGCGCCCGTCTGCAAAGGAATTGCTGAAGCATCGTTTCATCCGAACGGCCAAGCGAAAAGAATACCTGACAGAGCTGATCGAGAAGGCGGCTAGCGATCCTGCCGCGAACAAGGAGAATCACGGCCCCAACACCGCCGTACAAACGTTCGTCTCTAGTGGCCTGATCCGAGCGGTCGCACCACTCATCAACTCCGCTTTTCTTTTCGACAGCGCGAAGTTTGGCCTGCCGGATGACAATTTGTGGGACTGTGAGTGATGATCGCAGGTCGGCCGGTCTGCTGGGGCGGGATCTGACCGAGATCCACTACACATGCTAGTTGGCACTGTGAGGAACGCGCTGCATCCAGGGCATAGCCCTTCCGTAAAGTCTACGATCCGAGAACAAGTCAGTAGAACGTCACGACCAGATCACGAATCCTCGGTCTACTGACATTTCCCTCTTCGGTATGTCACCCAGAGAGTGGATCAGCCGGCACAGCCAGAATCGAACTGGACCTCTACTGCTCAGCGAGCGCGAGGACCTCTCCCTCAATTACCTGGACCGCCCACTGTATCTGGACGTCCGGCTCCTCAGGCACAAGGCAGTCATCGGGGCCGCGGAAATGAGATCTTTGAGACCATTCGCCATGCTCCTGCAGCCCCACAAGATCGACAGGTCGGAACTGCTGCAGGTGGGAGCCGCGGTCATGCTCGTGATCGAGCTGGTCATGGAACCGAACTGCAAAGGGAAGGAACCACGAGTCGGGAAGGTACGGAGGACTCGCTGGAAGCTTCTCCTCCTGATACTCCGGGAGCTGCCCGTGACGGAGTCAGGCTAGAAGCTGATCAACTGATCAACAACGGGATGGATGACGCGATGCTCGATTCGGTCATCATACCCGCCCTTGACAATGTGAGGCCTGTAATGAAAGTCGAGACCGTTTCCATCGCGATCTTGCAATGTTGATGCCGCTTCTCCTCATAGTTGTCACTGCGGGTCCCCAACAACGAGGCCCGGCACGCCTTGCAAGCACTTCGACTCGCATTCGAGGAAGCTGAGCGTTACGTCCCGGGTGTATGCGTCGCATTGGTCGCCGAGATCGTGGAAAGCGTCGAGCAGGTGGACGACGATGCCGACTGAACGAGCAGAACGATTGGGGAAGCATCCCACCGATACGATGAACGCCCTTGAAACGACAATATCTCGCGCGAGTGCATGTCGCTTGAACGACTGGTCCGCTGGGAGTGATGACGAGAAATACACGATATCGGCCGGTTGAATCTTCCTTTTTACGTCGATTGTAATGAGTGCCAAAGCATGAGGAACTGGTAAGATGGACCGAGTACCCGTTGTGATGTCCACTTCATGCGATCATCGTGGTCGCCGGCTCCTCCGCCTAGAACGTCTCTCAACCAAGAAATGCCGCGCCTGTCTTGCATCGCGCGACCTCCACTTTGTACACACACAGAGGCCGGGAGAGAGAGATAGACCTGCCTTCCTTTGGTTGACATTCTCGGACGAGCGACCAACAAAGGTTAGATTCTGTACTTTAAGACATAGATCGAGAAGCCCTGTCTTATCAGTTCTCGATCTCACTACTCACGGCAACCTCAAGACCTCTCTATCGTATTGTCATTCCGCCGGAGCTATCCTGCAAGACCTGACCTAAGCAATCGAGATCATCATCATTCCAGCTACTATGGGCATTCCAATCGACAAAATCACCGAAGCTTGTGATCGGTTCCCGAAACAGCAAGGCGTCACTTTCAGTTATGGAACTGCTGGCTTCAGGACCAAGTGAGTTCGGGCTATCGAATGCCAAAGTCATGTCGACTTGGGAGTTTCCTGATAGCTCTACGGCTTGCTGATCAACCGTAACCTCTTTCCCCTGTAAGAGGTGCCACCCTCGCTTCCACCTTGTTGCGAGTCGGCATGCTCGCTGTCTTGAGAAGCAAGAAGCTGGATGGACGTACGATCGGTGTCATGATCACGGCTAGTCACAACCCTGCAGAGGTGAGACGCAGAAACTGAGAATCAAGCGTTTCCTAGGCTGATGCAGTCCGGCAACCGTTTCAGGACAATGGTGCCAAACTCATCGACCCTCGAGGCGAGATGCTGGATCCGACCTGGGAAGCCTACGCAACGACCGTGGCCAACGCCGAGACCGCATCTGACCTGCTCAAAGCGCTGACCCAGCTAGTCGACAGTCTCAAAATCGACCTGACCAAGTCTAGCTCGGTTATCTGCGGAAGGGATACGAGGCCGTCAGGCAATGAGCTGAACGATGCTCTTCAGATGGGGATCAAGGCGATGGGTCAGGAGACCGTCGAGCTAGTGGATCTGGGCGTCGTTACCACCCCATGCGTCCATTATGCTGTCAAGTCGAGAAATCTGAAGGGGGAAGAGCGAAAGGCGTATGGAGAACCGACTCTGGAAGGCTATCTGAGCAAGATCGCTGACGCTTTCAACCAATTGATGGTGGGTCTTCTTCGTTATGACAAGTCGGATCGTACATGCTCAATCGAGCATCTTTGGCAGACCGGAAGACAGTCTACCTCGTCTCTCGTCATCGACTGCGCAAACGGAGTTGGATTCTCGGCGCTGGAGATTCTGAAACCGATGATCAGTTCCTCGTTACCGATTGAACTGGTGGGCACCAATATCGACGATCCCGCGGCTTTGAACAGCAACTGCGGAGCCGACTATGTAAAGACTGGGCAACGCCTGCCTCCCGCCATGACGGACATTCTCAAGCCTGGTCAGCGAGCGTGTTCTCTCGACGGAGACGCCGATCGTGTCGTTTTCTACTACTTGACGACCGGTTCGCACAATGCGCCTGAAGCCGGAGGTCAGGTCCAGACTGAAGGCAAATTCAGGCTTCTGGATGGTGACAAGATCGCCACCCTCGCTGCTGGATACATCGGAGATCTCGTCAAACAGGCGGGTTTGGGCGACAAGCTCAAGATTGGCGTGGTGCAGACCGCTTACGCCAACGGAAGCTCTACTGCTTACCTGAGGAATGCTGTAAGCAGGCAGGACTTCTTCACTCGACGTCTCATCTTGCTAACATGAACCCGGTCTGCACCCGTAGGGTCTCCCCGTGCGATGCGTACCTACTGGCGTCAAGCATCTCCACCACGCTGCCGAGCGATACGACATTGGCGTTTACTTCGAGGCCAACGGGCATGGAACCGTTCTCTTTTCGCCCGAGACGATCGATATTCTCGCCCAGTTCGAACCGTCGACTCCTGCCCAAGACACGGCTGCGAAACAGCTTCGGGGCTTGATCAGCTTGATCAACCAGGCCGTCGGGGACGCCATTTCCGACTTTCTCCTCGTCGAGGTGATCCTGGCTCACAAGCGATGGGGTCCGGAAGAGTGGGATGCAGGATACGAGGACTTGCCCAACCGACTACTCAAAGTCAGCGTCGCCGATAGGAACGCCTTCAAGACGGAAGATGCCGAGCGAAAGTTGACGAGCCCGGAAGGCATGCAAGCCGAGCTGGACGAACTCACGCGCAAGTTTGAAAAGGGACGCAGCTTTGTTCGACCCAGCGGGACCGAGGATTGTGTTCGTGTATACGCCGAGGCGAGCACCGAGCCCGGCGCTATCCGTGAGTGCATGTATTAGTCTGCGGGGCGCTCCATTGATAGCTTACGGTGAGGCCCTTTCTCTCAACTCGACAGAATTGGGCAAGGCGGTACAAGACTTGGTCGAGCGATACTCGTCTTAGATGCATTGGCGCTCGAGCTAGCTCTCGTTGACGCATTGGCAAGATCTTCCGCATCAAGGCAAACGACGGCCCTGTGGCATTGAGCCCTGTAACGAACCTGTAATAACCACGATATCGAATCATACTACGACGAACGCTTTCGATATGAAACGCTATACAATGGCCCGCCAATGCAAATGCCTAACGCCTGCGCACCGCTGGTGAAACTTCAATCCCAATCTCTGTCTATACGACTTTGTCCGCCTGTATAGGAGGAGCAGGCATAGCGCGCACCCGCTCGGGACGGGGTCGCAGCGGTCTGGAACAAGCGCAATTATCGTGTACCCATCCGCTCGACATCTTGCTACGTCGTTCTGCTTCCGCTTCATAAGGCGGCAGAGCGAGGTTCTCCGGGGTACATGTGCACTGTCGAGATCAAAGGGCAAGTTCCGTAAGCCAAGGCGACAGAGATCGATCGGTAAGCTGGTAACGAGACTTGCCGAAGACAAGGTGACGTTGTATGTAAGGACGGCCTTTCTGAGCTCTCCAGGACCGTCCTGCGGCATCTGTCTCCCGTTCCCTTCTTCGCCCCATACGCTGAAGAAGATCTGTATGCTCAGTTCGTGGGCGACTCGTATCGGTGTCACCGTTCTACATCAGAGGTATTTAAGGTGGGTTTTCCGCCTCAACAAGCGCTTCTTCCGGGCTGCAGAGACGAGCGAGGTCGGACTCACCCGGGACAAGTGGTCGGCCTCAACTTTGTCTCATCAGCCATTCGTGTATATTCATCCACCTCCATCCCTGCGATATCTTTCAGATGCTCAGGACCGGGGACCGCCCCGCCATCCCACAGTGGTTCGGCCGTTCGACAGCGAATTTCTTCTTGGGATGGTAACCTCCCCTTGGCGTGTATCAAGAAACGATCGACCAGCGGCGGATGAGGCGAGGCTTTCTCTTTCGGGTCGATAGGGGCGATGGTGACGACCTGGTTGATGTGGAAGCGGATGGCCCAGACGGACGCCAAAGGGTAAGGGTTGTTCAACGTGCAATGTACGGTGACTTCCCCGCCGACAGTAAAGGCATCGGTGTGAGCGCCCCAGGAGACGGTACCAAGGCCGTCCAGTGTCTTGTTTACGTTCAAATCGAGGGGGAGAGGACTGTTGTCCGCCGTCCATAAGGTGATCAGGAGGATCTCGGATGAAACCGTCATGTTGCCCTTGAGCCAGGTAGTCTTGGCAAGTCGATGGTCCAGAGACGCATCCTGGAACTGAGACGGCATCTGCGTATCTGCAAGCTGTTGATTCTTTCATTGTTAGATCGTGAAGACATTTCACTCGATGTCATGGAGTGACGCACCGGTGACAAGGTCCTGACCGGGACCAAGCGGTTCTGAGATGACGAGTCGTTCTTCCTAGCGAACGGCAGACTCGACGTCTCGGCGCCTCCGACCAGCCTAGCCTCGATGTGATGAAACACTCGACCGAAACGGGTCCGATCCGTCCCCGCCAGGTTTGAGGGTACGATGAAACAGTATTCGAACCTGAGATTGATCCATCGAAGCGCGTTTCACCTCGTTAGCCAGTTAGGGATGACTCGCGCGTCGAAAGTCAAGGTTTCGGCCGAAAATGATGCTTTCACTTTCACTCACATTTGTGGACCTGCATCGACGAGGATGCCTTCGTCGCCCGTGCCAGACAACTCCATCACGTTGCGATGAAGGACAACGTCTCGCCATTGTGGGCCTGTAGACAAGAACAGGGATGATCGCAAGGCGTTTTGATGAGCGATCACGCTGGTGTGTGCAGCTGGCAGTTGTGCTAGATGAAGACTAACCACACTGAGCCGTCCTGTTGACCTCTCGATTCCCCCAACCCTTGAAGCTTGACGGGTCTTCCAGCTGCTTCAACGAGGCGGGTAATCTGGCCGTAGTGATATGTTCGACCTGGAGGTATCGAGCTCGTTTCGGTTTGCTAAGGTGAACGATGACGAGCCCCGACAACACGCAGTCGTTTCTCGTGCTCCCGACCGCGGTGTACTGATCCAATGGGACTCCTGGAGGAGGTGGGCGTACGTGTTGAACAAAGTCTGATGTACGGACGATGTTGATCGTGTTCGGGTTCGTAGTTGGAAGGTCTGGAAGCTGGTTCGTGACGACCATGTTGGAAAGTCGAGCGGTTCTCAGGTGGTATGAGAGCCGGGTGACCTGAACTTTTGTCTGAGCTCCTAGACTAGAGATTTTAACGAGGATAGCCACCTCCCAATCGAGTCGGATCACTACATATAGCGTACACTTGTTGTTTCACAGTCGTAAGCAGGAGGTGTAACGTCGAGTATGACTCGATATTATTTTAGCAGCAACTCTAGGGCAACCTTGTGCTTGTTTGTGCAAGTCCCGGTTATACCGGGCCGTTTGTAGCAACTCGATTTTGAAGTTACATATTCATTTTTGCCCTCTCGCGCGCACACATACCGATAACGCTGCAAGCACATACATACTCCGCGGCCGTGAACCTCAAAACTAACTGGTTTTCTACATGAGAACCTCAAAAATTGGGAAAATCTCGTGGCCCAGACCTACCGATTTGGCCTACGCCGTAGACATAGCCCTCAGCCTATCCTTAGCATCCCTCTAAGACCACACTCGTTCAACTCTACACTCTCTTACTACTCTCGTTCACCGTCCTTCGACACCCGTCCTTATCTACAATATGACTACCTCTCCCGCCTCCATGGAAGCCCAGATGGCAGCTTTGACTGCGCTGGTTCACAGCCTCGTTCAACAACGAGCTCCTCAAGCTCCCCAAGCTCCTCAGGCTCCTACGATCCCAGCTCTCTCTCAACCTTCAGCTGCGGTCATCTCCCTCCCTCCTGTCTTTCGATCTACTCGCAGCCTGGATGAGGACGAGGAGGAGGAATCCGAACCGTCTCTTTCTCAACCACAACCGTCTACCAGCCAACGTCCCTCCCCCCAGCATCAACAACCTGCCAGCTACTCGAACGCTGAAGCTCCAGGACGCCGTGTCGCAGCTCTTCTTGGTGCTCAGAAAAGCCAACCGTTCCTACGTCAGCTTGGTGCACCTTCCACAGGATCGGGCACGTTCAAACAACAGAACCGGGGTGGCGGCTATCATCTTGGAGGACACCCGCTGCAGCAGACCTCACGTCCTTCCAAGAAAGCTCCCAAGGAAGTTAAGGTGTGCAAGCTCAACATGGTAAGCGTAGCACAGAGTTGGCAAGGAGATCGTCCTGTACCTGACCTTGTACATGCAATCCAGGTGGCTTTCATTCCGGATGGCTCGATTGTTAGGGATAGGTTGTCTGTCAGCTCGCCTAGAAAGGAGAAGTGGATCGGCTTCCGAGAATACCTCTCTACCAATGGGTACATGCAGCCGCTGCACCTCACCGACGGGATGACTCCCAAGGATATGGTAAAGCATGTCGAAGACATCTTTGCCAAGTCACTCCCGGGCGGATTGCCCAAGCTTTGGCAATGGGCTGCAATTTCGCCTAAGTCCCACTTCTTTCACCAATCCGGCATGTTCTCTCCTTGGCAGACAACTCTCATGGACATTCGCGGGCACTTCCTATCATTGCCATTCGTGTGCATCGTACCGGAAAGCTGGGAGACGGTGACCCACAAGACCTTTCGCAGAGGATTAGCAGAAGCGCTGGGCCAAGATCCCGTCACATGGGCAGACGAGCTGGCTGTGCCTATGCCAAAGCTGAAGCAAGCGGTCATTGAGCTTGATGACGAGGAGTCAGGAGAGGAACGAGACATGGCAGAGCCTGAAGGAGATCCCAGGTGCGACGGGTGCGGAGAAGTCTACCCCGATGAGCGCATGAAACTTCATGTTCAATCATGCAAGAAATTGGGAAAGAGACCGGCTGGACGCAAGGCCATCATTGCTGAGGTCTATGACGTTGATGCATATGAGGAAGCGGATAGCCCGGATGAGCCTGGTCAGTTCCAGCAAGTTAGAGCAACTCGCGACCATGCACCACACTCACCTTCAACTTATCTTAGCTATACTTGCTGTCTCCGACAACGCTAACAAAGTCTCGGATGGAGACCTTCGGGATGTATGCAACCAGTACATCAAGCAATGGGGTAGGAAAAGGTTTGACCTCATGGTCTCGTTGGTGAAGATGGCGAACCCTCTCGTTGAGCCACCTGTGAACCCTATCGCCCAGCCCCCCCTTGAAGTCGACACCGAGCAATCCCCGCCTATGACTCCAGAGGCAAGCCAGACACTCTGGGAACAGCTCTATCAAGCACAGATCCGAGATCTGGGAACGGTGGTTGAGGAGGAGGAAGACGAGGAAGACCTAACTGATCTGCCCGACCTGAACGATGTTCCTGCTGGCGACTCCGGTCAACCGCTTGGGGCAAGCATTTCCGATGTTGGGGACTCTGAGACCTCAGCCGTGGCCCAGGCCGATGCTGAGATCGACGCCATGGTAACTCTGCCTGTGCCTCAAGTCAGCACGCACAAGCGCAAACGTGCTGAAGAAGCGCCTGCCAGTCAAGCCAAAGCTGTTCGACGGTCCGATCGCCCTCGTGTAGTCAAGACTTCAGGCTACAAGGGATTAGCGTAGCTGTTGTGTGTTTCGGCATGCATAAATAAGATCTCGTATTAAATATTGATATACAAAACAAAAAGACCAAGACCTATCGACGCGGCGAGGAGATGCTGGCCCGAGCCAGCCTCTCCGCCAGAGACGTGGGAGCCGGGGGGGCCATAGCAGCGGCGAGCTGGCTCGCTGTCGGCTTGGGCTCTCGAGCCACGGGGATGAAGTACGGGTGCTTGGCGTACTCACACTGCTTGCCGTTGCGCCAGATGCAACGCACGCACTTCCCCGGGTCTCCTGGCATCACGATACACCGTTCGTATCGCTCGTCCATGGCCACCATCCAAGCGTCATGCCCATCCCCACTCCTGGCCATGGGGTCCCTACAATGGTAACACAACATGTCACCATCCATCTCCACCGACTCGGGGTGGTTGAGCAACGCCTCCGCCGACTGCAAAGCATACGAGTATCTTGTTAGTGTTAGGTAGATCACGAATCAAAGTTTAGACACGCGAGCACTGACCTTGGCATTCTTCCACCGGTTGTCCGTCCAACCCGGCGGCATCGATGCGGGCATAACCCACGCCCCAGGGTTCAACCGTTGGGCCTCTGCATGGGCCTTCCTTCGCTTCCCCTGCGGGGTGCTGAACCCCACCACCTCAAAATCGTCGGGAGAGTCCCGATCGAGCTCGCCAAAGAGGTCGGCCGGCCTCTTCGATCCCCGCCGCCCCCCAGAAGTGCCACTCGGCCCAGCCTCCGAGCTAGCGAACAACCTCTCCAAGTTGGCGAGGCGCTCCTCGGCGGTGGGGGTCTTAGGCAAATCTGCCTGCGGCCGGGGGGTGGGGGTGGAGGGAAGGGGACGGAGGGGCCGGCGAGGGAGAGGAGGGACGGGGGTGGCAGGGACTAAAGTGTTTCATAACGGAACCAATAACCACGTAAGCTTCAGCCAAAAGGCTATAATCGATAACCTGGTGTCAGCTTACCCCCGTCCGCAGTCGCCAACATCTCCCGCATCAAGTTCCGGTGGGCCGGAACATCCAGGAGCGTCCTGATCTTGGATTTCTGGGAAAATAGTATAGTCTTAGCTTAGCATGTAAAGGATACCTGCTCGAATCGAACTTACTGCCACCGCCAGGGCTTCCTGCTCCTGGCGAAGGACCTCAGCGGCCCGAGCCTCCTCCTCTTCCGCGATCCGACGCCTCTCGTCCTCTTCGGCCTGCTGCTTCTCCGCGGCCCGTGCTTGCATAAAGGCTGTGTGTAGTCAAACATTACTTGTTTTAGATAGCCGTCTCAAGAACGATAGCTTGCGAAAGGTAGCCAAAGGAAGGGGTTGAGACTTACTGGCCGTGTTGGCCTCCCACTTCGCCCTCTGCTCGGGCGTCAGGCCCTCGAGCCAAGCCTGCCATTCAGCCGCACCTGTTGTAGATAGCGAGGAGGTCTCTTAGATGGCAAATTCCAAAGCTAGACTTTAGCAAACTAGATCAGACTCACCACCACCGGTGAAGGGGGGAATGACGACTTGGTCGTCGGCAGGGGGGAGTTGTCCGGGCATGATCGATATGGGACTCTTTTGAAAGGTGTTCTGACGTGAGGGGTAGGCTTGAGCTGTGCTAGAGTCTGGTCGGGCTTGTCTGGCTTGTATGGGAGAATATAAGAATATCGGAGGGCTTGATGATGGAAGAAGGTATATTCGAGCGGTGTTGTTTACTTATACCTCAGGCTCGTAAGCGACAACAACATCTGAGACGTGTACCCCAGTTTTCTTTTGTTCCATCTGCAGCCTGCGCTGCAGCCATCAAATTCCTTTCGCAATAACAAACTTGTTCGTCTAGATCACTGATTGGCTAATATACAATCATACACCCAATGCCTCACGGCTACATACTGCAACGTATTGAATAAGCCTTCTTGACCTTCTTCGGGACTGTGTTCAGCAGCTGGAGGGAAGTGGGTGTTGAGTGCTTGACGAAAGTCGGGGTCTTTCAGAAGCGGTGGAAGCTGCTCGTGATACCTCTCTACCATGACGTAGGGATCTGTGTCCTGCATGGGAACATCCTGATCTTCAAGACGTTGTTCCGAAGCCCAGGATATGACGTCCGGCCTGGGCCTACGTCTTGATGGCCCAGGCCCATCCTCATTTTCCTCCCAATCGTCCTCTTCTGAGATTCCGTCGTCGTCCGATGGCTGCTCCTCGATGAACCCCCGCTCGTGAATGAGGTCGTCTGTGGGATACAGGTTCAAGTCCATCCCCCGTTGACCTGCTTTGAGCATACCGTCGAGCCATTTCTTCTTTGGCGTCCAGCCTCTCTCTCCGGCCGTAGTGCTCTTGTGATGGTTGTGGGCCAAGACGTGACGCCGGATGGTCAGATTGAGAAGAGGTAAGAAGCAATGATGTAGACAGAAGATGTCCACTGGGTTATCGGGATCCAGTTCTTCCTTGTATTCCAAGTCGGCAAATGTCCGGGAGTACTTGTGAGTAAACTTTTCCCCGACCTCTTTCCAATGCCGCTCGATGGGGGTATTACTGGTTGACTTCCCCCGTATGAAAGGGGCTTTGATAGTATCTGCCGAGACCATCGAGAGATACCAGGGATCAACAAGCGGCTTTGTGAAACTGGTCGTTCATGGTTGAGACTCACGCCGAATAGCTACCATGACCTTCCAAACACCATAGTTCTCTTTCCCGTAGTCCACTCGCACTCGCTGAGGCCAGCCCCACTCCTCGGTCGCCCTGAGAAAGACCTCTTCAACGGTGTCGGCACGGTTATTGTCGCTGGCTTGCATGAATGTGCAGACCCGGCTGTAACCATCAATGGCTCCATGAATGACAAACTTCCAGCGAATCAGTTTATGCTGACCGTCGATGTGCCAGAGCGAATTGGGAAAGGGGACTTTGTACACCCGACGTTTCTGATGAACGGCTTTCCGTAGTCGGACTCCGTCAGGGTCTAGAGCTCGGCTCAGTTCCCGGGCATGTTGGCGGGTGATATGTATCCCTAGTCCTTCAAGATATCCATGAAGCTTGCGATAGCCGACCATGATCCCATCTTGACTGTTGATGCAGTCACGTACATGCTGTTGAAGCAGTCAGAGTCTGGCTCGCTCGCAATAAGGCCAGATGAGGACTGACCTTCCATAACACCTCCTCAGGCACCTGATGCTTGGCCTGACGCTTGGGAGTCTGAGCAAGAGCCTGTCGTCTCCGGATGACCGTGTGTCGAGAGCAGCCTAAGTGATCCGCAATCTCTTGGTCTGTGAACCCCTCCTCGGTGAGTTGGACCAGCATAGGAAGGTTCAGAGCCAGCATATAGCCTCCCTGCGGCCTTGCTATGGTCTCTCGAGGCTGATGGATAGGCCGGTTGTTGAGGACATTCTGATGTACAGCACCGAGCTCGTCCCGCAGATTAAGGGTTGCTCGTCGAACATTGTCGTGCATCTGCATGGGGACCTTCCCAAGTACGTCGGTACTGAGCCATGTGACCATGCTGTCGAGCTCGTGGATGTGTACGGGGATGCGAGCATGATCTCGATCTTCCGGCGATTGGGCTAGTAGAGCTATGATCGGATCGTGCACCTGAGCAACGTATATGTCTAAGGCTTGCTGTATAGCTGCATAGAGATCGTTCGACTGATCATCGAGATGCGTTGACATGTCTGCTGGCTAACTCTGTTGCTAATGAATAGGATAGGTAGTTTGAGGTACTAAGATACATACAACATAGAGTTGTGAGAAGTACGAGGTCCAGGCCTTGTGGCCCAGGCTGATCGGTAGGCCTGGGCCACAAGATTTTCCCAATTTTTGAGGTTCTCATGTAGAAAACCAGTTAGTTTTGGGCTTCACCGGCCCAAAGTTGTATATTGCTCCGCGCGCGGCGACGGTATATGTTTTTTTTTCAAGTTGCTACAACCGGCGCAGTATACCCGGTCGATCGGGATCTGACGTTCGGATTTGGCCGACACGAGCTCGACCTTCGGCCTGGGCAATATCTGTCGACCTGGTCGATCATCATTTCCACATGTCCTGTAGATTTCGCCACCACCACGCCAGCTCAGATTGCTCTGCCTAATAGACAGAATGGGAAGCAGGGAGACCATGTAAACAAATCCTCACAACCACCATCATCGCCCAGCTCAACCGCCATGCCGATTCCGGACAAGCCCAGCAATCTCAAGCCGAACCTTCCACCTCCCTTTCTCTCTCTACCTCGATCCAGGTCTGGTACGACGTCTTCCATACAATCCATCAACTCTGTAGCTACGCTCTGTCCACCTACAGCCTCGAGCAGTGCTTTGACTCCACCGTGGGGACCTTCTTCCGCGGCGAATTCGGGGGCGGGGAGACGAGCTTCGATGGCTCGATATGGTTCTTCTTCCTCCTCTCAACTCGGGCAAAATCGTCGACCTAGTCTCATGTCCATCAAGAGTCTAGGCGGGACGGGTTCGAGTGGGAGTATCTCCAGGACCAGCGTTAGGGGGATAGCGTCAAGGTCTCGCTCGACGCCTTTGACGTCGTCTTCGAGAGAAGGTGGTTCGGATGGCTGCGGAGGTGATTTCGAGTCGGACAATCTTGTGACTTCGCCTCTTCGGACGTCGTACCAGGTGGACGAGGATGAGGATGGCGATCGACCTTCAAATCTTGCGGTAAGATCAGCTGATACCCTACAGCCGGGTGTCGAGCGGAGATCTCCTTCGGAGGAAGCACTACTTCAGTCTTTGAAAGCAGGAAGGGGCGATCCCAGGGAAGAAGAACATACGCTCCGGACGTTTGTCGATTCTCGGCGACAAACCCCGACCGAGAATATCAGGCAAACCGAACCAGAACCCAACTCGGACCTCGATGCTGCAATTAAAACGCCTCGGATTGATGCGGTGCCTATCCCGAACGTTCCAGATACCATGACCGCCACAGAAGACCGAACGATGGGGGAAGAATTTTCCAAGTCTATCGGAAGGCATAGCATCGACACTTTCAAGACTGCACGAGCGACCCCAGCTAACGGGTCGGTTCGTGCGAAGTCTATCGTACATGCTGATCAAACAGCAAGCGAGGTGGAACCGTCACAGTCGCAGCCGGTGGAGTCGGAGACTCGGGATGACATGGCCGTTGAACAGGAGAACGAGGTTGAGACAAGCGTCTCGCCCACTGTCGAGGCACCGGCTGGCCTCGTATGGAGGTTGGGGACTTGGGTGTATAGTTCGATACCGAGTATCCGAGGGGGGACGGTACTGCCAGAGGGGACCTCTCAAGGTGGTACTGCAAGCGAAGTCGATACAGTCGCAGAGGTGCAACCGCAACAGGCGAATGGCGCGACGATGGGTCTGGCCGTGCCCAGCGAAGGAGTGCCAATGGATGTTGATGCGACAGATGAACCTGACAGGGCACAGGTAGCAGACATTGCTGTAGTACCAGCACTTGTTGCTGACGAAAACCCACCGGCCACCCCGATCGGGAATGAACAGCATCCAGGGCCTCCCGTTGCTCGTGGTTGGGGGGACACTTTCCGCTGGCGACAGAGCGCATTACAAACACAGTCGCCTATCGATCAATCCACCAAGGCGGACAATCCTGAAGGAGCTGTTGATCAACCTGAGGCGGGAGCAGCTCCGGGTACATCCGGAGATGTCGAACCTGTTAGCAAGGATTCGTCTGATACATCAATGGCAGCTGCGATCGAAGTCACCGCTCAAGCGAATGTCGTCCCGGGAGCGGTGAACTCGGTCGAGGAACGGCAGGGATGGGCTTCATATTTCAGACCCCGTCGAGATCCGCTCGTTGCGGCCCTACAGCAAAAGGAGGCGACCAAAACGGGAGTCGCGAGCTTGCCTGCAGATTCAACGCCTATTTCGGCAATTGGAGCGATACCTGCCGCCGAGTCTGCAATCACGACGACGGTAGAGGTTGCTCCAGAAACGGCAACGAAGGACGTGCAAGCGACTGTAAGCGACGCATCCGTGCCACCTTCACGCTGGTGGTTTGGTAGATCCGCGTCTGGGACGATGAACAATGACGCGCCGAAAACGCCTCGTAATGAAGTAAACGACAATGAAACACCAGTGACCATCTCCGCCAGTCTTTCCCAACAAGCAGTCACAACTTCTGAGCAGCCGGTCGATGCACAGCGACTTGCAACACCAATTATGACCCCTCCCCTTCGCTCTGAGCGAAGGTTTTCGGGCGTCTCGCGACGAAACTTGGTCTTGCCCTCCTGGTCTGCGACTTTCGATCGACCACCCCGAGGCGGCACTGATACTGCTCGGGATGCCTCTGATCTCACCGCCAGCTTACCGACAGTAGTTAGCGACGGAACAGATTGCTGGAAAGGTGTAAGAAGGGTCGTCGTCATAGGCGTTCACGGCTGGTTTCCCAACTTTACGGCGCTACAAAAGTAAGTCTGTGCTACGATATGCTGGCCAACTATCTTGTCTCAGTGTGCTTTGTTCCAGGGTGGTGGGCACACCGCGCACCTCCGGCTATTTCTGTTCGATGATGGGTCAATCCGTTCTGGCCGCTTTCGAGAACGCTCATGGCGTTGGCGAAGATCAGTTAGACAAGTTGACCTATATACCGCTCGACGGCGAAGGCAGCATCTCGGAGCGGGTGGAAAAGTGAGTGTCTTCCGTGTGGTGTCGTCAGACTTTCCCTGACATACCTGTGAGCAGACTCTTCAAGGTCTACCTGAGCAAGCCGGAATGGGTCAACGATGTAGAGCGCGCCGATGCCATCTTCGTCGCAGCTCATTCCCAGGGATGCATCGTCGCGGCTCACCTGTTGGCCCGGATGATCGAGAATGGGCACATTCACACATCGCAGAGTACCGATCAAACAAGAATAGGCGCACAGAAAGCAGACGACGGTGCAGAACCAATGGACCGGTCGCGCAAAGTGCCTCGCGTCATCTTGTCGTCTTTCTGCGGGGTACATCTCGGTCCTTTCTACAACAGCGCGACTTCAACCGTCATCACTCCGTATCTATGGTTTGAGCATCCGAGCGCGAGGTGATTAGTCCAGACCTTGGAATGAGACGATGATTGTCGTTGACAATTCCACTAAACATTCATCAGGGAGTTATTCGACTTTCAAGATACGTCATCCCGGGTCAGCGAGGACTACCAGAGCAGTCTCCGGTTGATCCTTGATCGTGGCGTTAAGGTGATCTTATTAGCGTCTCTTGACGATCAAATGGTGAGGTCATTGATTTGCTGTGTGACTTCATGCGCTTTGCTGATATCGCGCTACCAGGTACCGATCTACAGCGCATCCTTCTCCGCCGCAAGACATCCACTATTGCTTCGAGCGCTTTACGTGGACTCTTCCATCTCGTCGTCTCATGACTTCATACTCAACCTCATCACTTTGGGCATGATGATTTTGAACGCTGGCTTGGACGATCAGGGTCTGATCAGTCATCTAAGCGAAGCGACGGCGGGCGCTTGGCGCGGCGTGGGGCATTCCTCGCCATACGAGGATCCAGGGGCTTATGATCTGGCCGTAAACTATCTGTTGAAGACGTCAAATCCTGGCGCAGAGCCTCTCGAGGTGGAGTCATTTGGCGCCCGAGACGTCAAAAATGACTACGAACTGCCCTGGATTTTGAGAGGCGTGATGGACGATCCGAAGGTGCAAGAGCTCTTTCCATCGGAAATCAAGGCGCTCAAAGATACCATCTTGTCCTGGCAGCCCGATACACGGGCGTTGAGGGATATCAAGAGAAGGGCAAGTCGACTCTCCCAACCCGTCCTCACCGTGCATGACTGACCTATTCATATTTAGTTGGAGCCCATGGCAGGACGAGCAGCTCGACAGAAACAGAAAGCCGCTCTTCTCCAGCCTTCTCCATCTACCTCGTCCCTTAATTCTGGAGTTGGGGGTACAGGTATGGATCCCGCCCTTATAGGCTTGAACCGAGATTGGTAGGAAATAGGTATTCTCATGTTGTAGTTCCGGAGCCCATAGAATTGTATTGTTATAACGGACCGTCATGTACTTCGACGTAATACCCAAACATGTAACCCTAAATATCAGACATTATTCCGTTTCCGCTTCGAGTTCTTGCGGCGAGATGGTGAGCTCGTCCCCTCCATAGATATTCTTGCTAGGTTGCCACACCATGACGACGTTGTCTTCGGCAGTAGTCGCCAGGTGGAACCGCTTTTCCGGGTTGGGGCACCACGACAGGTCTGTCGGTCTATTGCTGTGTCCGCCATGCACGAACAACAGTTCGGGCGGACCGTCCTCGGCATCGTCCGGGGTTTGCTCTTCGCCAATCTTCGAGACATCCCATAGGTGTACCCGGCGATCGGTCGAGGACGACGCAAAGATGGTGGGATCGTGTGGGGACCAGGCGACTTGCAGAACCTCGTCGTGATGAGCCTCGAAGGAGTGTAATTTTAGATCAAGTCTTCTGATATCCCAGAGAGCCACCGTCTGTGTAGTTGTCGTAAGATGTGTAAGTCGACGTGTATTGTGGACCATGATCGCAATGACTCACGTGATCCCCTGATCCGGTCAACATGAGCGTCGGTGACGCTTTCGACCAAGCTACCGCGTTAATTTCTTCCGCATGACCTTCGACCTGTTGCGACGGTTTGTTGTAGTTTTCTGATCGCGTATCCCAGCTGCGATGAAGCGTATATTAGCGATCGAGGAGACCCGAACCTGATTGATCCTGTCTAGTAGTCCCGCTTACATCATCAATTTCCTGTCGTCTCCCACTGATGCAAACATGTTTGCGTCCTCGGCATGCCAATCAACATCCTGGATGCAGGAATTCCAGCTTAGATACTTGTTCATTGCTCTTCAGTGCGCGATCTGACGCACCTCTACCACGGCAGTATGTCCACGATACGTCCTCAGAGGGTCCAAGGAGTTGTTCCCCTTCTGATAGGATTGAATGTCCCTGTAAAAGAGCCCATTGCTGTCAGAATACCCGATAGAGTAACGAACGCGAAGACTTTCACTTACCAGTGACAAACAGTAGTATCGTCACTTGCACTGAGCACATGACCGCTCTTCAAAGTGCTCCAGCTTAGTCCGTACCTAAAAAACATGCGACGAATGGCTCAGTAACAATGTCTGACCCGTTCTCCGTCCCGATCACGAGACTCACCCCTCTTTCTTCTGTCCCTTCAGCTTGATGTCGGGTCGGCAAATCCCGTCCGTTCCAGGTTCACTCGAATGCTTGGTCCTGTCAAACACGTAGACGTCTCCACTGACGGTCTTGGTAGCTATAAGGTTGGGATTCTGAGGCATATAACGTGCTCGATTGACTTCATTTTGATGGTTGATACGCTGGATGATTCGCATGCGTGCCGAAGATAGAGGGTTGTAGTCGCCCAGTTCTGACGAAGATTCCCGTATGAGACCGATTTCCTCATGCGGAGACGATGTACCATATCGAACTTACCTCCACGAGTCTCGCTGTAGTCAGCCAAGACATCCACCCTTTTGCCCTTGTTGGCCGACCCCTCCTTGTTGCGATCATTACTAGCATCCTGGTCCTCTCCTTCGATACCAGCGTGAGTCTTGGGCAGAATGACCTCGACCAGCATCAAATAGTCCTTGGCCGTTCTCGACGTATGGGTGCCGAGTATCAAACGGTGCTTGGTGTAGTTCTCGCCGGCCGGGCTACATAGACAGATTTGGGTGATCAGGCGATGCGGGTCAGCGATCCATATGTTCAGCTCACCTTTCTACATCGGGAAGCCATTGGCAAGTCAGACTAGGCCAGTCCAAAGCGTGAGAGAGGACCGTATCATATAGGAAGGGCGTGTTCTTCTTCCAGATTTTGTATTCCTACGAAACACCAGACCCTAGTTGAGAATGGCTGTAAGCGACGACTTGTATATACGCAAGACATACCTCGTTGATCCTCTGATACTCGTCTGGCTTGAGAGCCGCCTGATCGACGGTGATGTTCTCGTCGATATCGATGACTTGATCCGTAGGGAAGGCCGACATGGTTCGAGCAGTGGGTTAGATCGTGGTTCTATTCGGAATGATAGTCCGAGCTGTCCGAGATGTGTCCTCCAAGCAGATGTAAAACGAAGGTTACAAGAGGTGGAGTACCACTTTGGATCTCCCATCCCACCTCATCCCATCCTCTTTCGCTCGCGTCGCGTCTCTTGGGAGGTCGAGAGCGCGTTTTTGCTTCCGAAAAAGAGGATTGGTTCATTCATCTATTCGAGGTTGCACACGAAAAGGGATAATCTACATTATCAAAAAACATATATGTACAATCGTCACCGAGCTCGGAATGAAGACAAGGCAACACGGTGATAGTTGGAGCGAAAATTCGAAGGGGTGGAAATTGTGAAACGGCCTTCCAAATCGAGAGCGAAGAAAGAGGTCCCGATCATACTGGAACCACGGACACAGTCTTGTCCTGGGCTTTGCGGGCCTGAGTTCGAATGTCCTTGTTATCGATGGCAATGCTCTGTGGTAATGATCATGGAGAAGTTAGTTCGATCAAGTCGTCCCTGGGAGCTCCGGGCGGCTTACCTTTGTACTCTGCGATAGCGGAAAAGACGTAAAGGGTCACAACGCAATCGATCAGCCTCTCCCATTGTTCGAATCGACAATACCGAATCATCAAGACTTACATTGTTGGTCTTGTAGATTCCTACCAACCGATGACTGAGCTCAAACATGTCGTTTCGAAGAGAGATGATGATGCTGCCAATGAAAGGTTCATTCAGCTATGGTCCGAGCCGACTCTGCGGGTGACATCTCGCTCACAATTGGGCTGCCTCGGTCTTCGACTTGATATAGTTGGCGATGATCGAGACATTACGGAAGTCCAAAGCCGCATCGATCTCGTCCATAAAGTATAGAGGTGTTGGCTGTAGGGGCTAGCGTAAGTTTGGGGAACTTGTCACGTCGTTATTTCTAGTCAGCCTACCTTGAATACGTGAAGGGCAAACACCAGGGCTAGCGAACTGAGAGTCTGTGTAGAGATATATGTTAGACAGATCACTCGTTCGAACGCCTTGCATGCCATCGTGATACTTGCCTTTTCACCTCCCGAAAGATTCGAGATGTTCTTCCAACTCTTCTTTGGCGGCATCACACTAAAGATGATACCCTCTGAGAACGGGTCCATACTGTCGACCAGCTCGAGTTCGGCATTCCCGCCGAGCGTGATCATCTACGATGGAGAAAGAGACGACATCGGTATATTAGTCAGAACTCAGAGATATATACGGCTAAGAGAAGCTTACCTGGTACATCTCCTTGAGTTTGCTGCTGATCGTGCTAAAGCCGACCATGAACTCTTCCAATCGCGTTTTCCGGAGGTCGTCGTATTGTTGCTTGGCTTGGTCCCTGTCTTTCGTAACCATGTCGAGGTCTCTCGCTCGATCGAGGAATTCAATCTCTCGCTTCCGGTATTCAGCCAGCACATTGAGATTGGGTTTCATACGCCCTAGCTCCTCTGCAAATCCGATCAAAGGTCCGGTTAGCCTTCTTGACCTCGAATGGCCAGTAGGGGAATCAGGAATGGAGGTACCTTCTAGCTGCGTGATCTCGGCATTAAGGACGTCTCGATTGAGTCCTTCCAGCTCGTCTGCGCTGTGCTCGACCAGCTGAGCGTCCTCTGCATTCTTGTTCCGTCTGGAGCTGCTTCGAGTCCCCTCTTCTTGCTCTTCGTCCATATCTTCGTCATCATCGTCTTCTTCATCACTGTGCCAAAGTCGGTTCGATCAGTTCACGACGAATGTCTAGCGTGTACTTCAGTCAATCTCACTCGACGTGAACCAGTTCCAGGTCTTGGAACCGTTTTTCCCAATGACGAAGCTTGGCGTTGTGATCCTTCAAGAGCTTCGTTTGTTCGTCAATCTTCTGATTGACCTCGACTTCGAGCGCTCGGAAAGAATTGATGCTCGTCGTCTTCGCCTCGAGTTCCTTCTTGGCCTCGACCAGAATGTCTTGTACATTCTCCATCCCGATCTGCGCCTCGTCCACTTTGCTTTGAATGGTCTGCAAATCGGAAACACAGGCCTTCCAATCCGCCTCAATGGTCTCTAGCTCTGTCTCTAGCTCTTCCATCTTGCCGGTATCAGCGGCGAGCGATTTGTCGAGTTTCTCGGAATCTCGCTCGGCTTTCGACCTGGCTACCTCGGCTTTCGTGAGGTTGTCTCCGGCTAGATCGATCAAGCTTCTGGTGTTCGTCACCTTCGATTGAAGCGCGCGCAACTTGACGCCTCCCACTTCGAGAATCTTTTCTTGTAGATCCTTGATGCGCGATTCTATTGATGATGTTTTGCCCTTGAGCTTGTCCAACTCCTTCGAATTTTCAGCAATCTCTTTGTCGAGGCCGGTTATACGCTTTTGATCTTCGGCATTGGGTTTGGCTTCGTTACTGCGGGCGACGGACATTCGTTAGCGGACTTCTTTAGTAGCTGACAATCTTTACGTACGCGACTTCACGCAATCTCTCCTTCGCGTTGGCAAGCCTTGCATCACTGGTGTTGAGATCCATCTGGAGCTTCTCTAGCGCGATCTCGACTATCGGAATACGCTTCTTGATCGACGCCATCTCGGCTTCAGCCTCCTTGCGGGCGCTCTGAAGCGCGACGAGGTCGGCCTCGGCAAGGGCAAGCTCTTCCTCGTACTTGGCCAGGACCTCTGGTTCTACAGCTTCGCCCGAAAACTTGGAGCTCATGCCTCCCCTTTGAACCCTGGCTCCGCCTCCTGACATGGTACCGGAGGGATCGATCAACTGCCCTGCCAGCGTCACAACTCTCCACCGCTTCTTGCCATAACCAATCCGCTGTGCTTGCTGCAGGTCCTCCGCTACTAGGGTGTTGAAGAGGCCTTTGTAGAATGCTTGAGCGAACTTTGGATCTTTGGGCTTGATCAAGTCGAACAATCGCGGAACACCTTCGGGGGTCTCGATAGGCGCCAGATCTCTCGGTGGAAGCTTGTCTAGAACCATGATAGATGCCCGTCCCACGTTACCTTTCCGTAGCACTTCGATACAGGCCTGTCCTTGTTCGACCGTATCGACGACCAGGTTGTTCAGTGCTCCACAGGCAGTCGTCACAGCAACGTCGTATTTGTCATCGATCACGCCCAAGTCGCCCAATCGACCCTGTTAATCGTCATCGAATTTGAGTCTCTTATGCCTCAGAGTGATCTGAAGGTCACTCACGTGGAACCCCTTGAGCCGCCCCTGCGTCTTCAGCTTCGTCAGCGTGTTCAAAACCGCATTCTCTGACTTGTTTGCCGCCAAAGAGGATTTAGCGTCGTCGCTTCTCTGCCTAGCCGTTGTGGCCTTCCCTTTTGAAGACTCCGCCCTGGCTTGGAGGGTCTGAAGGGAGATCATAAATAACGTCAATCGACGCACAAGGAGTGCATTACGTCGTTTGATCATACCTGGAGCTTGTTCTGCGCGGTCTGAAGTCCTTTTTGCAATTCTGAGCTTTCTTCCGTCAAGGCTTTGTGCTCCTCCCGCTGTACGCGCGAAGGTCCAGGTATGAGCGAGCTGGCAGCGGCTGGTTCTCGGCCTTGTCACTACATACCTTAGACTGCACGGTCTGCATCAGCTCATCCAAAGCCAAGTGCGCCGCGTCGAGGGCTTTCTGACCAGCGATCGCCTTTCCAGCAAGCAAGGTCTTTTCTGAGTTCGCAACGTCCACAGCTGATTGCCGACTGTTGATTTTGGCCACCCATGGTTCGAGTTCCAACTGCAATGTTTCGATCTGGGAGGTGAAACCGTCCGTCTTGTCTGATGTGGTAATGCTTGTGAGTATGACGTTCAGAATCTTCTCTCGGTTATCCTTCTGATCGAACCTTTAAGGCTATCCCTGACTTCCTCCAAATCGGCTTCCTCCTTGACCAAGCGGTGCTCCATCTCGTTGATCTGATTGCGGATCTTGTCAATCTCTTCTCCTTGACTTTCGAACTGATGTGCCGCTTCTGACCGGGCATGGCGATTCTGACGATAGGCACGGTGTCAATAGGTTGTAGATCCACATGGCTATCGCTGAACTCACCTCGCTCAGCGTCTTCTTCAGCTTCTTCTGTTTCGCCGCAAGGTGCTTCTTCTTCTCGCCCAAAGACAGCTCCTCTTTGCCGAACTTCTTGGCGTCTTTCAGCAAAACATCGACATGCTTCTTCACTTCGTCAAAAGCCTCGAGCTTTTCGTCGTAGGCCCGGGTTAGCGCATCGATCTCGGCGAGATTTCCTGCGTTCTTCTCCTGCTCTGCCACAAGTCTTGCATGATGTGTCTCCTACAGTGTGACAAGTCGAATCTCAGTACAGTTCTCTTTCCGACAAGACAATCGAAGAGAGACATGACTTGAACTGACCATCATCTTGTTCGTAATGGTGATGTTGTTGTTCAGGGTATGAATGTGGAACTGATACAGCATCGACTTCTTGCGAGTCAATTCGTTGCTATCCCGAAGATAGGATTCGGCCTCCTGCTTCTTCGCCTAGATATATGAACAGACATCGTCAAAATAAGTCGGATCGAGCATCGCAATTCAGGCGGCCACGAACCTCCAAGCCTGACTTCTCCCGCTCGACCAACTTGAGTCGACCCAGGCGTTCTCCCCTGGCCTCGTTGAATTCGTCGACTTTGATCTGAGCGTCTTCGATGGGTTGCTTGTACTTCGAGGTACCGATGATGTCTTCGAGATATTCCAGAAGACCGTCTTCGTGCTCCGTAGCGCCCTTGGGTTTCATTTGGGCGATCGACTCCACTTCGCCCTGATGATGGATCAGTGAACGACCGGGAATGTCAACTTCTGAGTTTGACGTGGGTAACAGCGGTAGACGCGGTCACTAACCTGGAGGATCAGAAATCGTTTGTGATCGAGATCAATACCGCGACTCTTGAGCAGTGTGGTGACTTCGCTGAAGTTGCTGGTACGATCGTTAATGGTGTATTTGCTCGAGTTGTTCCGATGAGCAGTCCTCGCTACGATCAGTTGCGATCCGGGGACGACTTCATACGCATCTGAGCCAGGCTACGAGGGGTTGATTTTGACGTGTGTCAGCCATAGTATCGGGATTCCGATCAATGCAGCCGTACCTTGTCGATGATCTCCTCGAACCAGACTTCGACGGAACAGCTGTCCAGGTCCTCGCTACCTTCAGAGTTGTGGATCAACTCACTCAGCTTCCCTTGTCGCATCTTGCTGGCCCGATAACCGAATACGAAAAGCATCGCATCGATAGTGTTGGATTTCCCGGAACCGTTCGGTCCGACGATTGCGGAAAAAGACTGCACAAGAAGACGAGATGGTTCAGACGGGAATGGCCGGCAAGCCGACAGAAGCAGAAACGGCTGACCTTGTGGAAGGGCCCGATCTCTTGACGACCTCGATAGCTCTTGAAGTTGACAAGGGCCATTTTCCGAATGACGAGTCGCTTCTTGGGACCCTTCTCGACCACGACTGGCGGCTTTACCTCGACAGGCAGGTTCTGACGGGTTGAAGGTTGCAAGATGGCTTCTGCTGGCTTGGCAGGCGCTGCGAGCGGAGTAGCCGATCGAGAAGCCGCGAAGCGTAACGATTTGTCTATCAAGTCTTCCTCTACATCGCTCGCTTCCGATTCATCTTCTTCGACTTCGGCTGTATCATTCGGTGCTTGAGGCGTCATCTTGTTGGAGTCCCGCGTTGAGGGTGCCTGAATGGTTTCATCGCCATCTTGATCGACCTCCATAGATCCGCCTTCTTCGATGATATCTTCTTCAGAGTCGGATTTGACAACTCGTTTCCGCCGTGCTTTTCCATTACCGGCCTCGATATGGTTGGCAAGGCTGGGGCTTTCAGGGGTAGGGGTGATTGACAGCCTAGCCGAGCGTCTAGGTACTACAGCCTCGTCCGTTTCAACGATGGTGGAGCTGCCTCGAGAAGCTCGAGTCCTCGTCTTTGGCTGAACGACTGCTTCTTTGGTACTGGATGTCCTGCTCCTCTTCACAGTAGCTGTGGGAGCTGTAGCCGGTCGTGCTCCTCGCGCACGGGTCTCTCGCTTTACAGCTACTGGTTCTCGGTCGCTCTCCTCGTCGAGCAGACTGTCCTCTTCCTCCGGTATCCGATCATCTTCCGAATCCCCTTCGTCTTGCAGAGACGAGGCTACACTGGCACGAGTCTGTCGTCGAACTCTTGGTGCAGGTTCGGGAGTCGATTCGACCGTGGCAGTGGACGCAGAGCTCTGGCGCGTAGCTCTTCGAGGTGGCATTGTACAAGTGTCGAAGCCGGCTGCTGGTTACTGTTTGCTGCTACTTCAATATCTGGAATGACCAGGAGAACCGATGTGATTTAGTAATTTGACAGGGTTCAAAGCCTTTCTGGTGGCAGTATCGTATCATTTCGATCGAGGATGAGTAGGACGATCCCCGCGTTTGTTTACACTTTGAAAGGCTCGGCGGATCGGGCGTCACATTCAAAACAAATCGACTAGAGGTCGGGGGAAACGCGTGGGAAAACATGTCTGGCCATAACATATGCATCAAGACTCTCGTTATATAATCGCGCTTGGCTCTTGATGTCACCTTTCTCGCTCAGTGGCATGAGACTACATGTCGTCGAGCTCTTGTGCAGCCCTCTCTGATGACAGCAGCGGTGGAGGCGCAGTTACAAGGTGGTGACCCATCTACCATATGGTAGTACCGGAATACCACAAAGTGCTTGCCAACAAAGCAATCACTAAGATCCAAATCAACCTCCCCGCTGATGTACTTTGAAAGTACTTGACGATTCCATTTCATGTATCGTCCCTAACACCTCGAGCAAATACATTACACGGGATTTTGGCTCTACATCTTGGGGAGGAAGGTCCAGAGTTCGCCTATGACATCCTGCACGACCCGACACGCTGTGCTCGATGATCGCCAATCCGTACCTGAGGCAAAAGACGGTCATCAAGGCTCAAAGCTCGATTTGTGATATTGGGCACGGGATTCATAGTGCTGAATGATACTACATGAACATACATGCCTGGCTCTATACGTCTGTATCTATACCGTAGCCCAGTCCTGCGGCGTCTTGAGCACCTCCATGATCTTGGATTCCCTAGTGCCGTCTCCTGCAACGCCCATGTCGGACATGTACTCCCAGCGCGCTGTCTCAGGCAGACTGCAAAGATGAAGCATTTCAGATTATTAGAAACGACGAATCAGACCACGCTCAAGTTACTGCATACCTCATAAGAATGCTTTCGATCCTGGCTCCCGGGGTGAACAACCCGAATTTGGTACCGCGGTCGTAGACCAGGTTGAATTCGACATACCGTCCCCGTCGAATGAGCTGCCATCTCCTCTCCTCTTCAGTCACCGGCGTGTGTATACGACGCTTCATGATGGGTACGTAGGAGTTCAGGAAGCCATTCGACATGGACTTGACAATGTCAAAAATCTGGTTGGCCGAGGGCTCTCGAAGTGGTTCTTCAGCCTCCAAGGATCCCACGATCCTTTTACCAGGGACAGTATGGATGTCACTGATGGTGGTAAGGTCGTCGAAGAAGATCCCGCCGATACCTCGCGACTCGCCCCGGTGAGGGATCTGTCAAAGCCGAAACATAGGAGATCAGAGCCAGCTACTTCAACCATGTCCGTTATATTGCGTACGTAGAAGTATTTATCCGCCCACTTCTTCCAAGCAGGGTAGTACGCCGTATGGTGCGCATCTGCGGCCTGCTTGATCGAGTTGTGGAAATGCTCGGCGTCCTCGGGATAGAGGTAAGAAGGCGTCAAGTCGGAGCCACCGCCGAACCACCAGGCGATGGGCTCGGCAGCCTTACCAGACGAGGTGCTGACACCAGCAGTGGTATCCAAGGCGTCTTTGGGTGTGCTCGCCTTGTCCAACTCGAAGTAACGGTAGTTCATATGAATGGTAGGCGCGTGGGGGTTCCAAGGGTGCAGTACGATCGAGATGCCCGCCGCAAAGAAGGGCATGCTCTTGTCCTTGTCCTCCTCAGGGATCTCGAGACTCTTGTGGTCTGCCCGCATCTGCTTGATGGCAGCGGGTGGCAGTTTGCCGTGTACGACCGAGACGTTGACTCCACCCTTCTCGAACACTCGTCCTCCCCTTATCACGCAAGAAGAGCCTTCCCCGCCTTGAGGACGGAGCCAATGATCTCGTTTGAATTTGGGGGCTTGCATGTCCGAGTTGTGCTCGTTGGGTGGAACAGACGCCTCGAGCTCCTCGAGGCCGCTGACGATACGATCCTGTAATTCCATCACCCAGGTGCTCATGCTGGCCCATCTCATATACAGATCAGCTACGAACAAGAGTCGACGTCAGGCAGGTCATTGCTTACCGGATACGCATAGGATTCTGAGTAGGGCAGCGAGGTTGCCGAAGATCAGCGGAAGAAGCATGCCTTCAGTAGGCCTCGTGAACATACCTCGGGATCATCCCATTCTTTCGGTCGTGTCGGATCATGCTCATCTCCAATGTTGTTGACGACCTTGTTCTTTCTTCGCATCGTCTCGCCATCGTCAGACTTGCGGTTGACAATCAGATCGTCTACACTCTCGCATTGAACGGCTTGAGACCCGTTTTGCTGTGCAGTCCATCCCGAGTACAAGGCGATTGACAGACCAGCCGCAAAGCCAGCTGCGGCCCTGGAGTACAAGACCTTGCGCGACGAGTCGGCCGGCGATGTGCCTTTTGATACTCGCTGGACATTTCTTACTGCAGAAGATGCGAGGGAACGAGAGCTCTTTGGCATGCTCGTGACAAGCCGAGATCGGATGACATTGGCGGACAACATGTCTTTTGGGAGGGTTTGGCCAGTAGATGACGAATTTCAGGTCAAGCAATCGAGCGATTTCCTCCGTTTTGATTGCACGGTTACTGCAGGCTATGATGGGCTTGATTTCGGTAGACTACAGGCTGCACAGGTTTTCACGAGCTCTGAGAGTTTGCAAAGATATACGACAAGCCAGAAGCAAATACATTCATCTCGATGGCGTCGACCCGATCGACCCCTCGCGGACATTTCCGACCATTCTGGCTGTTCGGTCAAAACCGCGCGCGAACAGGAAGGACTACGGTGATTGTTTCGGCAGCTCGGCAGAGTATCTACGAGTCTCGAGTCGGCTCTTGGTCGTCTTGATTGACACCCGCTGCTCGAAGAAGGCTCGCAAACTCGAGTCGTCCAGTAGCTTCACATAGCTGTTGACACGTCCGCTCAGTCTACGTTGTCTCATGACCGATAGCGCCGCTAAAATCATCGCTTACCTTGTAGAACCTCGAAGAGCTGTCCATCAGCAACGTGCGGGGCGAGTCGAACTCCGCAATACGACCTGCATCCAGGAACAGAATCTTGTCATAGTCGATGATGGCTGGGCCCGATCAAAGCAAATCTATCAGCCTTTTGGTACTGCTATTGTGAACGGACAGTCGGCTCTTACTCGTCAGGCGATGCGCGATTGTGATCAAAGTCGATTCGGTAAATTCTTCGCGAATAGTCCTCGAGACTGTGCGCACGAAAGAGCAAAGAGTCAGCTTTTGCAATGTAGAATGCACCGACACCGACACCAGCTTACTCAAGGCGTCAGTCTCGTCTGCGTAGGACTCGCAAAGAGGCATATCAGCGTTGTGATCTGCGTTGTAAACGTATCAACATTGGTCGACTCACAGTCGATGCTGGCGGTCGCCTCGTCCATGATGAGGATCTTTGGATTTCGTAAAATAGACCGAGCCAGACAGAGTAATTGCTTTTCTCCTTGCGAAAAGTTGTCGCCACCCTCCGAGACGTCGGCATCCAGGTTCAAGAAAACGTTACGATTTCGATTCTCGCCATCCGCTTCAAGAGAATCTTCCGGCTTCAAGAGGTGTACTCTCCGTAGTGCCTCGAAGATGGCGGCATCATCGTATTCATCGAACACGTCCAAGGTAGAGCGGAGCTTGCCGCTCAGGACGGTAGGGTCTTGAGGGATAATCTGGACTCGCGATCTCAGCTGACTCAAGCCGGCCTGAGTGATGTCGATGCCGTCGATCCTGATACTGCCCGATGTCGGTTCGACAAACCTTAGTAGGCTCATCGCGAGAGTACTTGATAAGAGACTCGGTAAGCGCGTGACTAACTGCAAGATAGGGAGAGGGTACCTACCTTTTCCCGCATCCTGTTGCTCCGCACACGCCAATCTTCTGTCCAGGTGAGATGGCGAAGGACAGTTCGTGTAAGACGGTAGGGAGACCAGGAGCATATTGTATAGATAGATCTGGGGGCCGCGAAATATCGATCAAATCACCTGAAAGTTCCGTTGTATAAGAATGACTTACTGTCTACCTCAATTTTGCCAGCGTGCGGCCAGGCGGCAGGCACCTTGTCGGTAAACTCGGCGGCTTCGATCGGGAGCTGACAATACTCGTCCAGTCCTATCAACAAAGTGAATTTCATGTCCGTGTTCTCTATCGCGAAATCATCGGTCGATACTCACGTTCGACCTGCGAACGCAAGAGTCGTCAGCAAGGAAATCGGACTATTTACGCAAAAGTCACTTACTGCCACCATCGACTGCTGTAGCTGAACCCAGCGACGAACTACGAATAGTAAATCGTTGCTAACGCTTAACGCGAATGTCAATGCAAAGCCCGCGAGCGAAGCCGAAGTGGGAGTGACCAGTACGACGACGCCTGTGAGCCCTACAATGGCGGACGACAGTATATTGAACCGAGCGGAAACCCATCGAGAGACGGTCCAGGCGAAGACTGAACGAAAGGCACAAGGTAATCAGGCCCAGAACGGGTCCCACATAGTCAAAAGGCCCGGACATACCTGCACTCGAAATGTTTCTGCGGGGTCCAGCGATGGCAAACCAGTCAACAACCCGTACTTTGTGTACATTCGAGAAGCAGGGTAAGCAACTTACGCATCGGACTGGAACACAATTGGGAATATCAGCGTACAGTCGAGTTAGTAAGTCACCCATGAAAGTGAACTCACAATTTTGGTCATCCGTTCCATCATCGAGCGAGAAGCCCCATAAGCTCGGATCGTCTGTATACCTCCGATCACCTGAGTTGTGAAATTGAACATGTTGGGTCAATCCGTAGTCAAGCCAAAGGAAACGGTCAGGGGATAGGACCCATATGCACTGGGCCTACGACTCACCTCGCTGAACGTTGCATACAGTGGCGATCGAGTCAGAGAGTCTAGTCGCCTTAGATCTCGTGAGACCGGGCCATACAGACTTGATGCCCTGTAGTACAGCGCTCCCAACAGAACAGCTGCTATCATGAATCGCCATCCTCCTACCCAAGTGATAGACCCGAGGGTCACGATCACATTGAGGAGGTAGAATACACTTCTGCCGAAACTGTCTGCAGTAGAGCTGTCCAACCCCTCCATGTCCTTTCCGAACCGATTGAGGGTACGACCCCTGATGCTGGTGTCGTGGAATCGGAGAGTCGCCCGAAGAACCCGTTCAAGCATGCTTCGATGAATCTTCTCTGAAGCTGTGAGTGAGCCCTTGTAAAGTACTGCGAAACGACTTTGGGCCGCCTACAATGCGACATGCTTGAACGACTTAGCAGATTGTTCCGATCACGGCTACATCATTGCTTACTACGGTGCCTAATACGGTTGCGATGGCATATACTGTGATAAAGTAGAGCGGCGTGTGTTTGGGCTGATCATCGGAATAACTCGCAGACCACAGATTCAAGATGTATCGGTCCAGCAAAGGGGGGCAAGCGCCAATGACCGTAACAAGCAAGAAGCAGATCCAAAAGGTTGTGGAACCTTGTGCCCGCAAGTATGTCTTCCACGTTCTGCCTGCTATGGCGCCGGTCTGTCGATTTTCATCTTCGACGAGCTTGCGGGGGACGTGGTGAGGTACCGCATTATTTGCGTCGTCTTTCTGCTGAGCATCACCTTCGGATAAATCTGCGGCTGTGTCGAGAATTTCTTCGACTTCAGGTTTTGAATGCGTTGACATCGAGTCGGTGTTATCGCCTGCAGCCTCGTCAAGCTCTTCTAGATGACCAGCTTCGACAAAGTCCTGAACCGTTCCCGAATATTTGACGTCTCCGTTGTCAAGGAGTACGACATGCGCCGCCACCGGAAAGAGCAGCTTGATCTGATGAGACACGATGATGACTGTTCTGCCCTCAGTTAAAGGTCCCTTGAACAAATTCTTGACGATGGCAGCCTGCGTGTGTGCATCCAGGGCGCTCATGACGTCGTCAAGCAGTATCGTCCTTGCTCTGCTATAGATCGCTCTTTTGACTCGAATCGAGCAGTTCAGCGATCCAAGCGTTACTTTGTTCTCTTGGCTCGAAGCGGACTCACCGTGCCAACGATACACGCGCTCGCTGTCCACCGCTCATATTTATACCTTGAAGTCTCACAGCGAGGGATCAGCGCAACCGATGTGACCTTTTGCGTTGTTGAATGAACCCACCTTTCTCGCCGATCTCGGTCCATTCACCGTCCTCTAGGAGTTCCAGATCCGCCTGCAAGGAACATGCTTGAATGACAGATCGGAATCGGGCTTCATCCTCCGGAGCTCCGAAGATGACATTCTGCCGAAGAGACCCGTTGATCAAGAACGGGACTTGAGAAGCGAAAGCCGTGTTGCCACATAAAATCCAATCTTCTGGTGGCACGGTTCCCCCGTAATCTTCTATAGCCGACACTGGTGATCTTGGGCATAAGATTTGCCCAGCCAGAAGGTCTGCTTCCCCGAGTAGTCCAGAAAGCAAGAGGGTTTTCCCGGCGCCTAAACGGCCTGCCACAATAGAAAGCTGACCGATAGGAAATTCGATGTTTACATCGGCAAGAGTAAACAAGCCCGAGGGGGTGTTGGTGCCGGAAGGTGCCACAGACGCAGGTCCTGTCGTGGCGGTGCCGGATGCCACGTCTCTAGGCCAAGTAAGGGTTGCGCTACGTAGGCTAACAGTGTCATCGGTGTTGTCGTCGTTTCCCGGCACTATTTCAGCCTGACTGAGGTATTTCTGTATCCGGCGCAGCGAAACAAAACCTTGGAGCACGGAAATTGCGGTCTCGGGCAATGCGCTTAGACTGAATTGAAGCTCTTGAAGCACCGACAGGCCAGGAAAGGCCACGGGCGGCGTAAGTTCCTTTTTGGCGATCTGATAGAGTGTTTTGTTAGCGCAGCGGCGGAATATCACCTTCAGGTCGTATGCTCACGATCACGTAATGGAAAAAGGTTACGAGTGTGACCATGACGGGGGTGACGGCCCAGATCCAGTTGAGAACAACTTCGATCAAGTAGTTTCTACGCAAGTACTTGAGTTCTCGAGACCTTATCTTGGTCACCTTGCTCTCGAACTTTCGCTCCCAAGCAAAGAATTTGATCACCCGCACGCTTCCAAGGATCTCGTTCATGACAGCTGTTCTCTCATCGCGAGCTTTCATGAGCTCATCTTGCGTAGAAACCACGATCTTGGACGCGAAGTGATTGAGTGGCAGCGTAACTGTCGCGAGCAGAAATCAGTACGATGCCAGGAATGAAGAGAAATAATGGGAATCCTAACTGATAGAAGCTGCCATGCCTGTTTCGCGATCGAAAGAGTAAGTTTACTCGCCGAAAGTTCGACTTTAAGAGTCTTGAACTGACCATAGATTGCGGAAACACCCAAAAGCTTATAGAGGAAGATCCTGACCAGCGATCTATGAGTCAGTAGAGGCGAGCAAAGCACTGGCCCGGTCAACCTCACCCGCCTACAACGATCTCTATGGGGGAATCGATCTGCCGCTCGGTCTCAGCCGGTATTCTTTTCCAAAGCCAGCTACATCAGGATACTCACAAGTGAAAAAGTGTGAAAGGTGAAGTCTACAAACTCATGGCGATCAGGTCAGCCTCTGTTCTTGCATCCGGTCGACTGTTGCGAATTACCTGCGACTCGATCCACGTCCACGGTGAATAGCGTCTGTACATATGCAACAGTTCAGACGATGGCAAACGCTCGCACGGGTCCTATCATCCGCACTTACCATAATCTGAGCTTTACTGGATACGTCCTCTTCGTCTTCCTCGTCTGGGCCTCCCACATCAAGAGGGCCATCTTTGCTCTCGCCCGCTTGATCATCGCCGGCCTCCGCGAGTCTGTTCTCCTTTGCTTCTGCTTTCGAGCTACCTTTGTTCGTCGCCGCCAGATCCTTCTTGACCAGGGTCTTACTGAAGAGTAGGGTACTCAACTGTAGCTTGATCCTGTTAGACAATTGCGTGCTGGTGATATACCTGGCTCGTTCGAAAGCAAGCCGTTCTGAGTCCAAGCGCGCCTCACAACGCGTCTCAATTGGATCACGACAGGACATACCACAAGATTCCGACTGCCAGAAACATGACAATGTTCGAAGCTGCCAATCCAAAACACATGACCCAACCATACCGGATATTCTTGCGGTCAGGGTTGTCCTGCAGATATTGAGTCAATTGCTGGAGAAATACGGCGGGAAGATAGTACAGCGCGGCGGTAGTTGCAGCGAGGACCACGACCCACTTATGAGAAGAGGAGCGAAAGCTTGAAGGTTAGCCGAAGGGGACAACAGATTCACAAACGCGATAGGCTCACAGTAAACAGGCCCTTATTTGCCCAGAATACCTTTGCCAGCAAATTCCAGCCTTCCGGCAAGTCGTCGAGTCTGCCGAGCATTCCGCTTCGTTTGTGATACCTTTTCAACTTCCGGGTATCTCCAAATACACTTCGCATGAGCCGGAAGTTGTACATTGATCTCATGCTTCGAGGTAAGATAGGAAGCTGCCAGACGTGAAAGGACGTCGACTTCTTTGCTCTGTGAAGCAGTGGCTCAACCTATTGGCAAACGATCGTTCAGCCTGGGTTCATTGCATCGGCAAGAACAGCGACTGCCTATTCTCACGTATAAGAATAATACCGATCCGAGCACCGTACTACTGAGTTCCGGTGTGACGTTTGCAATGCGATCGTTGAGTTCTGGAATCGAAGCTGATCCCTTTTCGTTTTGGGCATAATGCTCTTTCATCGAATCCAACAATTGTTTCGTGAACAGCTTCTCCATGGGGAAATAGAGCTCCGGTCCCCTGGGTATTACGGCCACAACGATAACGAGCGCTGGAAAGAGCAACAATGGTTGAAGTGCTATGTTGTACATGTCCCAGGTGGTCGAGGCCAGGGGTGAGAAGACGTCGTTATCTCCCCGAGCGATCGTCGCATCGGGAAGCATGACGAAAACGATCTGGCAAAGCCAGGTCACCGTTAAGAGGATGGCCTCGTGTAATGTGGTAGCGTAGTGCTGCGGTACGGAGCTTTGAGAGAGATGCAAGAGCCCGAGAGAGAGGGCGTAGACGTGGACGGGTATGATTCCTGCCAGTATGGCCAATGTCGATTTTGCGTAACCGTGATTATTGCCTATATACCATCCAAAAGCGAACAAGTTGGACAATGTTGGGAGGAGCAAAAATCCGAGATTTGCGAGTTTGAGGCGGTTCATCTATGGAATAGCACGATTGTGTCAGGTATATCGTGGACACCGGACATCGCGCGGCACGTACCCGTCTCCAGAAGATCTCCTCCTGACCTTTTATCGGCACCCCGTCGATGCTTTCAGGCCTAAACGTTGCAAATTCGTCCGAGTCCACCGAAACGGCACCCTGATCCGTTTCAACAAGAGTGCGTTCCTCCGGCTCGTCATCTTCTGTAGTCTCGAGTCGAATCGTTCCAGGCTGACTCGGGTCCTTTGGAAGGGTTGGAACGTAGAGGCAAGCAGAGCTCGCGGCAACCGCTATAGGCAACGCCAGCAAGATACGGTGTGTGATATCCATGTTCTGTCAGCTTTTTCCAGTGATCCAGAACTATTGCTTCGGTGGCTCAGATGAGCTAAGATTGCGATTCCCTTCCGAAGTTTGGCGAAATGATCCTCGCTTTTGATGATGGCCTCGATCTCCCTCTTGTCCGGGGTAGGGGCAGGGGGGACAAGTGGCAGGGCAGACTTTTCAATCTGAGAGGAGATCCTATCCTCGCTGTGACCCGAACCGTTCGATGGGGCTCACGAGAATTTGCGTCGAGCTGCGTATTGGTCGAGTCAAGTCGTGCATCACGATTGCACAGATGGTCGCCATCATCATGCAATGCATGCAACACGCTCGTCCACGATCGTCATCGCCCGCACGTCGATCGGTCAAATCCGATCGAACAACGCGCAACGCAGAAAATAGTCATCGTCTTCGGTTCCGAGAACTGGCCCGTAGCAGAAGCGCGCTGAGCGCCGAATACAGCTGAAACGTCATGAACAACTTTTTATACGATGCTTTGCTCTAGCGCTCTAGTCGACTCGGGCAATGTATCGGCATCACACTGATCGATAGAGAACAGCATTTCTGCGAATCCATGCTTTAAACATTACAATCCCGCTCCGCGCTGCCCATGTGGCGCTGTACGAAAGAGTAGCCGAACAGAAGATTTCGACAGCGCTGGCCGTACTGGGGTCCCGGCAATAGTCATCCCAGAACTTGGAGATGTGATGATGCCTCATGGGAGCATTCGGCCCTTCTTCTCGTAGCCCTAAAATGCGTTGTGATGCTTAGGCCAACGCTTAGCCTTGGTGGAGCAGCGGCCCGATAAACTCCTCACATTGAAGTTCCATCATGATTAAATGAGCGAATTGTTTTAGGGAAAAAAAACCTTTGAGTATCGACCCTTACCCCCTCGACTGAAGCACTAGATGTTGAGAATTTACGATTGGCCTCCAGTAGCCGTCGACCGCAACCGAAGCAACAACGAGACGTCCTTGGGGATATTTCCAATACCGCCGTGAACAACAGGAAGCATGTTCCTACTTTCGACGTCGATGGTTTTCAAAGTCCTTCCAGCTGCGGCAGCAAAGGTTCCCCAAAAAGATGAAGTCGTGCTGGCCCCAAACAGCCAGAATGACTAACCTCCCTGTGGGCTCTGCACTAATGAACAAGAGTCATATCGAATTGACGTCCTTGTGTTCGGCTGTTCCCCTTGCCACAGCTCCGGTACTCCTGCCTCTACCACTCAACCCTCCGCCACTCCTGCCTCCACTACCCCTACTGACGCTCCTGGCAAGCCACCCTTTTCAGTGACTTCGCTATGTTCACTCGAGCATATGCTGCTTCTTCGATTTGGCGTAGGACGGGTGGTTCTCGCCCCAGTTGTCATCAAATGGATCGAAGACAAAACGGTACTTGTATGTCGTCCAAAGGGCTTCGTCAGAAACATCTTGCTGATCGTTTATCATCAAAGATAGTACCCGTACTGCATACTTGAAGGACCCAATTCTGTTTTGCACCAAGACATGTTGAACTTGATCTTGTCCCACAGGGCTATGGCACCTTGTTTGCAAGAGGGGTTCGTTCAATGGCCAGTAGTCAGGCCCAGTTGGAATCAGGTGAGTCACATCCGGGTCGTGTTGTTTGACTGATAGTCGATGATCTGCTCTTAGGAACACTGGAAGATGCAAGTCCGTACAGCGCAAAGGCTTAATCTATTCACAGGGAGCGCTGGGAAAATTCGTCTGACTCGATGGGAGAGGGCGGCTGTACTGACGCACGAACACTGAGGTACTGCTACTTTCCTACAATCGAGCAGGCTTGGTCGTACCCCAAATAAGAACATCCTAAAGACCATGTCGATTGAAATACCTTAGCCATAGAGCAGGTCCTATAGGCTTGTCATACTTGATGAGAGAATTGTTTTCATCCGATGACCATTTTTGTGATTCTTCAATGATGCAGTGTGAATCGCATTGAGAAGTTCCCGGCAAGGCTAGAGATAAGGTGAGCGGAAAAGATTCTGTGGTAGATAGATCGCAAGCTGCTTGTCAAGTTCCTGCTCCGTAAGAGGTAGTAGAGCAACATCTTTGCCAGTCTTTCGCAAGTAGGCGGTAGCCTAGATGGCCGGGTGACCCACGGTGGCCAACTGCTAGCAGTAACTATACACTGCCCCTTGTCGCACTTCGTTCTGGTCTACTGAATAGGCATCAGATCCTCAAATGAGCGAGTATCGATGGGCTTCGGGTACAGTATTCAGAGTACCCGATTTGGGACTGAATTTTGCAGACTGCTCGCAGTGGTTGCCAACTTCCGATAGTTGCAGGTCATGAATGGCTCAACCCACAATGTGAACCAAATTTAGCGTCGCGGAGCGGTGAGTGGGCGTTACCGGTTTACCAATAATAAATAACGTTGCGAGATCGTGGCAAGTGATACATTTTACGTTGTACAGATTGAGTTTGAGGCAGCGCTGCTACAAGCATATTCCCATTACCATCGATCAGAAATGTCCGGCCATCGGTCCAGCAGGGACGATCAGGCTGTGTACAGCCTTGACTTGAATCTGGGAATGGGCCCAAGAGAGACTTCGTTGAACCAGTTCCTGCGCCAACTTGACTGCTTCGGTGAACTCCTTGTCCTGTTCGGCCTTGGACACGGGCAAGAGGGCTGTCAAGTATCCCTTGGTGATCCTGATCAATGTACAACTTTACTGTTAGTATCTGCCTCATTTAAGTCTCGTTCCGTAACTTACCCGAGCATGGTGTACAATCCCTGTACATCCAGGAGCAGCTCAAACGATCCATGACCTACGGATATATGCAGGATTAAAACGGTCAGAAGGAGACCCTTTGCATCTAACGGGCACCTAGCTTACCAGTCCTCGAGTCCGGGAAAAGAGCCGCTCGGATCGCCTTGGTGTCACGTTCGGCTTCCTGGTCTCGCGCTCCATACTTTTCGGAGAAGGGTTTGAGAGCTTCGATCGACTGAACGATGAAGTCTTTCAGGATCAACATGCCCGAGGCGATCTCGAAGCTGATCCGATAGAGATTTGATCAGTTGAACGGTCGAGGTTCCAAGTTTGCCACACGAGACCCACTCGTTCTTGAGACGCTTGGAAAGCATGTCGAGGACGTCGCAAATCTCCTTGCTGCAATCATCCCACAAGCCCATGTAATCTGCACGCATAGAAACTTCAGCACGCGAATCTCACCGATCCTTCGGGTCGACTCACCTTCAAGATGCCTGATGCGCTCTTCAAAGTCGTCTTTGGCTTGGGCCTCGTAATACGCTGGGCTCTCCATCTGCTTGACCGCCTCCTTCTGCTTGGAAGGAATGGACACTTTGTCTCCGGTCACTTTAGTGATCTTGACGCCTCCGGTCTTGAAGATCGGTTGCTTCGAGTTGCTGCACAAAGAACAATCAGATGAGCCACGAATACTCAGGACATGTTCCCACCCGAGGACGTACCGATCCCAAGTGGGTTGCGTCAGTTCGTTCGCAGTCGATGCCCGTCCGCCTTCACAGTTGTCGACAACCGATCCGAAGTGGAAGGGAACGAAAATCTGGCCCTTGCCAATCTTGCCGATTTTGACGGGGAGCTCGCATTCACCGTGAGGGGATCGGACCTCTACGTAGTCTCCATCCTGAAAGAAGATCACACGTCAGCACTCGGTGTACCTCGACTCCTACATATTGTGTTCAGCGTACCTTGACATCGAGGTCCTGGGCGTCGTCAGGGTGAACCTGGATGTACGGATGAGGATCGGCCTTGTTCAATCGACTGCTTCGGCCGGTTTTGGTCCTCGTGTGGAAATGGAGATGGTTACGACCAGTGGTCAAGTGGTAGGGGTACTCTTTGCTGACCCCATCGTACGGTGCACGGTAGTGGCACGATTTCAAGATGGCACGCCCGTCCGGGTTCAACATCGCATATTCTTCGGGAGTGATGGGCGTTCCAGTCTCGAGATCGTGACCTGGTCGATGGCGAAACACGTCGTTAGATGCCTTGTATCGATCTGAATACAAGTTGGAGGGTCCTCACCGAAAGATTCCGAATCGTCAGGCTTGGTCATGAATACACCGTTGGTATACTATCGCCGTGACATTGTGAGCCACGTGATTCGACCTTGGAAACAAAGCTCAATAATCGACCCACCAAACGTTCAGTTCCGTTGGGCGAAGTCTCGGCATTGCACGGCCATTGAATACCCGATCCCCCAGTCAAGCTCTCGTACGACATACCCGTGTAGTCGCAAGGACGACCCTTAGTCGTCGATCTCCAGTGGTCGAAAGCAGACTTGGAGTCATTGAAAGGAATCAAGGGCTTTCCGTCCTTGTCCTTGAAGTCCATGCGCCGTGCGTAGTCGAGGAAAATCTCCAGATCGCTCTACAGTGGGCGATAAGCTTGAGCTAAGGAGTCCTTAGTCTGAAGGAAAGACGACAACATACCTTAGCCAAACCAGGGGGTTCGATCGCCTTGTGACTGATGTGAACGGTACGGTCTAGATCATTGCGAGGATTAGCGCGCGCCCGAAGATGGCCCCGGTCTGCACAGACTGGACGCACCGACGTTTGTGAAACAACCCGTTTTTTCTCCCCACATCGCAGCGGGCAGGACCACGTCCGCCAATTGTGTAGTCTCGGTCTCGAAAATGTCCTGAGCCACGACAAAGAGTCCGGGCATTCCCAAGATCGCTCGCATCTTTTCGAGATTGACAAACGAGACGGCCGGGTTGGTCCCGCTGATCCAGCACATCTTGATCGCACCTCCTTGCATTAGGTCGAACATGGACGAAGCGTGGATAGGGTCGGACCATGAGGGAATCTTGTGGGCTTCAATGTTCCAGCACTTGGCCAAACTATAAGGTTGGTAATGATTAGTCGTGGTGTTGACAATATGCTTCGACACAATGCTCACTCCTCCATGTGACGAGGGTTGTTGTTGTTCCTGAACCCAGGGTATTCTCCATCACAACCGGCTTCTCGGTTGTTCTGAGCGGTAGGTTGTCCGTTCATCTATATTTACATCCGGTTTAGCATAGGACCTGCATGGACGCCTTCTTCTGCACTTACCTGGTAGATACCGCCACCGGGTTTACCAATGTTGCCTCGAAGCAGCTGAATGTTGTTGATCTGACAGGCGCTCGCGGTAGCCTGGTTACTCTGGTAGACACCCTGAAGGGCCGTGGCGAGCACCGTCTTGCTGGTCCCGATGACCTCGACCGCCTGTCGCAAGAGTTCCGGGGTAACACCGGTAATCTCGTGTACCCTCTCCGGGGTGTAACCCTCAACGATCCGCTTCAATTGTTCGATCCCGATCGTGTGCTTCTTGACGTACTCCTCGTCGATGTATCCTCGCTCGAACATTTCCCTCTGCATACCGTTGAGCAGAGCCAAGTTGGTTCCTGCAGCAGGTTGCAAGTGCACCGTGGCGAGGTCGGCCGTAGGGGTCCTTCGCGGGTCGATGACGACGCATCGAGGAGGGTTGGGCCCGTGCAGACGATCAAGCATACGGGACCAGAGGACGGTCTGAGTGGCGGCGATGTTGTGTCCGACGATAAAGAGACAATCGGTCACATCGATATCGGTGTACGACCCGGGTTGACCGTCACAGCCGAAAGACTCTCGCTAGATAACGTCACGGGGCAATTCTTTCAGCGACGAAAGTACGAATCCGGTCCATCACCGAACATACCATGGCAGTCGCAGCGGTCGCGGTACAAAGTCGAGTGTTTCCGTCCATAGTAAGCGTCCCCAGTCCACCTTTTCCTACCATGGCGAGCGCGTGGTATTCCTCCAAGAACAATTGACCCGAGGTCTTCAACAGCACACCGACAGTTTTACGTCAGCTATCAATCTCAATCTCGATTCCTCCCCGAGTCTATGTCTGGCTGAGATCGACGTACGTAAAAAGCGATGGCGTGCGGGGTGAGCTTCTCGATGATCTCTTTCGACTTGTTCACGATCAACTCCATAGCCTCGTCCCAGCTGGCGGGTTCGAGCTTGCCCTGCTTTCGGATGAGCTATAGACGCAAAAGGAAAGGAAATCCATCCACCTGAGCCAAGCCTCCCGTCTTCCCTTTCCCAAGGTTCCGGTAACTAACTGGCGTCTTGAGCCTATCCGGATGCCCGTTGTACTCCCAACTGCACATTCCCTTGGGTCCGAGTCGACCCTTGTTGACCCTATCCACCGCCCTTCCTCGGATCCCGACAATCTTGCCGTCTGCAACACCGATATCCGCACCACATCCGTTCTGTGAATGTGCATCAACGATAAGTCACTGCTCAAGAGAGATTGTTATGCGAAGTATAGGCTGGAAACTTGCCGAGCACATGACACCTAAAGTAGACCGATCTCGTCAGCATGGCATCCACACGAATCTGCTTCGTTTTGAGCTTACAAGCCGACTGAACCCATTTCTCGACAGGCGCTTCGATATGTTCATCCACACGTACAGGCCATTGTCCTTCACCGTGGTAAGGAGTCCTCTCACCCTGGAGTTATCGTCGCAAGAGGTGAACGTCAGCAATAATACGCGCGTAGAAATTTGCTGCAACGCCGACACTCACCCAGACGTTGGCGATCGGATCCCTGGTCTCTTTAGGGTAGTCAGGCATTTCAGGTTGATAGCTCGACGTTTGGTCTCGAGAAGGCAGTTCGAGCGATGTCAGAAAGGTTTCGAGGATATGAATTATGAGAGCAACATGACCTTGGCAGAACTCGCTCTCGCTCTAGCCAATGAAAGTGATCGCGTTTTGCAAGGAGGGTGAAAGTGGAGGTCACCTCGGCGTACGTCATCAATTTGCGTTTGCGAGCCACCGGGTACCAGCCGTTCTATATCGGGAACCAAGGGTGACGAGGGGGCACAGTCATATAGCCGGACCTCGGGCAACTCGTTCTTCGCGTCTTCGCTGACATGATCGCCTCCGACCACCTGCGATCCCGATGAAACACATCCCATCACGTCTTCATGTTTCAGATCCCCGGACGCAAGGTTGCTCATGCAGAGAGCTACGAAGTGGACGTAACGTCCTGGCCACTTTTTGGCACTTGCCCACTCCTAGCTACTGCTTCATCACGCATGGCTCGTAAAAGATACCAAACGGCTTGAGAACAATATCATGCGTTGCTAAAGTTGCTAATGAATGGAAAGAGTATCGAGAAGCGAGAAGATCTTAGGAACGGATTGTGTCGATTTGGAAGTGTACAAGGCTATGCCATCCCTGCTTCGTGAACGACGTTCGCAATAGATGATCGCCTGCGATCGCCTGTTCAGTCGTGTACGAGTCGAGTCGTAAGTCGGGGTTTAGAAGCGCAAGACCGTGAATTCGCGCGTGGAAGATTGCGCTTCGATGTGCGCTTTTGTTCTGTCATCACGTCCCAATGGCATCGCGAACAGGGGATCAACCTTTTGCCGCGCGAGGGTCTCCTGCGACAAACGTGTCAGGCTCGCTCACGCACCCCACCCTCAGCAACCTCTCTCGCTGTGGGAAAATCGATCTGGACGATATCGACGACCCGAGTTGAATTCGACCCCCGCACCCGCCCAAATCTTACCCCTCTTCTCTCTTCATCTCGATTCAAATCAATCTAGAACCTTTGATCAAAATGGAGAACGACCAGGTGAGGGAACCTATCTGCGGCGCCGGAACGGACCAGACCTGGAAGGGTCTTTCGGATTCGATGAGAGTGATGGGCAAGGAGGGATTCATCGTGGATTCGGGACCGGGAAATGGACTTGGAACCAGGAAATATATGCATCAGGCTTGATGTAATCTGGACGATGGACGGGAGAGGGAGATGTAGGAATTCAGTATTGGGAGAACTCCGGATGGTCAGGGTTCTGGCTCGGGCTTACGAAGGAGATGAAGCTGGGAAGGAGCCACGGGAACTTGGCAAACCCTGATGCAAGACGATACGGCCATAATTCAAGTTTACGTCGTTGCTGGAACCCTTCGTGGCGAATCAACTATACACGCAGGCATATCGACCTCTCGGCTCAACTCCTGCAACACCAAACCAAGCACCACGACGAATCCCTCTTTGCTCATCGCCCCACGAATCCGGTCCTGCAGGCGGTCCGACTCGTAGCAAACAACGCGCTGACAGGATTGTTTCATCGTTGTAGGGAGAACTCGTTGACCTTTACGTCCCCCGAAAGTGTTCGGCCACCAGTGCGTCCGCGTTCCTGCCAACAAGCCACCTTGTCTGAGCGAATTCGAGATTCCTGACGTCCTACCTGTCTCTACTACCTTCCCGACCCGGAATAGACCGACTCATCACCGCCAAGGACCACGCCTCGATCCAGATCCAGATCGCTGACGTTGGTGCTGACGGCAAGGCCCTCAAGACCTCGACCACCATCGCTCTCTGCGGTCAGGTACGAAGCATGGGTGAGGCCGACGACTCGATCAACAGGATCGCTACCCAGAAGGGAGGTGAGTCATGGCAGAGGGTCTATGATACAAACCGCCGGATGGTTTCGCTGACGCGGGATATGAATCGGGAATGCTTCGAATTAGCTCTCCGAAACGTTTGGTCGTACGCCAAGTAGACGAGCTGGTCTTTGAGGGAGAGATGAAGGGGACCGTCTGAACTCTTACGACCGACTCGCAAGCCAACCGTCATTTCGGGATCTCATTATCGCTTTACATTGGAAACCCCTTTCCATTTTCGACCTACCTTGCATCTCGATAACATCTGGACCATGCTGGAGATCATCGGGATCTGACGAAGGAATGGATGGAATTGCACGGGGGGGACAAGTGGACAAGGGCGGGAACGAGGACCGATACCAAACTAGAAAATAAGGCGGGTCTAGCGAGCTGGAAGAAACGTAAAAGAGGGAGGATGGTTCATCTAGGGTCTTTTCCACTTGTGACGAGTTTCTAGTACTGCTTGTTTTTTTCACGATCGGATTGTTTGGGATCTAGCCACCTCATGTCTGGGTTCATTGGTCTTACTGTTCATTGAACATTTGTGATTCGGGAACCACTTTTCTGGGTGCTGTGATTGCGTCTCTCAACATCGATATCGACCGGTAGCCGGTAGCCGGTAGGCCGCAGCTGGTTGCTTGCGTTGTGTGCGAGTAGTATATATCGCGTCGTTCGGTCACATCCGCGCTGTGCTTCGAATCGAAAGGAGGACGAGATTGAATGTCGATCGACTAGCCACTGGCCACTGGTTCTTCTAGTCTTCCTGCTGGTCTACATCACGTCGAGCCCTGTTCCTTCATCAGACCATCTTCACCGAGGTCACATGCTTGCACGCCGTCGGTCTCTACTTGATGCCGACTCCTAAACCGGAGTCCATCTCCCTCCAAGAACTGTCTTCTGGTCGGAGAATGTCCCAAGCAGAGGAATACGCTGAGGATAGGGTCGACGACTTCTTGTCCGAACACGATTCCTACCTGACCCACGACTCTACCACCCCTCCGCTCAAATACGCAAGACAACGTCTCTGGGGCTCTTTCTTCTCTTTTGGACTGCTCAACAATGTGCTCTACGTGATCATCCTCTCGGCTGCTCTGGACCTCGTGCCCGCCAGCACGCCCAAAGGGATCGTCGCCTTTTTCAATATCTTTCCTGCTCTTATCGTCAAGGGCGCATGGCCTTACCTTAGCAAGGGGGAGATCAGATATAGGAAAAGGATTTATTGGTGCACAGCTTGTTCTTGGGTTGGAATGATAGTAAGTTGTTGGCCTGGTCCCGAAGCAGGCAGTAAGCTCGACTAAGCATGTCCTGCTCCGTATGGGTTCCAGGTCATTGCCATGTTCAATTCGACAGCGATGCGTCTGATCGGGATCGGAATCGCCGCGTTCTCATCAGGACTGGGCGAACTCACTTTTCTACAGTGGTCGACTGTCTTGCCGACCGCATCTCTGAGCGGGACGGCCGTAGGCGGATGGTCCAGCGGGACAGGCGCTGCAGGCCTGGTCGGAGCAGGTCTTTGGTGGGGTCTTCGAAACCTCGGGGTCAGGTTGGGATTGGGACTCGCCAGCATCTTGCCCTTGGGCTTCCCAGCCGTGCTCAATCTCTTACTCCCACCCTTCGAATCGCTAGGCAAGCTCGAGGTGGATCACTATGAACCCATCTTCGCGGCCGACGACGACGCCAGCGAGGTCTCAATACCCCGAGGATCTGAGGATTATGGATCACATAACCCTGGAAAGTTGGATCTCCCCACCGAAGTCATCCTCACGACGCAAGAAAAGATCGAGCTCGTCAAACCGCTCGTGATGAGGTACATGTTCTGGCTGTTCGCCGTCTACGTCTTCGAATATGTGATCAACTCGGTATGTCGTTCTTCAACATCGCTATGAAGAACTATCGAATGGTGAGCTGAACAGCATCCTCTGCAGGGCATCACGCCGGTCTTAGCGTTCCCACCGCCTACGGTTGGAGCCTGGCGAAAAGTGTTCAAGACGACTCGAGACTATTACCCCTTCTGGGCGTTGACCTACCAGTCGTTCGTCTTTCTCTCCCGGTCGTCTCTCTCGCTTGGAGTACCTCCTATCCCTCGAATACTGCTACCACTCCCAGCGATCCTCCAAGGTGTCATCCTCGGCCTGCTCACCATACAAGCCAAGTTCTACGCGTTCTCCTCGCCCGAATTCAAACCTCACCGGGTATGGCATACGGAGGCAGCCGATACTTGGTGGCATTGGATCACTCATCCCTTCTCATCGAATGCCGGGGGTGACCGAGTGGAGACGATCGGAATGGCCTCGGAAGGATCGGATCGGGCGATCACGATCGTCTTCCTGCTCATCTGCCTGGAAGGCTTGATGGGTGGAGCAGCATATTGCATGAGTTTCTACCACGTAGGCAGGGAGGGGGACGAAGAGCCTGACAATGCCAAGCGCAGGGTACAGAAGGCTTTCCGAATGGGAGTCTGTGGTAGTGCCGATACTTTTGGTGAGAAGCGTTTTGCTAGGTCATATCACAAGTCGCCGTATATTGATGCGTGGGCACGATTTACAGGCGTGTTGGTAGCAAGTCTGATCTCCATGCCAGTAGAGGTATCGCTCTGCAACGCTCAGGCAAAGCTTGGTAGCTCTATATGTAAATCCTTGTAGACAGAATTGACCATAGTGGTGATAGACAAACGATACCCCTGGATACTGGCTTTCATGGTTCCGGAAGTCTGAGGTCAGATTTCGCGATCTGCATCTCGAAGCTGCAAGATGATCAAAGTGTGTTAAGAGTTAATCATGCTTCTCATTAACGCACTTTGATCTCGCACAACCTAGTTCTAAGTCTTCGTATACTCTCATCATGCTCTCACTACTGCGCAATATCGTGTCGAACCGCACCGGCCTCGGTCTGATCGAATCGACGCGCTCGTTCTCCACCTCTACCGTTTTGGAAACCAAGTTGAAGACGCACAAGGGAACAGCAAAGCGGTGGAAGGCCATCTCTAACGGATCAGTATGTCTAAATCAATCAACGACCCTAGTCCTTTGATCCAATGCTGATACGATGCTGTTGAACCAATGATCTGGTAGTTTAAGCGGGTGAGTCCGAGCTTGAAGCGTCTGCTAGACCCCTTGATGCGTTTTGCTACTAGAAGCTGAAATGTTACCGCTCTTCAAACGCCTATTCGTATTCTAGGGACAAGCTGGAAAGCAGCATCTGAACTCGTCGTTCCCTTCTTGGCGGATAAGCAGGCTCGGTCGGACAGTCTACTCAACGGCAACCCAGGTGAGCGTTTTCGGATTTGCAGGTCCGTAATCTGGCTAAGCCAGGTCTCCCTCCTTCCCCTTCGGCAGACCCGAACTTTGAAGCGACTAGTACCATATGCATGATGACGGAAAGGAGATCCTGAGGCTGGCTCAGGAAGAGTTTGTAACCTTTAACGACACCACCTGCATCCAATATACAATCATACAACTCCGTCAAGACAGAGAGGAGAGGGTCTCCCGACCTTATCCACTTGAGCCGTTACAAGACAACCACAGCTGCTACAAAGACAGTACTACGCTCTGAGTACCTATCTCCTCAGGAGTCAAATAGATACGGCCGGACGACACGGCTGAAAAGCATGTCAAGTCCGTGTCTAGGATCGATGCGCTCTCCGATTGCGATCAGGCGTCCTAGGCGAGTCCGAGGCCCCATATAATCGTCCCGGCCGAGGGTCCGCATACCATCTAGATCGACAACCGTGGCATGACCGTCATCCTCCGTCCATGGCTTCCATCCCATCGCGTCGCCGCCGAGACAGATGAAATCGATAAGCTTCGATCTCCATTCCCGGATGACCAGTTGTTGAGTGATGTCGAGACGATCTTCGAAGGCGCCGAAGAACGAGACGATATCGTAGGTATGATTGGCATACTTTCCTGGTTCGAGCAAACCATCGAAAGGGGTCGGCAGCTGCCACAGCTGGAGATACGTTCTAGTCGTCTCAGGAGGACCATCGAGCATGTGCTGAATATCGATCGGGACCCCGAACGAGCCCTCCCGCGCTGCACCCATCGCCTCGTAGATGGTGGGCAAGATGAAGCTCAGATCGGTTTCCAGCTGGTTGATGGCTCGAAGAGTATCGTCATCATCGGTGTTCAAGTAGATCCCATAGAGATCAAACAGATCTTCCGCAATCGATTGACGCAAATGCTTTTCCGCCAGATCCCTGAACGCCCGAGTGTGATCCTGTCTGCGCGACTTGTTTGATTTGACAGCATGATACGTCACGCCACCGTCAAACTTGGCAGAGCTGACTATCTGCTCCTGAACCCATCGCTTGGTCGGTTGATAATAAGGATCGCGTGGCAGGTTGTTCACGCCTGAACCGAGAATAGTGAGCAAGGAAGCCTCCCTATACGGTAGCATTTCCGTCTCTAGACAAGGAGTACCGTGCCAACCCAAGTCGCGGAATACGTTCACATCGGCTTGGTTGATTAGATCGTGAGCCAACTCCGTGGTCGTCCTTCCGGTCGTCTTGCTTCCCAGCCTTTTGGCGATACGCACAAATTTCCCTTCGTGCTGACTCCCAATCATCGAGGGCATGCATAACAGACTGCCAGAAAAGAGTATGCTCTTCCGGTAAGGCCTCTCGGTCTCCGGCATATCTGCATACTTGGGCAGCAGGTTATGTATGCTCAGGCTCTCGGCCCCGGCACTCTGACCAATGGTCGTGATGTTGCCCGGATCACCCCCAAACCCTGCAATATACGCCTTGACCCAATCGAAAAGGACCGTCTGATCGTGAAACCCGTTATTGGGAGGTAAGAGCAGTTCCCCATCCTCGTCTCTCGCGCTGGGAGAATGTAGGTAGCCGAGGGCTCCTAGACGATAGTTGGCGGTGACCAGTATCAGAGGCTTGTCCGCCTCGATTGCCTGAGCGAGCAGTGTCTCGGGAGCGTAGAAGGATCGATCGCCGGATCCCCATATAAAGGCGCCCCCATGCAAGAAGATCAAGACCGGCAGCTTAGCTACTGGCGCACCGCCCTTAGCTGTCTCATCCGCTTTTGGGTTGGGGACATAGACCGTCAGATTGAGGCAATCGTATTCGCTTTGATTTCGCCCTTCTTCCGGCGCGATGAGGTCCGTCGGTATGGACTGCTCGCCAGCGTCTAGCCTCGGAGATTCGAATGGCTGAATAGAGGTAGGACCTGCTTTAGTTGCATCGAACATCCCACTCAGCGTCCATCGAGCTTCGAGCGATGTCTGCAAGGTCGATCGAGCAAATCGGCGTGGGATCTGAGCGAAAGGGATCCCACGGTAGACGGTCAGGCCTTCGTCCCGGACGCCTAGGATCGGGCCGAGCTCGGGATGGTCGAGTGTCGACATGGTGATGATACCAGATTCGTTACACCATGGACCTAATGAGTGATCGTCGGCTGTATGGCGTCGGGACCCAACAACTCGAAGAATGACAACAGGTCAAAGCGAAGCTCTTGTGCTCGATATGACGATCGCCGGTCCTCTCTCGGATAAACCGCCGGATGAAATACGTTTCGGATGCTTTTCGGTTTCGCTCGGAAGTAAATCAAGTTAAAGCCATTTCTATTCTATGTCGAGGTATCGTTACAAAAAGGCAAGCAAAGGTACAATCTCATGATCTCAGCAGATGCTGGCAGGCTAGCTACACGTCAATCCATTGGTATCTATATCGACGTCTTCTTGTCTTGATCCGACAGCTGCGATCGAGACAAAGGTCGCCCTTTTTCGTCCACCACAGGCACTTCCGCCAGATCGCCCTCTTCGGATTGCCTCTCACTGCTCGACCTCCCCGAGGCGTTCTCGAGCTGGTCTCCCCTTCGACGTCGTCGGAAATCGTCGATGAACCTCACGGTCGCTAAGAAGAGACCGAAAGCGAGGACACCGATGTTGATGGAAAAGCCTCTTCGGTAACGAGGCCTGTCATCTTGTCGGAAGATCTGAGCTCCGTAGATACCAGCAATATTGGCGCCCATAATGACCCTGATCAAAAAATGTTCAGCTTCTTGTCTGTCTTGTGGAGCGCGAAAGTCATGATGCTTACATTGCCATCGCCAACGCCCGCTCCTCTGAATCCCGGCAAGTGAGCGACATCCAAGCGATGTTAAGGGGATGAGAAAAGGTTCCAAACGTCTGCGTCCAGACTACCCCAAAGTATCGTACCCCCCGCTGGTTGATCTCGGTAAAGATCCGGTTGAAGACGTATCCCAACAGGTGAAAACTCATCCCGGCCATGACCGTCTGTCCTCGTGCGTTCCTAGCGAAACAAGGGAGTCGAGATGAGCCACAATCCGCATTGCACAACGTGACGTAAACCTCGGTGTGAATAGACTCACATGCGGTCGGAGACGTAACTGAAACAGAAAGAGACCGGGATCTGGAGGAACAGACCGACGGAAGCCAAGGCGTTGCTCGCCAACGGGGCGAATCCGAAGCTGTTGACAATCGATGGCGAATAGGTGTCGAACGCTCGCTGAGGTCCGTTATTGGACAAGGTGATGAGGAAGTGGATCCACAAGCGCCAGTTGGAGAACTGAGAGGCGTTCCATGCGTAGAAAAGTATTGGTATATTGACGCAAAGGAACTTAAACCCTCAAACTTACGGCTTGTTTGAACGAGCTCAACCCGATATGCTTCTTCTTCTTCCCCTTCATCGGATCGTCCAACAAGACCCTCGACTTGAGGATATGCAATTCCCTCTTCGTGAAAAAGCTGACTTTCGGCAAGAACGTGCTCCGAGGGTTCTTGAACGAATCCGGAAGCAGGAACCCTAGGACGAACCCGCTCGCCACCGTAAAGGCGCCCATGAGCGCAAACAACCAGAACCAACCGGGTTTGCCACCGACGCCTCGCATGTGGAGGATTCCGTAGGCGAGGAGTTTGGATGATGCTTGGCCGGCTTGGTTACCGAAGTAGAAGATCTACGGATAAGAGCAGGGGAAATAATGAGATGGTCAGTCAGACGTGTTGCAGATTGCAACGCGGAAAGTCAACATACCATAGTTCGCTTGGCCGTCTCGTCCCTGGTGTACCAGGTCGACAAAGTCCACAGACCACCGGGGATGAAGCCTGTAGAACGTGGCAATTGGGTGAGTTTACCTTGATAATGTGTCAACATATATAGGCGTCCGCGCAGCTCACCTGACTCTGATACGCCGAGAAGGAACCTGGTGGCGATGAAAGATCCGTACGAATTCTGGAACGCTTGGAACGTGCTGACGATCCCAAAGAAGAACAGCTGGAGGGTGAGCCACTTGCCAGGTCCAACCCTGTAGAGGATCATGTTGGAAGGGATCTCAAAGAGGACGATCCCGAGCGAGAGCATCTGTTGTCCGACGTTGAACTGGTCCTGGTTGATCCCGACGTCTTTCATAAAGTTGTCCGTGAGCGCGTTGGCGATGTTACCTCGGTCTGTGAAGAGAGATCATTGAAATGAGATGACGTCTTGGTGATGATCGCAATAGAACATAAGGGCTCACCGAGTTCTGGTATGGTGAGGCGTCGAAATGGATCGACGTCGGTGGTCAGCTTTGGAGGAATAGTCCGGGAGGTAGTAAACTTACGAAGACAGAAGAACCCGAGGAACAACAGCGGCATGATGATCAAATCCAACCTGTAGATCGATCAATGATTAAGATGCTCAGAGCGCGCCTTCGGGGATCTCATACTCGGTCATCGACTTACTTGCGCTTCGCTCGTCGTTCTTCTTCCGGGGTCCAATCCCGAGAGACTGTGATCGCCTCTTCATCCTCTCGAGGAGGCGCAAAGCGGTCGACTCCCGAAGTGGTCTTGTGAAGGTCAGCCATATTGGAACCGTCGTTGGAACCGTCGATTTGCTGGACAGAGTTGAGCCGAGAGCATTCAGGTCGGTCTCACCACGATAATCCAGATATGATCAATAATAGGGTGTCATATATATCATTGCACTTGACCCTGAACAACGTCTGCTACGCTGACCAAAGTTGCTTGCAACTTCTGAGGTTCGTCATCGGAGCCTGTGTATGGCGACTACCGGACAATACGCCATCGGAAAATCTGGCTCTTGACCAATTCATCGTTCCTCTTGCGTATCTAAAAGGCCAAGAGTATCGATCGCCTTCGATCGCGCCTCGACACTCTATGTCAACGGAACTAATCCGACTGTGACCTGACAGCCAAACAAGGTTTGATCCCCCGGAGAGACGCTTGGCATAGGCGCCGATCGTCTGGTTTGCAATATCAGACGTCGAATTGGTAAGAAGCGTTTGCGGCGCGGCGCGATCACGCCATCGCAATCGCCGCGCGGGACCGCAACTTGCGACCTCTGCTTCATCGATCATCGAGCATGAAACCGACTCTGTATTCTCCTTCCATGGTTCGAAGCAAGATCGCTCGCGGGATAATCATCTCGCACTACGCTGGAGTGCGCCTGTAGGTCAACGAATCGAAGATTCGAAGAGAATGTGGTAAGACTGTTGAAGTGTATGATTAGCCATCTGTCGGTCGATGATATGCTTGGGCATGTTGGTAGGATCCATCTGGTGGATGCACGTGGATGTGTGATGTCGCGCTGTAGTGGTGATCTACAGATGGAATTATCAACCGGTGGCGAAACGATCGATCAACTGGTCGACGAAGACATGTTTGAGAATCGAACAGGTACCCACGAATGTAGGAAAGAAGAGGATCCACAATCTGCAACACCTCAAAAAGCCGCGTCAGAGACGGCTAGTCTTCGGTATCGGGAAATCGATGAAGGGAAAACATCAAAACCGACATGGCAACGCTACAGGCGATATATAAGCCCGCCTTGACCGTCATCTTGACGTATTCAAGTTGAAGCCATGCTATGTCGAGCCATGCTCCAGTCGGACAAGATTTATCCTCCAGAAATGTACCATCTCTTCTGTTTTGCATCAGCGTTCGTATGCGCATTGAGAGTTCGCAACCCATGCAACCCATCAACATAATAGTTGCATGCTACACACTTGAAACATTCTACCGGCGGAGTGAACGAATTTTGGTAACCAATCAAATGAATAGATTCGATAACTTTGACGACATGGTTTGCAAAAAAAAAAAAAAGCAATGCTGTATGAATGTATATCTCCCAGGCTTGCCTTTTGATTTGAGCGTGAACCTGCCCCTACCTGCATTCCCGATGGTGGTCTTGGGCATGTGGACATAGAAATGAACCTGCTTTGCCCTACCCCTTCGTATCAAATGCCTTCTTCCCTCGTCTCCCTCAAGCTCATGTGGATCGACCGACGTGAGTGCAGGGTGATCCCCTGTTGTCCAGAATTTGATGAACAATTCCGCAAAGTAACCTATTGTCACATCGGCAACACGGGTCTAAGAGCCTTTGATACGGGAACGGATCGTCGTATTCAATCGAATGCACAGAGAGATTTTTCCTGAAGACACAAGAGGTATTTTCTGGTGATTTACCCATCCCTGCGCACACGCGCTTGCGAGCACAAAATAACTGATTGAACGCTTGAATTATTGATGATCCGAGACATGGGCTTTCACGGTCTGGCACTCTTTCGCAATCTAACCAACGTCTTCCTGCTTCTTGGAATCCCTCCTTCATCCGACTACGCAATGGACGTCAATTCGTTCATGACTAGCTTGGGCGAGTTTTTCCTGCATCTCGCAGTCATATGGTCTGTGTTTGTCGTTCTTGGCCTTCGTCATCGACAAGCTGGAAGCAAAATCCTCCAGAGAATTAATGTGGTCGTGCTTTCTTCAAAATCTCAACCGACCACGATTCAGTCACACTTCTCTAGAAACAGTTTCATGCTAGTGCTAGCAGTACGATCGCATCTTGACAACTCACAAGGCCATGTCGTCCGAGGACGACATCTCGCTATCAGACCGCCCGCGTCCTGACCTCGGCAATCGCAAAGACACACGAGAACACTCTGAAGACAAGTCCCCACCTTCCGGTCCACCTTCCAACCCTTCTAATCTGCCATGGTATCACTTTGAGACGCTCTCCCTCCTCGCCTTCTTTTCCCTCTTCGGCGTGCTCGCCCGCTTAGGCTTGACGGCCCTCTTCGATCATCCGGGAGCGACGGTCTTCCCCGTAGCTTGGGTCCAGGGGACGGGGTGTTTCTTGTTCGGGTTCATCGTCCATCGGAGGAGACAGATCGAGAGGATTTGGCCGGCGTTGTATGTGGGATTACGAGTCGGTGAGGCCTGCCGATGTTTAAGATCATTCGCCGAAGGGTCTCAGGTCGTTTCGCTCACCCTCCTCTTCTTCGATGATGGCTCGCCTTCTTCTTGGTATACCATGACAGGCTTCGCTGGAGGGATAGCCACTTTCGCAACTTGGCAGCTTAATAGCTTCGTTGGATTCAGTAATCTCGAAGGGACCTCCGATGACTGGCTCTCTTGTGCATGCGACGGCCTCTCGTACATCTGGATCACCGTCACCGTCGTCTTCTTCAGCATAAACTTCGGTCGACACCTCTCCGGCCACCTCCCTCGACTCCGCTTGGGTCCCTTGCCCCAGACCTACCGGTACATCTTTAGCGTCATCGGACTCCTCGGATGGCTAGCTGCACTCCTGATCTTCATTCTACGGGACAACACCTACTGGAGAGCAGGCCGACGAGTCACCTGGGCACTCGTGCTTGCCCCTATTGGTACCTGGATCCGATGGTGGGCAGGTTCCCGGATCAACCCCATCTCCCCTCCCTACATCAAATTCGGGACGTTCGGGTGTAACATGGCCAGCACCTCCATCGCAGGGGTCATGTACCTCTTGCAACGGATCTCGCCCCTCGGTCCCGGTCTTGGGGAGTGGCCCTGTCAAGCGCTTCAGGGGGTCCAAGATGGGTTTTGTGGGTGCTTGTCGACCATCCCAGCGTTTATCGAGCAGGCAGAGAAGATGCACGATTCGGATCACAAGTGGGCGACGCCGATGTCTTGGTTCTACCTTGTCATTATGTATGGTGAGTGGCACTGGCAGAGCTACCTACATATCTGCCTTTGCGGGCGAAGATGTTCTCATGCTGACCTCTTCCGACAATGTTGTTTCGTTATTGTGCAGTTGGTGGTATACTCTGCGTAATTCTCACCCTGGGAATCGGCTGGTGGGCATCGCCGAACGGATTAGGAACCGCCTGTGTATACTAGGGAGTTCAAGGAAGAAGCTGCAAAAAGAGGACACAACGACTGTATCATATCGCAACCACGTCAACGACCGGAGCCGGTCTCAAATGCAAGGAAAACTATAATACAACAGCAAGAAGTCGAATAATTCCTCTATCGAGAATCCAACGTCTCTTGGGGATCAACAATATAATATGATGCAATTTCTTCTTGATCTTCTCATTGACTCGACCGGACAAAGACGCGACTCGCTTACTCGGACGATACGCTACGACGAGCGGTGATTCTGACTGAACCCGCTCGAGTCGGAGAGTGGCAACAGGACTTGCATCAGCTAGAGGAGCTGCCGTCCTGCTCAGGGCGCGCCACGTCAGACGTCCGAGGGCAAGGAGCCAGAAACGGGCTTTCACCTCCCGCTGAGTCAACCGACCATGGGCGATCCCTTGCGAGGTTCACAGCAGATCGCACAGCAGCGAGTGCTTCGATCCACATCATATGTCGCAAGAGACGCAACATTCGTAACCACCGCAACCCTGTCGACCTCAGTTCCTTCATTGCCTAAAAGCTGTGCAAAGTCCATGATGTTTAATGAGTTTCATTTCTGTGTTTCTGTATCTTGAGGCAGCTAGCTGTATAAATATGTATCAATACAGTGGAACAGTGGAACAGCAAAAAAGCTCCTGAGTGCAGCCATTGCAAGGGGGTGATAACAGCGACACAAAGCTGACTTGCTCAGCCGCGAGACGTTAGCCGCTGTCCACCAAGTTCCATCTCTCTCTTAACATATCTATGTCTAGTCTTCGATCCTTCAAACTGATCACTGATTGCTCTTCTGTTTCGCGTTTTCTCGGACGGTCTTGCAGATCCATACTGCTTCCCTCAGAGTGGGTCTAAGGTGGAAACCATGTTGCGTTATTCAAAAGAGAGGCAAAATAACATCGGACAAAATTGACATCTCGGAAGGTCGTGCCGAATGTTGGGCTGACCTCCTTACACCGGAAAAACACCCTCAACGTGGTGCTACGCGTTGTTTCATATTGATCGCGCGGATTCGCCATCTCAGAGCGCCGCTTGGCCTGCGGAAGCTCTCGAGACCTTGTACGAGGATGCCAACGTCGAGACTGTTCCGCTGGCATTGAGAGCGAGTGACCTAGTACTTGGTGAAGAGTATCCTTGCCCTGATCAGTGATAGGACGTCAAAGGACGAGGACCTTCAGGCTTCCAATATCGAAGGCGGTCTTGAATTGCTTACCGACGAGGCTGCGCCCATTGATCGGACCCGTCAGATCTGTAACACGATGTATCGACCGCTGCGTAGAGAGTTGACTGTGAGAATGGAAGCACTTGCGATTGAAGTGCGGCAGTCAGCAGTGGTGCTACGGTGGGTGTGGTGTACACGGCTGCAGCATTTGGCCTAAATAGAGGGAGCCGCCAAGTGTCTGGCAAGTCGGATCTGCAAGGACCTCCCTTGAAGCGCTTCTGGCAGAGTGGAGGAAGACAACGTCATTGAAGGTGGCAAACTCACCGAGAAGAAGGACTGCTTGGCCTTCCCAATTCAAAAGGCGCAAGGCAGTTTGGCGGATTTCGAGAAGGAGGAGAAAGAGCTCAAGAAGGACATTGAGGAGGCAAAGAAGAATTTGGCAGAGGCGAAGGTAAAGGAACCGGCTGTCTAACATATAACGGTCGTTAAATGAGGAGTAATATCTAGCCGGAGATGAAAACCTTCCTGACGTCCTACACATTCTACGCAATTATATCATAAATCGTTGAAGCGATTCTATTCGTCTAATCCATGTCGACATCCTCGTCATCATCTTCCCCGCTGTCCGAGGCATCCTCCCCGCTCTCGCTATCATCGTCAGACTCTCCATCCTGATTCCGCCTCCTCTCGGCAGCCCGGAGGATATCCCTCCATCCCTCCTCTAGCGAGACGACCATCTCCCTTCGCTCCCTTTCTATCGTCTTTTGATCTCGCCTGAGCAGTCCACCTTTACCCTCGAGCCCACCAGCTTCACCCGTCTCGACCTCGCACTTGACGCTTTCCACCAGGTCCCAAGCCTTTTTCGCCTGTCCCTTGGTGTGCGACAGCAGCCACGAGACATAGGACAAGCATCCGGCGACCTTTTGAGCCGGGTTGTGTCGCGCTCGTCGATGCCAAGCTTCGTATATCGACTGCAGCGAGGGAGCGAGCTGAGCGTCTTGCAGGTGGTTCAGACCGGCGACGAGGTGGAACGTAGCGGACAAGGCGGTCGAGGGTGCTTGCCATTCGGGTTTCAGCAACGTCCCAACGACGTCCCGAACCCGCTGAATCCCAACTTCCACCTCGCCCGATCCGATCAGAACGCTCTCGACCCAGCCTACGAGCACGCCCGAGTAGAGCGCCCGACCATCGTCTCCATCCGCCTCGAATCGTTTGGCAGCCTTGATCCCCGTCGTCCAGTGCCCTGCCATGACCTCGTCCCCGGAAGCGGGAACGAAGCGGTCGAACCAGTTCAACCCTTGTACCCAAACGTCCGTGGCGCCCTCGTTATACCCGATAGAATCCATAGCGGAGAGGTACAGCCTCCCGACCTCGGCCTCTGCTTCCCTTCGATCCTCGTCATTACCGCTGGACTCTGCTATACGTCGCTCGATGTCCAGTCTCGAGCTCCACAACCTCGATGATGCGGCTCGTAACCGCGTATAATCCTTGGCGATCGCTCGCAACCGATTCGAAGACGGTGCCTTCTCGGAAGGCAACGACAAGAGGTAGTCGAGATGAGCCGCCAAGAGTCTGGTCGTCGGGACGATCTTGTCCGAGGCCGACTGTCTCGTCAGGCTCGTCAACGATGCCAACAGGTATTTACGCTGAATCACACGACCAGTCCGACACCCTAGTCAGCCTGCAGCCTTACTCAACCATAATGCACGCCAACGGAGCTCGACTCACCAGATCTTCCTCATCATCCGTCATCCTGTCTGCCCATCTCAAGATCCACTCCCCAGCGACCTCTTCCCACTCCCGTCTCCACGACATCCACGCTTCCTCTCCCTTTTCCTGCCGTACGACCCGCTCGACATCCTGCTCCGCCTTGATCTTCTTGACGATCTCACCGACCACCCTGACCCGTTCTTCCCCTGGCACGAGGACGACCCGTTCAGACTCCCCCTTCACCGGATCACTCAGAACCTGTCCCTCTTCCTCCCTCGACTCGGGATCGTAAGCCCGATCGAAAAGCCGGGATTCGAGTACGACCCTCCTCGCCGTCACATCCCATGCCAAGGCGCCCTGGTTCATGTTCTCGTAAATGCACCTCAAGAGCTTGATCCTGAGTCCGGTAGGATACGTTCGGAAGAGCCGGACCAGCCTCAGCCGGTAATCGAGGTCGTCTTGCAATCCCGGGCGGGTGAAGGAATTACGGAGTACGGTCAAGATCAATTGACCGTCGATCAGGCGTTTCCTAGCCGACTCTCCCGTCTCCCCAAAGGCGCCTTTGCCTTCGTCCTGCCCCACCTCGTCGATATCATCATCCTCCTCTTCTTTTAACGGGTCCAACCTGAACCCATCGGCACCTTCCACCTCCCCGACCCCAACTTCGGCCCCACCCTGTTCTTCCCGTTCGGTCTTGACGAGGACCTCGTTCAAGATCCCTAGGACCTTCCACCTCCTCCTCAGCGCTTCTACCCATCCTACTTCGAGCTTGATGTATTCGACCCACAAGTCCGGGTGAGAGGGCAAGAAACGGAGTCCGAGTAAGAGGGTCTTTCTCGCCGGGGGGATGTTTTCTATGGAGAATTTCGAGGATGAGGAAGAGGATGATGTGGATTGTTGGTGGTGGTTGGCCCGTTTGTGGGATGGTGGGATTGGGTCGAGGTAGTGCTGCGATAAGAGGATGTACAAGATCGGTTCTAGGGGGTGTAATTGTAAAGCCCTATCAATCGTTTGAAGTCAAATCGATTCAGCCCTTCATCAGCTCAGCAACAAGACCCTCCCAGCACGCCAAAAACCGCAAACGCAAAAGTCGAGCCTCGAGACTCACGCTGTCAACGCGTTGACGACGACCTTGCCCATGCCCTCGCTCTTGGCGTAATCGACGTAGGCCAACCACGTCCTCAGGTCCCTAGGGAACTTTTCCGTCGCGCGACGGAGGATGTAGAGGATTCGACGGGGGATCGAGTGGGAGGAGATGGATCGGGGTTGGTGGGATTTGTCCATCTCTATCGTGTTCGTACACATATGATGGTTATTGTCAGGACAAAGAAGAAAAGTCAAAGAGAGCATGTAAGATTTAGTTGATGTTGGTCTCGAGCCATAGTCCCCGCCCATAGCCGGGAAAGCCACCTACTCAATCGCTTCCACCTGATCCTCCTCAACCTCTCCAACCCGATCTCATACTCGGCATACTTCAAGTAATCCTCCGGTTTCCCAGCCCGTTTGACGAGGTCGCTCTCGTGTTTCGTCCGCCTGAGGGTGATCTGACGGAGTTCTGCGCGGGTAAAGAGGCCCTTTTCTTCTAAGTCCCGGAGTTCCGGGAGGGTGGATTCTAGTTGAAAGTGGACCTTTTCCATGGTCGTAGGATGGTGTCCGTGTTGGTTGTCACCTCAAGGCAGGAGGGTGGTGGGCATGTTGAACATCTGCCTGATCTGCGTCTCAATCAGATGTATGGGTACGGTAAGGGTAGGAATCGAAATTGTTATCAGATTAAAGGAAATTACGTAATTTTATCTTCCACGACTCCAATGACGTGTCAAACCGAGATTCACCTGTTTCGAATTATTGACGAACCCCATGTGATCCCCAACTCCGATTCCGATCAACACGGACAACCACACATGCACATGCTGCACTCGCACTACCTGATAACCGGTATATCGGTATATACATACGAACACAACCATACAACAACCTCGCCTTCCCCTTAACTGCATACAACACCACATCACACTACAGACAACATCCAACATGGTCCGAGACAAAGTCATCATCGATACCGAGCAAGTCATGACCCCCCTCCACCTTGCCTGCCGTTCGTACTGGTCGAAAGCTAACCTGTAGCTCGTTGCGTCTGTTCGGACATGTGACTGTAGTCCTGGTGTGGACGACGTCCTCGCTATCCTCCTCGCCTTGGCATCGGTAAATACCATCTCCTGCACTTTGCACCTACTATGCACATACTGACATCTAACCTTTTATCGATCATGATCGGCAACAGCCAGAGCTGGACGTCCGAGCCCTAACAATCACCTTCGGGAACACCCTCGCTCCCTCAGCCTACCAAAACACCCTGAAACTCTTCGCTTGTCTCTCCCGAGAGTTCGCTGCGAACCCCTCTGCGGAGACGAGATACGCGGGGAACCTGATCCCTGCAGAGAGGGAAGGGGGGAAGAAGCTCGTATTGGCGCTCGGGGCGGAGGGGCCGGTCGGTGGGGAGAGGGATTTGGCAGCTTATTTCGTGAGTACCTTACCCATCAACCCTTCAGAGTTCTCTTGGTTGGGCTTCCTTTGTGAACATCTCTTCCCCCCCCCCCCCCCCGGGAAAATTGCTGAACCTCCTTCCTCACTGTTCTGTTCTGTTCTGCTTCCACACTCGCCCTTTCACGACGACGCCCTCATCGCAGCACGGGACAGACGGTCTATCCAACATCTCCCAGACCCACCCTCATTTCACCCCACCGCCCCTCCCTACCTCCGGGGCTACGCACGATTACCTGGACATCGAGGAGAAGAAGCCTGGGTACGAGGTCATGCTCGATATCTTGAGGAGCGAGGAGGAGGGGACGGTGAGGATCATCGCTTTGGGGCCACGTAAGTCCGAGATCCTTGGGGGTCAAGATGAGATCGTCTGCTTTTCCCCTCCCTCTTGCCTATACTTTTCCCTATACAATTCTCTTATACCTCTAACAACAATGATTCGATGCTGATTTCCTCCTCTGATATATCTGTAGTGAGCAACGTCGCCCTAGCCTACCGGGCCGACCCAGAGACGTTTAAACGAGTTCGAGAGGTCGTCTGGATGGGCGGAGCGCTGGATGTTCCGGGGAATACGTCGCCTACGGCCGAGTTTAATTGTTTTGCCGATCCTGTGAGTTGCCGGAGGAGGTCTTGGTCGTCAGACCCTTTGACGGCGAGATGGGATGGGATGCGGAAATAGGGGTAAAACAGGGTGAAAGCTGATTATGTTGCCGTCGATATCAACTCGATCACAGTACGCAGCTCAGGAAGTCGTCGAAGCCGTCACCTCGGGCGCGTTCACCCTGACGATGTGTCCGCTGGATATCACCACCCCGCATACCATCCACTTTGACAAGCTCATCCACGACGTCGAAGCTGGCGGAAAGACCCAGGAACAGCCCCTGAAGGAATTCATCTCGGCCATGCTCATCCGCGTAAGAGGGTTGATGAAGTCGTTCAACTTGCCAGACGCGATGGAGATGCACGATCCGATGGCCGTGTGGTACGTGATCGCTACGGTCGGTACGGATCCTCGAGTTCGGGTTGGCGGACAAAAGACTGGTAAAAGCGCGGGCTGGCCGGAAGGGTGGGAGGGTGTCAAGAGGGTGTTCGCGGTGGAGAGGAAGGGAGAGTTGTCCAGGGGGATGTGTGTTGTCGATCGACGGTGAGTCCCTGCTAAGGCTGGATAGCCAACAATCCTAGTCTCCATCTCGCACAAACTCACCACTGACCTCGCGCAAATATCCGTGTACATGTTTGTAGGGGCACGGGCGAACAACACTTCATCCGGACCGAAGGCGATTTCTCTTCCGGCAACAACGACATCAAGAGCAACGAGTCATCGAGCGTCGTCGTTGGGGAGACGTCTGAGCCTGCTCCTTGGGTGGTCAGCAGGACCCCTGGGAGCGACGTTTTGGAGGAGATGTTGTTGGCCAGGGTGTTTGGGGCCTAGACGTTCAGAGTAGAGCAGAGTAGAGTGGGTTGAGGGGTTGTATGGTTGTATGGGGGTAATGTAGGATGTGCAAGTGAAACGCATAGCATACAGCGTGAGATGTCGCAGGGTGGTACAGGGTGGCGATGGCGCGTTTTGGCAAGTGATTCGGAATGCAAGAGTGAGATTCGGACCGGGGCGATGGGTGGCGTAATCAGCATTATTTACTTCCGAACCAGAGAGCAGGCGGGGGAGAGAGGGGAGTGGGTTTGCGGAAGTAAAATGTCGCCATCGAGCGAGGGAGGGTGAGTGAGATTTGGAAAAGATCACAGAGTCGCGGTCGGTCAGCGTACAAGGTCAGCCAATCGATCGATTCATAACTCTCGAAAATAACAAGGCGACCCACATCGAAACAACCATCGTCCTTCCTGACTTTTAGATTGCAACTCTCTTGTTCAAGTCTGTCTGTACTACTGGTCCGCAATACGCTTCGACCATGACCCTCGTTCAATCCGACCTCCCTACGTCCACCACGGACAACCCTCCCGCCCGACCCGACATCAAGCCCAACACCCCCCGGGCCACGCCTTACAAGACCGAACCCGAATCCTCCCTCCCTGCCAAACCTGACCCGACGACAGAGAATGACCCTACGATCTCCAACGGACCTACCATGGTCAACGTCTCTGGTCCTCACCCTCCGACTCCGGATTTCAAGATCGCCAAGGGCGCTCAGGTAGGGGATGTCGGGTACTTTGACCAGCTGTTGGCTAGGTCTGCGGTCCATCCGAAATCCCAGGCTGGGGATCGGGTCGACGCCTGTGCGTTGGACGTCGTCGAGCTTTTGGCCTTGCAGAACAGTTCGAGCGTCTGGGTGTTTGATGATGCCAAGCAGGTCGGGTTCGGAGCCAAGGTGTTGAAATGGGCCGAAGACGAGAGGGAGACGACGACCGAGGTGGTCGAGCTGCAAACCCGAGCTGGAGCCGGGTCGGGTCTCGCTGGGTTCTTGAGCTCTGCCAACAAGCGGGCCGCGAAAGGTGGCGTGACTAGCATCATCGCCACGTCGGCCACTTTGCCCCTCTTGTTGCCCGTCCTCGATCAGTTGCCTGCAGGTGGTAACGGGAACAAGATCGTCATCCACCTCGCGACTACTACCATCGCCGAGGAAACTCTGCGTTTCACCGACTCGCTGGACAAGGTCGTCCCCCAACTCCCCTCCATCCCGACCGACAAGTTCTCCGTCGTCTTGTCTTCGACCCCTACCGATATCGTCCAGACGACCGCCTCGGCTTACAGCACTCACAACGATCGTAACGTCATCAACATTGTGGAATCGACGTTCGCCGGACGACAGATCGTCGACTCGCTCGAAGTCCCCAAGGTGCCCACCGTCCACCCCGCTCCCGCTTTCGTCCCGTACGGATCCGTCGCGCAGGCTTCGCAAGTCTTGCTCGTCCTCGCTGGCCACGTTGCCAACCAGCTCGTCGCCGCCTTGTCCGCCGGCAAGACCTCGTCGACGGCCATCGTCGTCCTTCACTCGTGGGACCATGCTACGGGCTTGCACAAGCTCATCCCGGGGAACTCGACCTCGCAAAAGTTGTACCTCGTCAACGAGTCCGAATCCGCCCGACTCGTCTTGAAGGAAACCGTCCTCTCGGCGTTGTACGACCCTCAAGGGTCTTCGTCCAAGGTCGTCTTCCCCTGCATCCGATCGATCGTGGTTCCTGCCGACCAGGACGCCGTCGAGGTCGTCAACAAGGCTTTGCTCGGTGCGTTCGCCTCCAAGGCTTCGAAGCAGGACGATCAGGTCAAGACGATCTCGTTCTACACCAGCCAGACCGAACCTCTTCCCGAGCTCCTCGCACAGCTCTTTGGGGCTAGCAGTTCGTTGTCGACCTCGTTGGACAGGTTCGGATCGAGCGTCGCCCAGGGTGTCAAGTCGGTCCTCAACCTCCGACCTGGCGCTTCCGCCAAGGGCAAGACCTCGACCCCTGCCCGACCCGTCGTCGTCCAAGGTGAACAGAGCGACGTGGTCTGGATCACCGAGCCGCAGATCATCAAGCAAAACGACGTCTTTTCCTCGTTGAAGCGCAAGTCGCTCGTCGTCCTCGTCGTCCCCTGGGCCGAGGTCGAGGTGGCCAGCAAGCTCTCCCGGTCCGACCGAGAGGCCATCAAGTCGAAGGACGCCCGCGTGTTCCTTCTGTCTCCTACGGAGAACCCGGTCGTCCAGCAGGTGGCATTCTTGATGATGTACACTAGCACCAAGATGTTGTCCGAAGAGATCAAGTCGGTCTTGAGCGCTTATTACGAGGGCAACTTGTCCAGGGAGGCCATCGAGGAGGCTCAGGCGAACTTGACCGAGGTGGCCGACGTGCAAGAGTGGGAGACCGAGGTCCCCGCCGGCGAAGAGGGCAAGAAGGAAGAGGTCGAGAAGAGCGCTTGGGAGTGGGACGCCGTCCATGGCAAGACCGGGATCGTGGATACCCACACCGAGGGGAAACCTCAACGTGGAGATTGGGCGCTGGCGGCCAAGCACTTTTTGTTCAAGGAAGCCTTTGAATACGGTCCCGCAATCGAGAGTGATGAAGAGCTCAAGGAAAAGGCCATCCTCGACCTCCGACCGAGCTTGGAGGACAAGACCTACCTGGTCAAGGTCTCCGAGAACCGTCGATTGACCCCGGAGACGTACGACCGAAACGTCTTCCACATCGCCTTTGACACGACGGGTACGGGGCTCAAGTACGAGGTCGGAGAGGCGCTCGGGATCCACGGGTGGAACGACGCCGACGAGGTCAGGGAGTTTATCGAGTGGTACGGTCTGGACGCCGACGAGCTCGTCAGCGTGCCCAGTCCGCACGATAACGGCGCGACCTACGAGACGAGGACGGTCTTCCAGCTCATGCAGCAGAACCTGGACGTCTTTGGGAAACCGGGCAAGAGTTTCTACGCCTCGCTCGCCGCTTTGGCCAAGAACAAGAACGAGGAGAGGACGTTGCGTTTCATCGCCGCCCCCGAGGGTGTGGCCTTGTTCAAAAAGATGAGCGAGGTCGAGACGGTCACTTTTGCCGACGTCTTGAGACAGTTCAAATCCGCCCGACCGTCGATCGAAGAGCTCGTAGGATTGATCCCCGAGATCAAGCCTCGACACTACTCCATCGCCTCGTCCAACGCCGCCGTCGGTGACTTGGTCGAGCTCTTGATCGTCACCGTCGACTGGGCCACCCCGAGCGGGACTCCGAGGTACGGTCAGTGTACCCGATACCTCGCCGGTCTCCCCGTCGGCGCCGAGGTCACCGTCTCGATCAAGCCCAGTGTGATGAAGTTGCCCCCTCTCGACACCCAGCCGATCATCATGGCCGGTCTCGGAACGGGTGCAGCGCCTTTCAGGGCGTTCATCCAGCATCGAGCTTGGCAGAAGAGCCAGGGGATCGAGGTCGGTCCTCTGGTCTACTACTTTGGTTCCCGTTATAGGTCTCAGGAATATCTCTACGTAAGTCGACACGGGGGATCTGTGCTAGTGCTGAATAGCCTCGTACTGATGTTCCACCTCGATCTGTTTTGTAAACACCACAGGGAGAGGAGATCGAGGCCTACATCGCCGGAGGCATCATCACCCACGCCGGTCTTGCCTTTTCGCGTGACGGCAAGGAGAAATCTTACATTCAGCACAAGATGGGTCAAGACAAGGCCATGCTCGCCAAGATGCTCACTGCGGAAAAGGACGCCGAAAAGGCCTACTTTTACCTGTGTGGACCGACCTGGCCTGTTCCCGATGTCTACGAGGCGCTCGTCGGTTCGTTGACTGAGAACGCTGGCAAGTCGAGGGAGGCTGCCGAGGAGTACATGGACGAGCTCAAGGAGGCCGAGCGATACGTGCTCGAGGTGTACTAGATGGGGTCGTGTTGCCAGGGTTGTACGGTAGATTCAGTTTGCATTATTGGTCATCGTCGTTGATATGGATGGCATGTTTACGATGTGGAAAATCGCTTTCGGTCGACGACGAGTCTCTGGTCGAAACCTTAATTCGGGTCGTGTCTCAGATCAAAAGTTCGGTCATCACCGATCGAGAGATTGAGCGAATTCATCTTGATTGCCCATTCGATGTTCGGTAATCCGGTGCATGCAACGCTCACGCCTGCAATTGATCACTGTCAAAAGTGTCCAGTGTGCCGAGAGGATCTTTACATCATGGCTACGACGCTACCAAGCAGAGCCGAGCTCGAAAAGCTGAAGCTTCCCGATCTCAAGAAGCTTTGCAAGGAGGTGTGTTCTGATCGACCGCCATTTCGCAAATCTCAGCTTACACAAGATCATTGCTGTTCGATCAGCACAACATTACAGCATACAGTAAACTGAACAAGAAGGATCTGATCGACAAGGTCGCATCCGCTTTGAGCTTGATCACTCCATCATCATCAGCCCCATCGACAACGACGAATGCGCAACCTGCCATTAACCTCGCCGCAACATCTTCCAACGTAAGCGTCGTTCGTGAGGCTTCCATACAGTCTCCTTGCACAGAAACACTTCCGAAGTCAGCTGCAAAGGATGCGGCTCCACCTTCGAAGACCTCTCATGCCGCTTCGGCGGATACCCCAGCTCGTACTGAAGATAGAAGCTCGGGAGCACGTCAAAGCAGATCGTCAGATACGCCTGCCCATCAGGATCAGACGTCGCAATCAAACAGATCAAATATTACGGCTAGTACTGCCAGCGGTCTCCCCGAAAACCCGTCCATCAATGGAATACAGCCTCAGACGGCTTCAAGGCTGCCCCCATCGAGGGGTGCTTCGCGCATCACAACAATCGCTTCGCTTGCCAACAATACATCTACTGCTCACTTGGTACCTTTTCAATCGCAACCACCCTCCAACATTGCCTCTAATTCCGTCGCTCAACTCAATCCGAACGATCTTCTGTCTGCCCCGACACACAAACCGCCGGCCAAAGGGAGACCGAAACGCCAGCTGATCGAGATGACCGAGGAGAACTTTGCCGAGCTAGAACGTCTGAAACGACAAAAGACTTCTGCGAAAGTCCGGGTCAGGGCAAACAATGTGAGTAGCGAGATTTAAACTGGGATAAAGACTTTACCGGCCATACTGACGATCGTTTATCATCTGTGTATGTGAATTCGAACTCCAGAGTCAGACGAGCGCACAGAGCAGTCAGGCGGTGCAGAGGAATGTATCGACGCTCAGTATCCACAGCGTCAACCCCGAACCCTCGACTCAGAGGACTGCGTTACCATCGCCTGTTCAGGCGCCTAGTACACCATCTCAACTACGAAGCAGAGAAACTTCTCGCCTTGGACTACCGCCGTCCCATCTTGAACAACCGTCTCGGATCAACGGGGCTTCTCAAATCCAATCTTCGTCCTATACAAAACAACCGTCTCAGGTGGGACAACCGTCTCAAGTTGGATCGTCATCTTCTCATACCGGACAACCGTCTCAGGTTCAAGAATCATCTTCCTCAACCTTCGCTCCTTCACCTTCGGCGCAATCTATCCGCACAGAATCTGCGAGAAGCGCCTTTAAAGCGCCTGCTCCCTCAAGAAACCGCGTCACAAGCTCGAAGACAGCGACGTGTAATCAAGAATCCACTGAAACGTTCAGCGACACTGGACCAGCGGTACAATCGATCAGAACAGCGCCGGATGTCCCCGCTGCTAGCGCATCTAATGCCCGGTCTGAACCAGCTTCACTCCAGGCCGCAAAACCCGCTGCCGTACAACCTCGGCCAATCGAAGTCAATATCCCTGTGACCCCATCCATCGTTAGAGGTAGACCGAAACTTCCACCGAAAATCAAACCGAAAGCTACCGCGAGTCAGAAAGAAAGGCTCAGAGCGGTGATCCAGAGCGTGTCCGCAAAACCGACTTCGAAATTCAAACCGCTCCAGATCGTACGTCCACCGGTGCAGAAGGCGAAACAAGCGGATCCGCCAGTGCTTGTTACGGTCGCCCTGGCCGAAAAGCCTCTCGAGATCCCAGCGGGCGCATCAAAATCGGAGATCGAAAAGATCATCAAGGCTTCCTTTGTCGAAAGGCTCTACCGCGCCAACAAGGCTGCTGCTGGACGACCCGTTCTCGCTGACGATATGGCCTTTGACGGTCTGTCAACTAACATGCTCGATGGAACTCAAGCCGCAGAAAACTTGAACGTCGCCATACGTTTCGTCGTAGCGCGCTTGCATACTCGATTCCAACTCGGAGAATGGCAAGATCCGGTCGGGTTTGCTCCGGTGCAACACGTACAGAAGCTGTGCGATGGGATCTGGGTAGTGGAGACGAACGAATTCATGGTCAACCAATTAAAGCCCGAGCTAGAGGCAAACGCTACCTCAACGAAAACGAAAACAAAAGCCAAAGGTCGAGGTAAAGCCAAGGTCAAGGTCACACCGGAAGTAACGACCCCGGATGTCCCGTCAATCGTCCGCTACCTGATAGTAGGCGAGACCGGCGATGTCATCTCTAGATTCGAACAACCGCTCGACCTATTTACGCCGTCCGCCATCACGCTCAATAACTTCGGTCTGAGACCTGATTGGCAAGCTTACCTCGAGAGCAAGACCGACATTTCCCGCTGTCCCTCAACAAGCGCGGTGTTACTGGATCGCGTTAGGACGAAACACGAAGAAGACTTTTCGCAAGGCATCGCGCGAATCTGGCTCAAACGGATGGAAGCTAATCTCGACGCCGATGTCGTCAGAGTGGCGAAGCGATACGTGTTGAGTAACGTGGCACTGAATAGGTGAGAGGAGTTCGGTTACCGATGATGACGATGGATAGCTAGCTGATTTTCGAACCGCATTTGCAGTATAAGCGGGGAATTGCTATCGACTATGCAGATGGATGCGATCTGGGCCGGAAAGGCAGGAGCTGAAGTGAAACCAAAAGTCTGGAACACGGTTTCGCTATTTCTGCCAGAGTGAGCACGCTCTGCAATGAAGAAGTATCAGCAACCCTAGCGCTCACAATAACGACACTTTATTACAGATCGCATCAAGTGGAATTAGTGAGCTTCAACATCACGACGAACGGCAAACGATACGAGCTCCATCCCTCCATCGCCGTCGTAGCCCGAAAGACCAGCGAAGACCTGGTTCTGCGCATGACCGGTCAAGTCATAGGCAATGTCGATCAAGGCGTCTCGGAGCTATACAAGCACGTACTGGGTTGTGACGATCGAGGCGTCGCAGTAAGCCATATGGAAGCGGAAAAGTTGGCGGAAAATTTCTGGCGAGGATTCAATAAGGTGCCGAGAGACTAAGGGCCAACATGATACACAATTGGTCGGAATCGCATAATTTCACATAGATGTCTATTATTACACAGCATTGAGATGCATGTCGAAATGTCCATTCTCTCATCGATTTACTTTTTCTGCGATTCAACAACCTTGCCATCGAGCTTCTTGGCGACCTAAGAAAAGCCGGAAGACGGGCTTGTCAGTCATAGATAGGGACCGGTCGAACTAGGTCGAGCATAATACTCACTTCCTCCCCGATTTCCCTGATTCGCGCTTCGTCCAGGCCGATCAGGGAGACATGCACACCTGTGAATCAGGCTCACATCTCGGTCAGCATCACTACCCTGCCTCTGTAGTCGGCATTCGACTTACCCTTGTACAGCATGGGGTACGACCCAACCCTAATCCCGTTCTTCCTCTCTACAAAAGGGACCGTATCAGTTCATACCCATCAGGACACAAAGACCGCAAACGCTTACCTCGTTGATGCAATTCGGTCAGATACGGTGCAAGCGAGCTCTCGGGCATGTTGGTAAAGACCAACAGTCGGAAAGGTTTTGCCGAATCGGGCGGGAGGGGGAGGTAAGGCGTAAGCGAGAGGAGGAGGTTTTCGAACAAGGACGGGATACCGGGGAAGATACAGAGCTGTCGTCACAACAGAATTTATCAGCCTTCGTCAGACATCGAGAGGATTATACGTGAAGCATGATATAGGCTCACCTTGCCACCGAGACGGACGACCGGGACCCACTTGTCCTCGGCAACAAAGATACACTCGGCCCCCTTACCGGTAGGCAGCTGGGCCATCCTCTCCCTCGCCGTCCTCTGCTCGGCATCTTGAGCGTTCGGGTCCATCCCACGAGCTACCATCCCAGCGTGCATCCTTTTGACGGTCTCCTGATTCAGCTCGAGAGGAAGGTTGAAAGCCTTGGCCATGGACGGGTAGGTAATATCGTCCTGCTCACATGGTTAACGATTTTAGCTCATTATTTCACATCAAGCTGAACGTTGCTGGTTGTTGCCGGACTCACATGAGTAGGTCCAATCCCACCCGAACAGACGACGAAATCGTACTTCTCGGTCATCCTCCTGGCAGCTTCCACGATCTCTTCCTCATCATCGGCGATGACCTCGATCTTCTTGAGCTCGATCCCGAGGTCGAAACATTGTTTGGCGAAGAAGTTGCTGTTCGAGTCGCTGTCTCGATTGAAAAGGAAAAGCATTTAGTATGGATGTTACGTGTTTTCGTCGTGACATGACCTGACGTACCGGGTCTTGCCGTTCAAGACTTCGTCTCTATCGGTTATGAGCGACAATCTCAATCAGCACCTACTGAGGAATCATGACGAATCCTACCGCCGGAGCTCACCCGATGATCAAACAACCTGCGGTCTTGATATACTTTCCCTCACCTAAAGGCTGTGAGTTTCCCTCGACGGGAGTCACAGGGAAATTGATCTGTCCCGGTTGGGCGGTGGACGACGACATGCTACGATGGTGTTGTTGAGCGATGAACCTGGGAAGGCACGAGCGGGAGCTTGAGCTGGATTTGATGAATGAGCTGACGAGTGGTGAGCGGAACAGCGAGAGTCTGCTCCACATGAAGGTTGCCGAGTCTGTGACTAAAGGAGATCAGGGTCTAGGTATGAAGGGGACGGAAAGGATGCTCAAGGTTGCGGTTGAGGTACCTATATCACCACCATGATCCCATATTCCCGCTGCACGATCGATCGGTTCCGCGTCATCGCAATTGCTCCCGAACGTTTGAGACCCACCCCGATGTTATACCCTGGCCTGTGAACACAGTACGACGGGGATGTGGACCACATCTGCTAGCGAAATTGCAAAGTGGCATGTAGGCGCTAGGTCAGGTCCATCGATGCAACCTATCTTGCACGTCGTTGTCCGCAGCAGGCTCAAGCTCAAACACCGCGTCAAACGACAGGCCCATAACATGCTGGTTGGCAGGCAGTTCTGTTTAGAATGTGCACAGTCGGAAATGGAAAGATTACTTGTTGACGATCATGTTGATGATGTAGATGTCGTCAAATATGCACAGGCCATGCGTAAAGCTAAGACTCGAGCTAGGAAGGCAAACGAGGCGGAGACCGGCAAAGGCAAGAGCAGCAACAAAGACGAAGACGCAGACGATAAGAATGGGGTAAAGCCCTCGGACGATGACGAAGAGGTAAAGCCCTTAAAGGCGATTGGCACAGAGCCAGCAGTCAAGTCAAGGGTTGAAATCACGTCGGGATACAAGTCCATGTTGCTGGTCCCGTTCTTCATCCATGTCACCGTGTTCCAATGTTGTTCAAGATATTCCATTGCAAAGCGAGGTTGAACGACTCCGAAACTGTGTTGCTCGGATTTTGCAGGTTTCGAAGTCGGTGTTGCAGACCGCGAGTACTGTATATGAAGGCCTGGATGATGAGCGAGATGATGACAAGCGATTCATAGTGGTATGACATATCGTCTGTGACATAAAATACAAAGCCAAGGATGAAGCAGGACCTTAGGCCGTCTTCTGCTTCTTCTGGGCCGGCTCGCCATCGCTCCCGCCGTCGACATCCATCGCGTCGTCATCGCTATCTTCGATCGTCTCCTTGCTCTTCGCCTTGTCTTTATCGGCCTTGCCCTTCTCCTTCGTCGCAGCCGCCTTACTCGATCCATTTGTTGGGGCAGCAACAGGAGCAGCAACTGCCTTTTTCTTTCCGCCAGCGGCCTTCTTCTTTTTGGCCGCCTCGACCATGTCGTCTGTCACGTCACTCTCGGCACCGCCATCGTCGTCGCTGTCGTTGTCGGTATCCTCTGGCGAGCTGGGTGCCGACTCGTCATCAAAGTCCCCGTCATCTTCTGCATGATTCACAAGTTATTCAGTGATCCGTGAACAGAGTTCGAAAGTTCGTTCTCGATCGTCAATCCAGACTTACCGGAATCCTCATCCTCATCCCCTTCGCGTCTGCCCTGACTCTTGGTCTTGCCCCGTCGGTCCTCATCACTATCGTCCAGCTCTTCCTCCGACCCCAGATCCAAAGCCTCCAAGGCCCTCCTCGAAGTGTCCTCCCCGATCTCATGGACCCTGACCTTCTTGCTCGTCAGGTACTCCTTGACGTGCTTGTACTCGTCCTTGTTGACCGAGGTAAAGGTGTGTTCCAGCTCAGTCGAAAGCTTAACGGTAATGTCGAACGATCGGAGCACCCCGGCGACCCTATCAACAACAATACATGATGAATTGTGAGTCCATGTTGTTACATGTCAGTGAAATGGGGCGTCTATTCGACTCACCTCGAGATGTTGGCCTTTGTGATCCTGTTGTAATCTACCAAGATCGGCGTCTTGGCGACGAACAGCATCGACTTGTCCAAAAAGTGCAACTCTCCCTGCATCGCCTTGACGTTACACTTGATACACCCGAGATCGGCCGAGCTAAACAGATCGGAGGATCAGGTACAGTTCAAAGCATTTGGTTCAATGGGCGAGAGCGGCTCACCTTCGGAAATCGCCTGGACCCGTGATGGGCTTCTTAGCTAACCGTTTGAAGAGGACAGACGTAATCTCGTAAGTAGGTGCTGAATAGCTCTTGGCCATTCCAGGATAATCCTTCTCGATCTTTTCGCTAGAAAGCCGGGCCAGACCAGGTCAGTGGGACACGAAGAATAGGCAACAAGGGTGAAAGGATCCGTAAACCCACTCTTCGATGTTGAGCTCGACGTCAATCTCTTCTGAAACGTCCCATTGCATGATCAACCAAGGATACTTGGTCTGGCCCTGTCGAAGAGGAGGATCCAGCCCGACCTATCAAGCAGCAATGACCCACCCCAAACGACGTATAAGCATGACTCGAATTACTACTAAGCCGGCACGAGCTGACGAGATACTCACAATAAGTTGCTGATACATCTGGTCCGCTCGGGGCAGCAAGAACTGTCGGTGGATGTGCTTGTAGAGCACCTTGTAGTCGTACGTCTTTCCGTGCAGCCGCAAATGTTCCTCGTGCATCTCGATCTCGTATCGTCCTCTACAAGACCCGGCAACAAAAACACCCCAATATCAGCATCAAGCAGATCTTTGCGGCAAACGACTTTCCCGACTAACCTCGGGGTAACGACGGAAACGTCGACAAACGAAGCGATAGCATCCCCAGCCTGTTCTCCAAGTTCAGCCTGATCCATGATCGTCTTGTGGAACAATTCCGCCGCGCTGATCTCGTTGCCATCGGAATCCAGAGCCGCATCGTCCGGGTCAACCTCTTCGTCCTCTTCGTCACCCGACGCTTGAGACCCTGCACGGCTCTTCTTCCCCGATCCGCGTTGAGGAATGTAAAACCTCATCTCGACGAGCTCGTCGGCGGGTCTTTCGGGTTTTACACCAGGCGGGGTGGGGACAACAGGAGGAGGGTTGAAATCGAGGGCGACCTCGTTCTTGCCTGCCATGTTCGAATTGGAGATCGAGGTCAAGGGAATCTCGAACGAGACTCGTTGTTGAACCAGGAAAGCTAGGTCGTTGGCTGCTCAGATATGAAGTCAAGCCGAGTGGCAGTAAAACATTAGCTCTGACTAGATCTTTGCAAAGTCATCGATTGGATGACAAATAACTTACCTCTTACATCCATCTTGCCCCAGTTCCAACCTTTCACACTGACGTCCTTGTGCTCCAGCTCAATCTCCCCATTTGTCACTCCATGAATCGCCTTTTTCGCGATATCGAAGTCCTGCCTCACACAACCGCATTGACACGACAGATCAGCTCCGATGGGACACTCATGGCACCTCGTCCAGCAGAGGGGGTTCCATGGAGGGACTTACGGCTCCCTTGAGGTTATCGAACCTATGCCTTGTCCCTTCCTTCCGCGGGTCTTTAGGGTCCACTAGGGTGATCCTCAGCTCATAACCTCTTGCCACCCTGTATCCCGTCAGCCATCATCCAGTCATTCACCAACCAAGCCAAGACAACGCTATCAGCCACGATACCGTATTGTATAATATCATTGAGGGTGTAGCAGAACGCACCTCTGCCACTGGGCCGCCTTGATCTCCCTGCCTGCGAAGGTCACTACGGGTTCCCTCTCGTCCGTGCATTTCCACCCGAGTCCAGTGTCCAGGATCCTCAATTCTTCAAGTGACAGATACCAAAGCCACCACAAATATGATGAGCTTCCTAAGCAATTTCAGAGCCACGGTATATGGGAGAGCTTACGACCGGAAGTTCGAGAGCCCTGATGATACACTATTTCCTCGCCGCGAAACAAGAAGCATACCGTATCAGCTCCAGCTGTCCTAGGGATGAACGATGAGGCTCGTTGTGATTTCGGGCTGACTCACCATCGTGCATGTCCAAAAGCTTCTTTCCGCTCGACATGGTGGCAAAGCAACTCTCTCTAGAAGTGTGAAGGTGGTTGTAGGTGATTCGGCCTTCCTCTCAACGAGTGTTTTCAAAGTTGTTCTTTAGGCGGCGAATGCTGCTTCGAGAGTGGATCGACTTCGTTCTTTTTTTCCAGCAGGACTTCGTTGACCAAAGAAAAAGAAGTGAATATATGAAGAATGCGTCTGCTCTATACCTTGCTTTGACTTTACGGACCAGGAGAAGAGGGTTAGGTATGTACGGTCTGATAGCACGACCTGCTTGCTCCCTTCCTCGAAATCGCGTCGACCTCGAACGCGTAAGTTGCGCCTTTTTCGCAATTTAGCTGCAGCTGCATCCCATCATCAAGCTCTTCAGCTACTAGCTACTTCTACCTATCCCCCCTGTCTTCCTCATCAACCCTCTTTACGAGCCACTACAACTAGCAACTAGCCAGCTCAGTCCTTGCAACGCCATGTCTTTCCCACTCGAAGGCCCTCATGCGGCCGATACCCTCCCTTTGAGACCGGACGAACCCGCTCCCAATGCGTTCGTCTCGGGATTGCAATCGGCGCTCATGATCTCCCATCGACCGCCCAAGAACCCCGTACTAAAATGGATCTGGAAGAAGAGGTGAGCGTCGGGTGGCATATTTTCCGGGTCGTAAAGTATCAGTGGTTTCGTTGTGCTGATGAAACGATCGATGTGGTTCCGGCGGAATGCCTTGCGGGTTTTGTTTTGATTCTGATCGACCAGGATGATGCTGGAATCGACCTTCTGCCTGATCATGCTGAACCTTTGGGAAAAAGTACTCGTTAGTAAGTAAACCTCACGCTATCCTCCTAAAGTTTACCGTTCCCCATGTACCACATGCTGACACCACCCTCGTCTCGGTCATACCCCGTACCTCTTTTCGCGCATCACAGTGTCCATCGTCGGCCTCTTCTTCGTCCTCATCTACATCTCCATCGTAAACTACCTCCCCTCTTACCTCCACTTTCTTCGAAACCGGATCGCCTATTACGTCTTTGGGGACGAGTCTGTCCCGCTCTTCAACGACGTCTGGGGTTGGATCTCTAAAGCTGGTACTACGGCCGGAGCCGGGACGGAAGCGTTGGGAAGGAACGTCAGCACGGCGGCGGGAGTGGTCTTGGGTACGGGGACGACCAAGGCGGTCGAGGTGGTCGTCACCGGTCGAACGGAGCTGTGATGCCATCCACGCCCTTCTTCTTCTCGATCCAACATCTCCATCTTCACTATCATTCGCCATCATCATTTCCGGTCTTCGAATCATTCGCCCATCTACCAGCAGACACAATACGATACGAACGGCTCGACCCCACGCATAGAGATTGCCGATTCATAACAGCGACGGCGACAATAATCAGCCTCGAATTCGAGCCTCATCCGCAAATCAGACAGAATTCGATCAGCTTGTATACACCTTCTAAATCATCATCTCCCCCGCACTCGCAAACGCCAACGGGTCTGATGGACTCGTCCCCGCCGTCATCGATATGTTATATACCTATAATACAGATCCACTTCCAGGGCCGGTCGTCATTCTGCCCACATGCTCTTTGTTTCGTCTCATCGTGAATCGTCAACTCGGTTCGCGAAATTCGGCGTGATCTTGACTCGATCCTCCTCCGTGCGGGAAAGATCCTCTGGCCTCTGTGTGACCTCGGCTCGAGTTAATCAGGCTTGTTTGCCTACGAACTCGATCTTCAACGGGTTATTCTGCGAAACATACGAAAGTGCGGTTTCAGTACAAGATCAAAATTGTTCATGCTACGATCTATCCGGGACCTACGGTAATACGCAACGTTCCCGTGAAAGCTTTAGATTCCCCAAGAAACGAGCGAGCCCCGGACGAGCATCAGTCACAGTATCGACCAAAGTAACTTGTCTTTGGATCAGCTTACTCCCCACCGGCGGATTCTTTGTCAAATCCTTGTCTGTCTGCGCGGTAGCTAGCAGCTGAAAGGCCTTTCCTTGGGTTGTCTCGCAAATGATGTCTATCGGACAAGAAGATCCTGAGGGTGGAGCTGTATGCGGCAGGTGGGAGATGGAAGAAGCGCAAGAGAAAAGAGATGAAGGAGTTAGTACGGTCTGAACAAGACGTTCAGATTCAATGTAGAACGAGGAGGAACGATTGATAAGAGACCGACCTGGTTTAGCCGGAGCTGCAGGCTGTCCAGAACAGATGTTCACGTCAGCCAATCCAAAGGTTCTCGCATGAGCGCTTGGATATGCTTACTTGAGATTTCTCGAATGCCATAATCTCGAACCTTTTCGTAGCATAAACAGCCGCCTTTAGCTCCGAGGAGTGAGGAACGATATAGCGATGGTAGACTGACCGTACGACCTGTCTGCCTGCTATACAATATTGGTAGGAAGCATCGTCCGCGCTGGTATCAATAACGGGGTGGTCAGAATTCGTGGACATATTGTACAGAACAGGTAGTGCTGGTGAGAAGATGAGATGGGTGACCGCCCTACTCACATGTATAAAGTATCCTGACCCTTGTCCATATACGACTGCAACCAAGGCGGGATATCCTTCACAGCCAACCGTGGGACGAACGTGTTCGGAATCTCGAAACACTGAACGGCCGCCTGTTGAGCCTTGTCAAAATTCGGTGGAAGGGCGATGATGGCTTCCTTTCCCCCACCGACCATGATGGCCATCCTCGCTGGTGCAGGTGGGCCCGCAGGAGCAGCCGGTTTCTTGGGTTCGGCAGGGGGTTGAGGAGGTGGGCGAGGTGGCTGGAATGGATTGAAGCCGGTGTGGTAGAACATGTCGGGAAGTTGAAGATTCGTTGTGAGAATCCGTTTTGAGATTGTTGCAGACGTGATGGGGCGATGTGATCAAGGTCCACCGCCACCGCCCTTCTTCCTAATTCTGCGTGGACAGCTAGGAGACCAACCGCCGAGTAGACCTGGCCGGGTCATCGATCCGACAAAACGATAGAGCTCATCGATCATCGCACAGTATGCCATCAAGGATACGACAAGGATCCCCATGACGCCCATGTCTCCCCATCTTACTTTTCGATGCACCTTTGACCTTTTTGTCCATCAGTTTTCTCGCGCGGTCACGTGCTCAGATTCGGGGGGCAACCTGAAACGCGAAACACGACGAAAGATCGAATCACCGGAACATGCCCCGCAATCGATACGCACATTTGTATTCAGGATGAACAACGGTTTAAGTGGTCTACATAGAGTCGCAAGGATAACTGGTCCAAGGACTGGGCCTCAAATCAGCTGGATGAGGCCCCCTTTACCTACCACTGATTACCCCTTATAAGCACGAACGTCAAGCCGGGCGCAAACATCTCGCTAATCGGAGGCGACCACATCAGGTCAGGTCGCGATCACGATGATTGCGAGTGAAGTAATCGCGACATGTGAGAAAACGAGAAAGGAGATGTCGATTACGCCATTCTTTCATCGTGTCATAGCCACGATCCGACTTGATGATGTTGTCAAACCACGTGGGACCGATAGATCAAAAGCCTTTGAATATGACGCCATTGTCACATGAAACGACACACTGTTGCCGTGATCTTAGTACGTTACCATGTCGTTCCTTTGTGCTAGTATGGTGAAATACACCTGGACAAGCTACAACCTGGAGGCTGGTGGTCTATACTGGTCCTTCGGCCATATATATATATATACCGCCCCCTTCTGGTACCAATCAGACGAGCTATTGGATAAAGCTCAAAGGATCTCCATCCCCTTCCCAGCGGTAATCGCAAGTCTGCCTACAACACACCCTCGTTCGGAAAGATGTCCAGCCACAGTAATAACAATGACAACCTTGCAGAAAGCTTGAGCCGGGAGAACGACTCAGCCGAGTTCCTCAGTGGTTTATTCACATACGACCCCAACTCGGCTTCATTACTCAGTGAATATCTTGCGACACAATGGGAACAAGCTTTTGGTACGCAGTATCCGTCGCCCAGCGACGAGATCTGCGGTGAAGATCCTGAGAATTGGACCGAAGTTAGCGCTGAGCCGGAAGGTCAATCCTTAGGAGGCGAATCGTCCATACTTGGGGCTTCGCAAGACTCACACGCAGCGAGCCCCTCAGACGAGTCTCCGCAGCCTGATCCCGATGGAGATGTTCCGGATAATTCTCGTCTTCGAGTGATTCAGTACTGCAATCCTGCATCCCATGCAAAGTTTCTCCGATCGCCCAGTGCACCAAAAATAGTCGGCATCGAGCGTATGACACAGGAAGACCTCATGGCAAGCATCATCAAATTTCCTCAAACTTATGGGAGCCTTCATACGTTGAAAAGATACTCTGCGTGGGCAGCCGAGCAAGCAGGCCCCAGTGTCAAAAAGGAAGACATCTGTCCGAATTGCTTCTGGAAATACAATATCTACTATCGCGAACGTGCGTCATCAAAGAGCTTGACTTGTCGTTGTGAGAAGCAGCGCAAGGGATATAAGAGGAAGAGAAACCGTCACGACACCAGACCCACTCTCAAGTCTCTAGCGGCATTCGAGGCTAGACTAAGAGCTTAGAGTGCCTAGTGAAAGACGGTTTCTGAAAGGTGGCATCCATGGTACCCAAGTGATTCGGCGTCTTGTAGTACACAGTACATAGATGTATCTCGAACGGACGTAATTATACTGCGGCGATCCATCATCCTAGATCTGGATCTCGGACGTACCTTGTGACGTCAAAATCTGTAAATTTTGGGAACTTGTTGATAACTGAGCTTCCGGCAATGGTCGAGCGCGACGAGAGTAACAGACAGAAGCGGGGTAAGATATGGTCTTGCTATGTACCCATACACTGGCCATCGCTGCTATGCGCTCGCGAAAGTGACTCCTTTGTCTGTTTCACGAGGACCATTCTGGCGTGGCACTGCGGAGGACAAAGGAATAGCGCGGACACAACGAAGTCGATTCATGTCGTGATCGCATTGAGTGGGCACCCTACATGCGCAGTCGCGCTCCTTTCGACTCGACCCCGTGAACGCTGCCAGCTATCGGCTACCAGAGCCACCGATTTTAATCAAGAGCGTTCAAATGTGGCACGCCATCATCTTATCTTATCTGCATTCATAGCTGAGGTCGTAGGGCGGTAACATGGTGTTCCATTGTGCTGCGATGGCGAAATCTACCTGGTCACTTGACGAGCCAGACTGAGAAGCCTAACGGTACCTACTAGTTCTGTAGATGGATGATGCTACTCGATTATAGCAATAGAGGAAACTCACGGGCAAAACTAGAGGAAACTTCCATCTTACGTATTGCCACTGAACATTCCCTTTGCATCACCGAATACGATCTTATCTTTGGACAATTTGAACAACAACTCTAAAGAAAGATGGACGACGCTAGCCATGCCTACGAACGGTCGAGTGCTTTCACCCTAGACAACTTGCCCTCTGGGTCAATACTCCTCGAAGGGGGAAAGTCGGCTTTGTTGCCAGATTCAACAATGGTGCGAAAAAAGGAGAAAGATGGCAAGGTATACTGGACCGACGACTACAGCGCTGAGGCGGCTGAGGCCATGCTCAAGGCATCGTCCTACAATCTCGACGATGGTGAAATATACCACCCAGCGAGCATATCAACTCAAGGGAATCCTGCTGTAGAAGCTTGGCTCGGAAATCTAGGCAAGTCCGAACAGAAATCGTCCCAACAGGAAGCGTCTGCTTCGTATGGGTATCCAGCCGATCGGTCTGCCATTCCGATTTCGGCCAATGCCTCTTGGACTAATCCTTTCAATATTCAGGAGTTCGAGCCGCAGTCGTTTTACAATCACGACTATGTGGTAACATCTCATCAAAGGGGCGAGTCGTCTGAAGCGTTCCCTGGTACCAAGGAGTGGACTGAGGAGGAACCCCCCTGGAATCCGAATTCTCAGCAGCAATCGCCTGATGTCGTTGGGAAATACGTCGAGCTGCCGCCCGCTCCGGCCATGCCGAATCCCATGAGAATACCGTATTGCAGTCTGCAATCACATGCCCAGTATCTTGTCTCAGATGCTGGGCCATCCACAATGGGGATCAGAGGACGATCTGTAGAATTTGCTGAGGAGAAGTTGAACTCGATGCATGATGTCTATGGTGGACCCAAAGTCATACGGTGGTATGGAAAGTGGGCGGCCGAGCAAGCAGGGGTGAAATACAAGCCCATCTGTCAGAAATGTTACATCGCTCACCGAGACTACTTCTTCCAAGGCGGGAAATACGAAGGAACTTGTTACTGTAATCCGGATCCTACTGCTGGCCAGGACGAGATGTAGAGGTTCCAAAAGTTTCGTTAAGCATTCAGTATCATACACGGTTCCGTCTGTAGGAGAGGGCACGACACGAAGAATTCGTTTGTGACTCGCTTTGTTGAGATGACGTTTGCACTTGAGTAGGAGGAGTTACGATTTAACCTAGAAGTCTTGTACCAATAGGAAATGTAGCTTTCCTTCATACGATTCAATGTGGTTGCTCGTTTCATGATGCCGACTCGTTTTCGGTCCGTGTTACTGAGAAGAGTGAAGGAAGATGTGCTACAGGCGCTGCAGACGACGGATACGAAAGCTCCGACGACTGGCACCTTGAAGCGTTACGAGGCAAGAATTCGAGGATCCAATACGTATCTTGGGCCGATCTGTCCTTCCTGCTTTGCGGCTTCCAAGAATTCTCTCGTCAGACGCAGGCCGAAAGACGCAAATCATCGCTGTGACAAGTCAGAAGCTCGGAATGACGCAAGGGCAAAGAGGAAGCGCGACTAGCAAGGAGAGATGGCGGATGATACGGTCGGAGGATTACGAGCTTGATAGCCTTGTATCAGTTGAATTGAAGATTTGATCGAAGGGAAGCTTTGTAAACCGTGCTCGTCCGAGAGATACATCTCAGTAGAATCAACTGATCTTGCAGTTGATCGATTCAACGCCACGATCGGGTCCTGGAACGCGCAAGGGAAGCAAGGGGCAGGGGCCTACTGTATGTACTGTATGGGCTTTGGGACCGCGATCTGATTGCTGAGCTCATGAGCTCTCGATATCATCGCTAGCGCGAACCGTCTCTCCCAACTGGTCTTGTAGCATGCCCGCTCCCTATCACTACAATCACAGACGACAGAAGCAGATGACTCCTGACGCCGTTCCTCGCACCTCGAGGCTGAGGGAGTGAGCTTGGGTCGAAACAGGTATTCTTTATCAAACTTCATACACGTAATAAGACTCGGCGTACAACCCTATTGAGCACACTCGGGACACCCACAAACAAGAAGAGGACAAGCGCTACAACGGGTGGTCCTTTACAATCGGCGGAGGCACATCGTCCTCGTCGTCCTTATCGACTGTAGCGAACCCGCTGTCCATGGTGAACCCTGCGGGACCGCTCGACACCTCGGTTCTCGACCGGTCCACCGTGAACGAGCGCTGTTGTTGTGGCGATTGCCGCACCCCAGCGGATTGAGGACTGAGGGGTTCATCGTCGTCCAGCTGTAAAGGACGGTTGGGATGAGGTTCGATAGCCTGGATGGCCAGCTTGGCTTCCTCCCAAGCTTTCAAGTTCTGCATGGTCGGCGCGGAATATCAGCATCCAGCATCACAACCCGCCTCGTGATAGTCGCACTCACAGCCTTGGCCCACTCGCGGTGAAGCTCGGCGATGGCCAGCGTCATGTCTCGCATATCAGCGACCTTTTGGCGCTGGAATCGGTCCAGATCAGCTTGTAACGTTTGACTGGCGTATTTGAGGTCCTGCGCTGCGGCCTGCAGCGAGTCTTCCAGCTGTAGACGAATCAGAGGCGTCAGGTCAAGCCGATCAACAAGCCCGCGTTTCGTTTCGACACCCACCTGCGAGATGTTATCCCTCGTTCTCCCGATGTTCGCCCGCCGAGTGGCTTCCGGGTCGACATCCATCATCCCCGACAGGCTATGCTTGACGGCGCTCAATAACCCATATCCACCGCCACCACCCTTCCGCTTGGTCGGAGTCCTCGGCAGTCCCGCAGGCGGATCGTCTGACAACCCCTGCCCGGGTTCACGGTACAAGCTCCCTCCAATGACGCTTTGGCCGGTCAAGACGCTCTGCCCCTGAGCCGGAGCCGAACCCACCCCGCTGGCCGTCAAGTTCCTCCCGCCGCTCTCAAGCGCCTCTTCCAATCGCCTCGACTCCTTTTCCGCCTTTTCGAGCACTTCGAGCTTTTCTCGTTGATGTTCCAGGGTACTCTGAACGAGTTCGTATTGGACGTGTTTCTGATGCCTGAACGAGAGGCGTTGTCGGATAATCACACCGTATTGAGCGTAGATGTGCAGAGGCTCCGTAGCGGATCGTTCCCAATGTTGCAGCTGCATCCAAACCCACTTGTTCAGCTTGAACGAACAGCCACATTCTCAAACTTTGACTCACCAACAACGCCGTACTCATGTGCTCGGCATCTATCGCCTGTCCAAACTTTTCCACGGCCTCTTGCACACCCCTCGTCCCCGCCCCGACGCCCTCTGTCAACTCCTTGGTAGCCCCATCATCCAAATCCAAGCTCAGCCCGTTGACGATCGCTCCCATCTCGCTGGCCCCGTGCGCTCGCTCTCCCCAGCGCTTGACGACCCTCCGATTGACACGTTCCATGACGCTCGAGAGGTGATGGGCAAACTTGTCGGTAAAGGCCTCCGAGTCCATGAACCTCCCGTCGGGGTGTTTCAACGGGGTGGCCGCGCTGACGTTGGGCAAGAGGTGATGAGCGATGTACGAGGGGGAAGCCGACGTATCCGGGGATCCTGGACCGGGACCGGGAGAAGGAGGTCCCGGTGCAGTGGTCTGCGTGACCGCCGAGGTCGGGTCTCGATCTTCACCGAGATCGTCCGTCGTGGCCGATTGTGAAGGCGAGGCGGGCGAGAAAGGTTGAGACGGCCTGATGGTCGGGTTGTAAGTCGGTGCGTGCAAGGGGTTCTTGGGCAACAGCGACAACGGCGGGGAATGCAAGACGTCGTTCTGCAAAGTGCACGTTCATACCCATGTTGGACCCTAATATCAGCTTCCGCTCAAAAACATCATCACATGCCTTTGGCGACTCACCCAACCAGAAACCCCATCCAAGAACCTATGAAACACATGTTCCCCACCCAAGATCGGATGCCTCCCCACCCTCCTCAAGAAATCCTCCAACGTCCTCATCCTCCTGGCAATCACCGTCGCGTCCTCCTTCGCCTTGCTCGACCCTTTCACAGCATAGTCCGTGAGGGACTGTTTGGAAGGGATCGGAGGGACGATGAGAACGGGGTAGAGCGCTTGGAGTGAAGTTCGGAGGGAGTCGAAGTGCGAGTACCGGTGGTGCGTCTCTCGGTTCTGTCGGCATCGTCGTCATATTAAAAGCGTCTCCATCAGTCACTATGCTCATGCGCGAATGGACGTCCACGGACTCACCCCGGTCCTGATCACATAAGTGATGTAGCTCGCTCTTCCTCCATCGTTCGTCTTGACAGCGTCGATGATCTGTATTGTCCCGTAGAGGATACGCAGTAAAAATAGCCGACGACCGGAGGTACATGTCGTTGTCAGATGAGAGAAGAGACATGTAGGCCAGCGGCATAAAGTGAGAAGGAAAGGGGACGATTAGGATGTACAAAAGAGATAAGAGCCGAGTAAGCTTCCCTCCCCAACGACAAACCGCATTATTCCGCTCGACACTCCGAATCCCCCCATCCCGTGCCATCTCGTCCCAGCTTCTAGAGGTTCTCGAACTCACCTCGATCCCCCCTCCCCTGACTTGCAACTCCTCGTCCATCGCACAACAAGCCTCTTCCTTGACCCGGGGTCCGACGTATGATTTGATCCCCGCGCCGGCGTTGGGGAATGACGGGCGGTAAGTCGGAGGAGGGGGGGAGGAGGCTGGTTTGTTAGGAGATTGAGATTGAGATTGGGATTGGGATCGGGATGTGAATTGAGGTTGAGAGTTGGAGTTAGTATTGGAAAAACCAGGTGCTTGAGAGTTGGACCACGGTCCGGATTCTTGGTTGGGTGTATCAACAGCCGGGTAGAGGTTCAACTGCGGGTACCCCGCCGTGATCCCCTTTACACCTTGGTCCTCGTCCTCGTCATCATTGTCATCCTCTCCGAATAGCTTCCCTCGTTCTCCTCCGAATCCTCTGGTAGTATTGGCGTTGGTGTTCGCGTTCGAAGGGTAGATGTCCAGCTCGGGGTAAGCCACCACCCCTGCTTGAGACCCTGATCCGGCCGGCTGTGTTGGGGGTAACATGCCTGATGACGAACCTCCCCCTTGAGTCGCTTGTTCGTCCCTAGAAGGAGCCGGCGAAGGGTCGGTAGAGAACGGGTTGGGTGGGTCGTCGTAAGTGTCCATGATGCAATGCGCGATGTCGATCGATGTGATGTTACGAGACGAGGTGGTCGCCCATGAATAGCTTGAGTCGTTGTAGTCGAGGGCAGCGCTGGCTCATCATCATCAACCTCCGGGTGGTGTCTCTCTCGATATGCTTCCGCTAAAATCACGGCATCCCATCTGATGATTTGCTTCCGATACACCGCTACAGCCACCACACTCACCCACCTCATCACAACCACACCCGACCATGGCGACATTGACCATTCATACTCAAAGGATATCACCTACACCTACATCGTCGTCACTACCACCTCGCAGTCTAATTAAACACGTCTTCCTTCCGACACTCCGACGCTCACTCACTAGAGGCATCCACCCGGCGTCACCTACCTATAAGTACCCGCCCCGGACCGGAGTGACAGTCAGGGAATCATGAGCAATTCAAACTTCCTCGACGTGAGTATCTCTTCGGCATACGCTCTTCCCCCATCAACAGACTCCACCTCGGATACGAGAGAAAGAGAAGCACAACGAGATGGCTGGGATGAATTACTGAGCTCAGCTGTTCGTTTTGTATACCTTTGTCCACCCTACCGTCGTTCTTTGTTGATCGGCGGATCGTATCGCCCTCGACAATAACCTCGACCTCGACCTCGACCTCGAAAACGGGACCCCGACGCTGAATTTACCTCGCATTCACTGAACATCTCGTTACTGGCCTCACCCGGAAACAACGCCGGACGACACCCTGACCACATCCGCATCACACCGAACTCGAATTGCACTCGATCTCGATCTCAATCCCGACGACCGATACGCACTACACCCGCACTTCGATACGATGTCCCCTCGTCCCCTCATCACCTCCAAAACACAATCCCATCCTCGTCCTCGTCCTGTTACCCAACCACAACCACAACCCCCGCTCTCCCCATCCCTACTCCCAACCCTCCACCCAAACTTCGACCTGGACTACGAACGGACCACCCTCTCTTCCCTCTCCCCATCTCGCTCTCGCTCTCATGCCACCACGCACAACCACGCACACGCTTACGATCTCGACGAACACGGGACGACTTTGATCGAACTCGACGATCCGGGATTGGCGGTACAGAAAGCGATCGAGATCGTGGGCAAGGCGATCGAGTATGATACCAAGGGGGAGTACGCTGTGAGTCTCGTGTTTGGGTGTTTGACTCTGTTTTTGCTCTTTTCTAATGGGAACCCCGTTTGTGTGCGTCGTACTGACTTTCTTTACGATATTTGGCGATCATGGCATATGGTGTAACTGTGTGGTGTGGTGTGGTAATACAGGAGGCGTACAAGAATTATCAGAGTTCTTTGGATTATTTCTTGATGGCCATGAAGTGTGAGTCGGATCGGCCTCGCTTCCCCTTGGGTTCTGCTTCGACGTTTGGATGGGCTGTTTACCTATAATCCCGCGTTTCTCGAACCGACCACGAACAAACGACAACGGCCCTGTTGTTGTGTCGACCCTGCAGACGAAAAGAACGACAAGCTCAAAGCCCTCATCCGAAACAAATTCACCGAATACCTCGACCGCGCCGAAAAGCTCAAAGAACACTTGTCCAAATCCGACGAAAAGCGTTCCCGAGCCAAGGTCGGGGCGAACGGGTCCAGCTCGGGATCGACCGGTGCAGGCGGTGTTGGCGGTGGTGCTGGTGGAAACGGATCCGGGGAGGGGGGTGACGATGTCGATCCCGAGGTGAAAAAGATGCGAGCAGGACTATCCGCCGCCATCCTCTCCGAGACCCCGAACGTACAATGGTCCGACGTGGCCGGTCTGGCTCAAGCCAAGGAAGCCTTGAAAGAAGCCGTCATCCTACCCATCAAGTTCCCTCAACTGTTCACGGGCAAGAGGACCCCTTGGAAGGGGATCCTGCTTTACGGACCTCCGGGGACGGGAAAGAGTTTCTTGGCGAAAGCCGTCGCTACCGAGGCGAAGAGTACGTTTTTCAGCGTCAGTTCGAGTGATTTGGTCAGCAAGTGGATGGGAGAGTCTGAACGGTCAGTCCTCCTCGAACCTCGTGTTTTGCTGGTGATACCAGTCATCGGTCCAGCTGACGAGCCAAGTTGTGACGGGCGTACAGACTGGTCAAGCAGTTGTTCCAGATGGCGAGGGAGAGTAAACCGGCCATCATCTTTATCGACGAGATCGATTCCCTGGCTGGAGCACGTGGAGAGGGAGAGAGCGAGGCTAGTCGGAGGATCAAGACCGAGTTCCTCATTCAGGTCAGTCTCTCTTCCTGTAATAGTGTCTCGACCGCTGGAAACCGTGGCTGACGCTGCAATGCCGATACCACGACACGGTAGATGCAAGGAGTAGGCCACGACGATACCGGTATCCTCGTACTGGGCGCTACCAATATCCCCTGGCAACTCGACCCGGCCATCAAGCGTCGGTTCGAGAAACGAATCTACATCCCCTTGCCCGATGTGGACGCGAGGAAACGGATGTTCGAGTTGAACGTCGGGGGGACGCCTTGTGATCTCGGGCAGAAGGATTGGAGGGATCTGGCGGGCATGACCGAGGGGTGAGTTTGGTCAGGTTTCGGTAGTAGTCGTCATTGAAAAGCAAAGATGCTCAACGTAAGGAACGTCTACGTAGGTATTCGGGAAGTGATATCGCCGTCATCGTACGGGACGCTTTGATGCAGCCTGTCCGTAAAGTCCTCAGCGCAACGCATTTCCGCGAAGTGAGTACTCACAACATCTCTGGCAATTGTCCTGTATCACAAGCTGATCTAATATTGTTGACCGCGCCATTCAGGTCGACGCACCCTCCCCGGACGACCCCAGCAAGACGACCCGGAAACTGACCCCTTGTTCACCTGGCGCACCGGGCGCGATCGAAAGGGCCTGGACGGACGTGGATTCCGAAGAGCTGCTGGAGCCCAAGTTGAGCCTGGGGGATTTCAAAAAGGCGATCGAGGTCAACAGGAAGACGGTGACAGAGGCGGACGTGAGGAAACACATCGAGTTTACGACCGAGAGTGGTGGGGAGGGGTCGTAGGTGGCCGCCAGAGGGAGATGTGGTTTTGGTGTACTAGAAAAGTGAACCGGTTGTATATACCCCTCGACTCGATGGTGTTTTTGGCTTGATTCTGCTACAGGATCCATGTCTCTTAGGTCACCTGTAGTGTCTATCTTTCGGGAATAGCTGCTCTCGCTATCCATGAGCGGGGTTCTTCTCACTGGCGGAGATGATTCGCAAGTTCCAATATCCGCTTGTCATGAGAGTCAATTGTGACTTCTGTCTCAATGTGATCCAGTTGCGTAGTACCTTCTCTAGCTACAACAGGTGTGGTTGAGGTATTGTTCCCCTCAAAGTCCACTGCTGCAGCTATCCTGTTTTCAGAGTCAAGCACAAGATGAGATGAGCGGGAGCGGGACTCTGTCATGTCTCGACAAGCATCACCAGTGTTATGGGTCCATGTCTCATCCCATTGCCATTGATCTATGGAGTGCGGTATGTACAACGGCAGGATCAACTCGCCATATGGTTCGGTTTCGTTCAGGGGCAGGGTGAGTCCCCAGTAGCGGACATCATCCTCGGCCAACCCACATCCAGCTAGTGTGCCGAATACCATCTCGCGAACAGTCCGGTCCTGCATGTAAATACTGGGAAGCGCTGTTGGATCAAAATGACGGTTCTTGGAATCCTGATCTTCAAGATTGGCAGGGAAGGTACAACCGTCAGATGCAACGGTGAGTGGGGACTGGTCTTGTTGACCAGGTTCGAAGATATTGGACAAATGGATGGTGGAGCTCTCTCGCCATGTGTCCTATTTGTGCTGGTCGTCAAGAATTGAAGGGAAAGTACAACCGTCTGAAGCGACAGTGAGTAGGGACTGGTCTTGTTCAAGCAATTGAGCGCCATATTGCATAAATCTTAATTCGGAATCTGATCGCAATGGTGAAACATGTGCTGTTGAACGCAGTTTTTTTCTAACTAATGTCCCGGTACTTACGGGTCCGTGAATCTGTTTATGTCACTTGCTAGGATGTTGCCTGAAAGCAAATATGGAATCTGTAGTTAGGTGTCTCCGGCCTTTGGTAGGCGCTTGTCACTTGATAATGAGAAAGGGCAAGTGATACTACTTGCATCATTATTGTGTTAACATCAACTTTATGCCTCAGTGCTCCAAGTACGCAAAGCTTGTGTTCCCCATGAGTTCCCTCGTCTGTTCTCTGGAAGATATGAAGCTTAGAGAGACAGCGAGATAGAGCACAAGGTATTAATACACACCCATACACATCCAACTGATCCGCTTGAGCAGAGGGAAGGAGACTCGCAACCCGACAAGCGACTATACTTTCTGAATGGTGAGAGTTAATCTGCCGCATGGCTGAGGCGGGCAAGAACACCCTCAACCCGGAACGGCGTTGCGAAGGTATACCAGTCCGATCACAATTGTAAACGATGTCTGCTTTTGCGGTAGGTCCTGGATGCTCCCATCTGAATCCGATTTGCCTAGGGACAACTGCGGTGTTTCGCTGCAAATCCGTCGTTCGTGTGTCATTCGGTTGCCCATTGCGACGCGCTAAGAATGCACTCATGAAACACACGCTTTTCGCCTTAAAGGCCCGGTGACAGAGGCGTCGAGTGATCCTGAGAAGAGAGAGAAAGAAATTGGGAGTACATTGGATATCACTGATCACTGTAGCATTGACCCTCTCTCTCATCCATTCCCACAACTCATATCGGTCCGATTCGGTAAGCTACATGTACCTCACCGTAAGTATCGACATCACGTGACTCGCCGCTCGAACCCAATTCGTCATCATCCTTTGCGACCCGGGACTTAGCTCGAGCATATCGAGCATATCGAATCGTATTCGTCCCCAATCAAAGCCATTGATAGGAATTCGATCCTTCAGCAAGTCGACTCCGGTCTCGGAAATCCTCGGTCCAGGGCTAGGAAGTGGAAGGTAGACTAGCTAGACCTGGTGTCCGACAACGGCTGGCGACTTCCGGCTACTTGACCTCCCGATTTTGACGCAATACGCCAACTTGCTCTCGCATATCACGACCGCGATCAACACGATCTTTACGACATCTTGACGACAAAGTTTCTTCTCCTTCCGGAACGTGGCTTGTCCGTTCCCCCAGTATCTGTTGCTTAATCGGAAGCTACCAAGCCCTTCGACGCCGTACCATACACGGCACTCCCGCACCAGCGTCTTGTCAACGTCTTGTCATCAAATTGCGATCGGTTCGTCTTCTCAATTGTCGCTTGACAGATGACTTTTAATGTTTCTCATACGTTCCCTGTTTACGTATCACAGGCCCTCTACCCTTACGTATCACAGGCCCTCTACCCTGATACTTATCACTATCAGCCTTCTGAAACGCACATTACAATGTCCGGCTCCGTCGGCCAAGAAAATTGCGGGCAGGCCGCTACGCCGCTTGACCCTGAATTCTCATTCACGGCTCAAAGGGGAGGCTCGGTAGTCGGGTCTTCATCATTCGCGTCGTCCAAGTCTACATCTACACCTACGCCATTTCCTGCTTCGACACCTGCTCCTCCACTCTCTTCTCTTCCGCCATGGACGGGTCGAACGATGTTTACATCTACGATGAACCCTTTTCCGCCATGCACGTTCTCGCCTCAGTCGACACCGACCTTGACGACTACGACGAAGACTGCTTCTGTCTTTACGTCTTATGCCGGAGCTGGAGGATCTTTCTTGACTACACCTACGAAATCCTCGAGTTCCTTGTCTACGTCTATCAAGTCGCCTCGCTCTCCTCCTATCTTTACTATGCCTGATGCATATATGCCTCGTACGACGCGCGGTACCGGGCCGGCAGTATCCAGCCTCTTCCCGCCAGGCGGTAAGTGTTTCAGGCCCTCCTAATTCCGCTTCCAATGATGTGGAGAGCTGATTGACCGGTCGTCGACCTGCAGAGGACATCACTGATGTCGACAGGCATGCTGCTGCGTCCGGCCAGAGCGGTATCCCACCTGTCAAAGCTGATCCTACCGAGACCGGGACCAACTCCGTGACTACGCCCCTTACCCCGATCAGCTCCTCCAATCAAGACGCCCACAATCACCTGCCGATTGCGTTGACTGAGACCTTCTACCCGTATTCGACCACGAAGACCTTGCCCAATCACACTGTAGCACCGTGCATGGCCTCGACAGCAACGCCTTGCCCGAACGCATTGACTCCGATCCCGGACGAGCTGATGATCTTGATCTACTCATATTGCCCACGATCGACGCTCTTGAACTGTATGCTGGTGGATCGCCGGCAGTTCTCGCTCGTGATTCCGATCGCTTGGAGGATAGTACGGTCGCCAGAGACTAATTTGAAGCAGCTGAGGGGCTTGGGGAGCCGGGCGAGAGGGTCCGAAAATGATCCGGAGGGTCATTGGGTGAGTTTTGGACTTCGATTTGTGGCATGAACGAAGATCATTGCTGATGAGCCTGAGTTACAACTTGATCCTGGCCGTGAACTTGATCAGGGACATGCTCGATCGCGAGTCTACCTTGCAGCAATCCGTAACTACGTCACCACATCCCGATCCCACTTCAGCGAACGTTTCAACGTTCAGGAGGAGCTGCCCTTCCTATCGGATCAATGCCCTGATATCCGAAGGGTAGAGATCGCATATGGGAATGTGATCCGTCTAGTTCTTCATCGTCAAGCCGGTACGAGTGAATGGACGGACCTGGAGATGATCGTCACGAACGTCACGAAATTTATGCAAGCGGAGGATGACCAGAGCTACGCATCGTGGTTCTCGGAAATGCTCTGGCCATGGCAAATTTCGGAAGGACGAACTGCATTGTCAGGCCTCCGACTTATCCGGCTCGCAGTCGAGGACTCGATGGATCATCACCATCGGTTTGCGTATTTTCTCGATTGGATTCGACCCTACACGCGTCATTTGGGAACACTCGAGATCGGTCCCGAGCTTTGTGGACTTGCAGAGGATAGAATGGTGGACAACGTCATTTTGTTGCTTCAACTTCGACCTTCCATTCACAAGTTGCATCTCTGCGGTACCACTACATCCGCCTTGGTCGCAAGGATCATCAACACCTCCACCTCAAACTTGGAAGAACTTGCTCTCTGCGCATACTTACCGTCTTACGTCTTCGAGCACTCGGACGATTATGATGACGAGGAAAACTCCCAGTATCAGTCGTCGCTTAGATCACGATCGATTACGGATAAGCACCCGGAGTTGGTGCGATCGATTGACGCGATTGATCGGCTGAAAAGACTCGTACTCTACGTCAATCCCGGAGAAATCAACTGGCAGCTAGGTCGCTTCAAGAACGAAAAACGTGAACATGCGCCTACAGATTGCTTGGACATTTTTCCCGTTCCTAAGTCATGCCCTATATCGCTCGCTCACATCGACGATATCGTCTTTGGCAAAGATCCTTACCATCCTTTTCCACACCAAAAATGGCATGATCAATGGTTGAAGGATATGGAAGAGGCGTTGCGCGAAAAACGGGAGAATTCGAGGTAGAAAATATCCGTTCGACGGGTCTACCTTCGCAACTCTCATGATGCCGACACAACACTACTGCCTATCGAGCTGTTCAACCGGCGACCAACACGATATTAGAAAGCGCCTTCTTAAATATCTCAACACGCAAATCTTGAAGCTTATTCACAACAACAATCGTTGTAGCTCGCCTCTACGACACCTAAATACACTGATTACCCACGACCGCGGATCTCAGATCCGCCTACATAGTCTACATTCACGACAACATTGTTCGTCGGCCTCGCTTTCAAAGCGTACAAGCGACCGAGAACCGGATAAGAGTTTCCTTCTTCAGATCATTACAACCAAATAACTCAAGCATCAGTCTTTCCGGCAACGACACGGCTCGCATATCCGACCTACGACTAGCCATACGATGGCGAACACGGGCCAAACTCTTCTCCTTTCTGGATCAATTATCGTCTGTCGCCTTTATCACCTGACTCTGCATGCGGCAAGCGTATCAAGTCTTCCCGCACCGACAAAACCTCGCGCACGGTTGTTACAGACGAGCGCCAAAAGTGGCTGACTTCACGGTTATCTTTCCGATTGTGTTACGATGGGCATTTACGTAGACTCTACGGGACGTTCTGGTTCCCCGATCTTATGACATTCTTGGATCATGCTATGATACAGGCGCGAGTGTTCCTCTGGTCGAGGATAAAGTTGCGGAACTATGGGTACCGGTAAGGCGGAGTAATCGAAAGGATCATCCGACATTCTAATCTCTCTTCAACTACTCTGTGACCGACCGCCCCGCCTGACTCCTCCTCACCATGCAATGTAGCAAATGCCTTGATCACTCAGCACGAGTTGCGCCATCTTTGTTCCGCAAGATAGTGGATGAGATCATCAGATTCTAGAATTCTGGTATCACCATTCATGAGAGTAGGCGTTCAGATGGACCTAGCCCGATCTTATGGGTAGATTCGAGAACCAACAATGGCAAAAGGCTACTTTAAGAGGTGATGTCGGATGTTGTGAGCACTTCGGCAGGTCAATATCCTCTAGACCCTGACGTTTATGGTACAGTTGGTATCAGAGTCTCACAAGCAAAGGTGATGGACTCCAAGAGTGACGGGAGTGGACCTGACCCAAAGGCATCTCAGGATTCCTCTCGGCCATGGACTATGTGCGCTTCTAGCCCTCCTGAACACCCGAGATGAAGCAGCTTTTGCCGGTACTCAAGACATGACGCGTTATGAGTCGAGATGCGAGATGCGAGATGACGCGGGATCGCTCGGTTTCACGGTGTTGCGTGATGCACGAGGCCGATGACGCGCATGACGCGCTGGAACCGGAGCCGTCATAGAATAGATTAACTGCGAAATATTCTTTCACCAGCTGATCGAAGTGCGACGGGTACCAAAATCGTCCCATTGGGGCAATCTTCTACGTTGTATTAGCGTCAAGCGGTCACCGAGGATCTTATCAACCGCCGTAACTCACCGAGTGTGTGGGATATCGCGCTAAGCGACCCAAAACATCGTCATCACCGCAAAATGCTCGGTAGTATGCTTGATGGGGCGTCCGGCGAGATATACAAATAGGATCAAGAAGATGAAGCCTGGATCGCGCATCACAGGGAATGAATTTTGCTTGACCGCACGGAAACCTGATTGCCACTCTTTCTATACTCGTCAATCGATCATGTCCACCTCACCTTCGGAAACCGTCGACCGTGTTATCGAGAACTTTAATGGCGGTCTACCCACCTCCCGGGATCTCGTCCCTTCCATCATCTTTACTGTAGCTGTGAGTAACTCCTCTCATGGTGCGGGACGCGCTTCCAATAATCTCTCAGCGCTAACTGAATCCCTCTTGTCTTTTTCAGCTCGGATTGACTCTGCCGATGTTGATTTATCGCCTATCTTCTCGGAAACACCGATCGAGAATCCTGGGGAATGCAGTCATGTTCTTCATCCTGCGTACCGCTGCGATGATCATGAGAGCGTACATGTCTCGTCACGAATTCAGCGAGTCTACCCTGAGTAAGCTATGTTCTCACTTCGGGTCGAAGCGTGTCGGGAAACGTATTGATTGTGCGCCATAATGATAGTCGCCGAACTCGTTCTTACCTCGATCTCTTACCTGTTCTTGATCAACTCGTTGGTCGATCTGTGGGAGAAGCACGAAACGCAGAAGCATGACGAGCAGATCGAAGGGCAATTCGGGCTGGTCAACGAGAAGACGGTCCACTTGCAGAAGAAGAATAGATGGGTCCATTACGCTGCCTGGTATGTGTATGATGTGGCGTCTTTTGGCGCGATTTCTGGGGAGGCTGACCCGAAAGAGCTCACACAGGTTCCTAAGAGGCGCATTGATTGCTTCCCTCGCATCGGCGATCGCAGCAGGTGCTATCCTCGCCAGGCAGTTCGATGATGGTCAGAAGGCGACCACGATCCGCAATCTCGTCAAGGCTAGCTACATCCTATCCCTTGGTAAGTCTCCGTTGCCAGGCATATCGACACGGCTGTACTGACGGATCAGTGTTATAGCCACTACCGCGGTCTCTATAATCGGAGTCCTCGTTACCCACTTCACCAACCACCGGTCCAAGCGCAACACCGGTTTCCTCCTCTTGTACTCCATCCCCTTGCTCATCGTCGGAATCTACCGAGTTGTGAGTCGTCTTATCATTATTGACTCGGAGATGGTCATGCTGACTTTGAGCAGGTCGAGGTCTTTACCGGTTACCGAGCAACGACCCGTCAACTCGTTGCGTTCTGGGTCGCAATGGTACTCTTCGAATTGTGAGGGTCTTCCCCTTCGATGCGTGCGTGCAGCGTCACGACGAAGGAAAAGCTGATTCTAAGCCTCTATCGATAGAATCGCCTTGTGTATCTTGCTGTCCATCTCCATTCCCAAGTGGTTCGGCGACTTCAAGGTCAAGCATGCGATGCACCACGACGAGGAGAAGAGGAGGGAGAGCATGAACACCATGACGACCGGCAACGGGACCGCAAGATATTGATGAGACCCTCAGATGCGCTCCGCGCGAACAAGTCGTTGTTCGTTCGGGCCGACCTACATATCCAAAGAATCGTTTGGTATACGACAACAACTCATTTATAATTTTTCCTATTGTATTGCTGTGTTTCGATTCTTTCGCAAGGTATCTGGGCCTCTTAATGTAGAGTATATGTAATGAAGCCCATCGTTCATGCTCCATGCCCAGCGGAACCATCTGCAAAGCCGCTCGCTCGTCGAAAGTCGAGTTTAACAAAACATTATGGACGGCGAAACAATCGATGTGTCACCCTGCCTTCAGAGGGTAAGCGAACTACCCTGCGGGTCTATCCAACCCGTCTGAGATCTGTGATCTGTGGCAACCTGACGCGCGTCTACTTATTCGTGGCTTGCAACTCTCGTATTTGCTTCCGGAACTCGTGGGTCGCATGTCTCTGGTCCTTGACGTCAGGGCTGTGTGTGATCATGTGTGACCGGGCTACATGGGGCACTGATTGAGCAAATTATCAACCGATCCTTTGCCATATTTGGTCATCCAACACCTCGATCGAGATGATACCCTGACGATCCATCACTACCGCAAGTGACTCTAGCATCCACCTCGTAAACGCTGGACATCTGACGTGAAAAGGCTCGCCATCGTCGCTGCATATTCCACCGATCAATTCTGTTCCCGAGGAGGTCCTTGTTTTGTCCTTTCCTCCTTGACGACCTCGTGACGACCAATCCATCACGACCGACTATCTACGCCAGCGTACAGCTGAGAATTCTTTGAAGTGGAGTATAGGCTACCTACTATCAGCCTAGGTACCGTAACAGAAAGACAGCGGATCAGGTGGACGAACGGATACCCTCCAGCTTCCTTCATCAAAAGTCACGAAAAGGAGCACGTGCCATTCCGATCTACCTGGTCTCGACAAACTCAAAAATCCAGCATCCAACCTACAACAGCACATCAACTGGTCATAGCTGCCTGACACTAAAACAGCCTGAAGATGTTCCGCGGTCGGACCTCTTCGCAAGCATCGTTGCCTCCGATGAAAGACGGGGTCGTCAAAGGTCGACCGATGACGATCGATGATGAGTCTCAGCATCGCAAGGATGCCGGGGATAAGCAGCATGAGAACGGGTCTGGGAAGCGAAGAACGTTTCTGGGGATGCATATTGGAGGTGGAAAGGACAAGGACAAGGACAAGGACAAGGAGGTAAGACAGGAGGTCAAAGTCGGTGTTCGAGGTGAAGAACCTGGTTACTGATCTATACCTTTGATCGTTGATGCAGAGCAATCACGGTCGTCGTCAATCGTTTTCTTCGCAAATGGGAGCAACAAACGTACCTCCTCCTGCCAACGGTCGACCTTCAATGCAGAGCCAAAGGACGCATTCAGGAACTCCTGGTCTGAACCTGAACGGCCTGCAACATCAACATACGAACCCTCACGACGGACCCCCTCGACTAGGTCCATCTCCTCACCTCCGTTCGAGCCCTAAAATCTCGCACGACGGATCCAGCATCCACAGCGATTCTTACAAGACGTCCAGTAACACCCACCTCCCACCTCGAGAATCCCGTTCTTCCCCCATCTTGGCCTCCCAAGCACACGCAAAGGAACCGGGGATGGCCTCCCCTCAAACCCGATCCACATCGAGTCAACAACTCCCTATCCGTCGACCTAGCACCATCAACCCGGCTCTCGAACGCGTCTTCACCCCGCTCATGGAGCTCATCCAACTACACAGCAAGAAGATGTACGGAGCCTCCCCGCCCGAGGTGGAGATGATCTTCGCTCGGACCCCTCAGGGTGGACAGCCGAAACAGGGTACGCCGGGGAGTCCGAGGAACGATTGGGACGAGGTGTGGATGCAGTTGAGTGGGACGAGTTTGAGCGTGTGGAGCATGAAGGAGACGAAAGAGGCGGATAAACGGGGAGAGAGGGTCCCGCCGACGTATTACAACGTCACTGGTAAGTCTAAAGTCAGTGATGGCTTCCGGGAAAAAGGCAGTCCTTTTGACGCAATCGAACCTGTCAATCAGATTCTTCTTTGGAACTACTGGCACCTCTTCCTCCGCCTCCTCATCGAGCTGAATCTCATCCACACCCATTCGTATTCTCCCTGAATACGGCCGGGTCCAACCGAATCCTCCTTTCGTGCCGTAGCGAAAACAATCTCGCCGTCTGGGTCACTTCCCTCCGGCTGGCAGCTTATGAGAAATCCCGGATCGAAGAGATCTATACGGGACATCTCTTACAGACATTCGTAAGGAGTACCAATCAGGGTGGACCGACCCTGCCTCCCAACTCTGGGGAAAAGGCATCATGGAACGAGCCCGACAGTCCGCTCGTCCGTGGTCGGATGGAAGGTTGGGTGAGAGTGAGGATCATGGGCGGGACAGAGTGGAAACGACTCTGGCTTGTCCTCTCGGCCCCCACGTCGGCCCAGGTGGGGAAAGACACCGCCGAAAAACGACGCAAGAGCATCTTCGGGTTTGGAGGTGGGAGCGCAAACGAGGGTTCGAGCTCGTCTTTGGCTGGTGTGGCCAGTACCAATGACTTTGGGGGAGCGGCCGTCCAGGAAGGTGGGACGGCTTTGTTTTACCCGAACCAGCCCGTCAAGGGGACAGGCAAGGGAAAAGGTCAGCCGAGTGAACAGCCAGTGTTGACCGTTACCAAGGTCTCGCAAGCGTGAGTCGCCAGAGGTATATGTCATCTCGCAACGATTCGCTCACTAACTCGTTTACACGTAGATATGCCGTCTTTCCCGAGCATCTCGAGGTGATCACCTCGAGCAACCTCTTGAAGATCGTCGGGAACATCTCTGGACCCATGGTCGTCGTCGAAGGACGTCCTCGCGCATCGGGATGGGCCATGGTCATGCCCGAAAAGCTAAATGGCGATGTGCCTGTGAGCCCGAACGGCAAGGATGACGCTGGGATCGTCGCAGAGCTCTTGAGATGGGTCGTCGGTGAGTCATCTGGCAGTCAAACCTGCATTTGAGGAGTACGCTCAACGTACTTTGGCTGCACGCAGGGTTCCACGATGCCTTCTCTCTTTACGGACGATCAAAGCATTATAATTGGGATCGAGACCATCCCGAGTCGTTATTTTTCGGCTACTATGGTCATCCGAAGATGAGCGTGAGTCACAGCACTCGATGCTGTTCGCAGTGTACGAGACTGATTCGGCCGTTTACACAGCGTTTCTTCATCAACCCGGCCCAAGCGCTCGAGGTACCCTATCAACAGGAACCGATTGCCGATGTTCGCCAAGCGTACAAACGCATCACCGTCAATAATCTGAGACAAGGGGCTGGACCAGGATCGCCAGGCTTGACCCCTTCGCAGAGTCTTGCCCTGACCAATCCGCACGATTCGCCTCCTATTCATGGGTCTGGAGGCCCTCCCACACGGCCATCTTCATCCGGCTCGCCGGCATCATTCCGTAGTTCGGGTGATGACGAGCGTCGCAACAGCCCGAGCAGAGATTACGACGAGTACTATGAGAACGGCCCGAGGATGCCTCACATGATGTCGACCTCCTCAAACGGCTCCATACCTCGGAGGGATGATGGTACTCTGACGCCGATCACCGAACGGTCGTATGTGGCCAGCACACGCTCACCGAGTATGGCTACATTGGGAACGCTAGCCAAAAAGGGAGGCAGTATGTCTTCCAAGGAGAAGCCCGTCTCTGGCTCTGGCTCGAGCCGTGATCAGTACCTATCTCGTCGAGAATCATACGGCAACCGTTTGGAGACGGCAATGGTAGCGGAAGGTTCGGAGTCAAAGGAAAGGCTACCCGAGGATATCTCAAGTAAAGATCGACATCAGAGAACAGATTCGGCCGGATCGAGCATGCGAGGGTCTCAGCTCGCTCAAAACAACGGTCAGAAACCCGCCATGATGGTCGCGACAGGTGGTAATACCCTAGATACACGTCCTACGGGGTCGGCTCCATCGAGTGCGAGCGTCTACTCCCCGGGCGTGGCCAGCTATGAAAATCACAGTGGACCGCAGAATGATGACCCGCAGGACAGGATCCCTCCACCATCGTTGGCAGCGCCATTGCCCTTAGATAACACTGTTCCGCAACAGACCGCAGGACAGCATGGCCGCGACCGATCTGAAGAATCGGATGTCCCGGTCATTGCGCCCAAGCCGCGGAAGGCGAGCGACCAGTTTGACGAGGATCAAGTTTTGCTGGATAACCACTACCTGCTGGATCAAATTCAGTTGACAGAGCCAGAAAACAAGCCGAATCCCGCCAAGCTGCAGGTATCTCATGATCGGGTAAACGACTCCCACTCAATCTCACCGACGGCATCCCGTACGGGACTGGGAAGGAAACCTTCAGGCGCACGAGCCATGCCCAAGGGCAGACAAGCGTCGATCACTTCTTCAGCCCCCTCGCTTTCACCTCCGATGGAGGCCAGAAATATCACACCGCCACCCGTCGACAATGCGGCCGAGCAGAACTTGACCACGCCGAAGCAGAACCAGAACCGAAACAGTCACCTGCCTCACTCGGCCTCCATGAATGCGGACGCGTTGGCCGCCCTGAGTTTCGTTGACGCAATGCCTTCTCCCGGAAAACCGGACCAGCACACGAGTCCGCGGGCGCAAGCTCGACCTCCGGCTGCTGTCACAACCCAGCCAGCCTTCCGGTCCTCTTTTGCGCCGACGCAGAGCGCGATCGACCGGAAAGAACGAGCCCAGGAAGCAGAGAAACGCAAAGAGCATGTCATGACACGTCCAGGCAAAGCGGGCGGTAAGGCGGGCGTCAAGCCTGGCAGAAAGGCCGCCTGGTCTGCTAGCTCGGAAGAAGATACCGATGAGGACGAGGACGAAGACGATGACAAATCGGATGCTAGTGAAGAATTGCAACCACCCAGTCGACCGGGTTCGAACTATAGCAGTCGACCTGGATCGAGAAACGGCAGGACCGGCTCTCCCCTCGCGATGGGTCAGCGAACCGGGACACCTCCGGTCCGGACGGCGAATAACGATCCTTCGTTTCTGGGTCGAGGTGCTCCGCAAGCTCGTCCGCTGCCCAGTGTGGACCAGGGTGGAGGACAACGCCGTGTCTCTCGGAACTTACCTCCTATTCCGGGCGGACGAGGCTCCACCTTTGAGCAGCATCGATCCTCGAGCATGAACTTCGGCGGCCAGGCGGGTAGCGGATTGCACGCCCCTTCGACGCTACCTGTCCACGATCGCTCGACTTCCTGGACTGGCGATTCTCCTCAAGCCAGCGACTCTGGCTATACCCCCTCGCACCAAGATCTCAATCAGCTAGGGACCGCCCGTCCAACCTTGCAGCAACCGAGACCCTCTGCTCGTCAGAGCATGTGGACTTCTGCTCTTGACGCACCTCATGCAGGTAACGAGGAGAATGGGAACGCGAACCCTGGCGGCAAGTTTGTTACTCTTGACGCCCCTGCTCACTTGACCAAGGCTTTTACGCCACACGGCCTTCTGCAAGCGGGTCTCCAAGATAAGGAAGACCGTTCGGCCAAGAAACAGCAAGAGATCGCCAAGGAGACAGGAGCGTCATTACTGAACGTCCCGAATAAGCCACCCGAGCCACAGATGGGCTTGTTGGGCGCAATCACGGCGCATGAGAAGGATCGCAAGGCTGCGGGTGGATTGGGAGCCGCGTTAACAGAGAGGGAGAGGGATCGTCGAATGGCCGTGAGTCAGACTCGTAAACAAAGGCGTGCACTCATGGGCATGGAACTGATAAAGAGGATGTGTTACAGGAACAACAACAACGGCAGATTGACGAGATGCAAAGCATGCAGAGGCAAAGCATGTACCCGGGTGGGGATGCTTTCGCTCGACCGATGAGCGCATATGGAGGCGGAGGCATGATGTCCCCCGGTCTCGCCTACGGAGTGAGTCTCATACAAGCGGCTTTGTATGGGTCGTTGTCGGCCCACATGGCTGACATTTCATTCGAAACCTTTGCAGCAAAACCCGAGCATGTACTGGCCGGCACCTCCGATGAACCCTTATGCGCAGCAACAAGCCATGATGGCCGCGCAGATGGCCTACCAAAATTCCATGTATATGGCAATGTCCGCTGCGGGTAGTCAAGTGGGTACCCCAGACGTCAGCGGAAATCCCAACATGGGCAATGGTTTTGACGCCAGGTCGGCGTCACCCGTGATGCCAATGAACATGCCTGGCGGAGGAAATCCGTATATGAGCATGTATGGAGGTTACGCGCCAAGCATGCCAGGGCAAGGGTTCGGGATGCCCGGGATGGGGATGTTGTCTCCCGGAGCCGGCGGCATGTTTTCTATGCCGGGGTCGGTCATGGGAGCGCCAACCGGAACTCAAACCCCGACAGGACAAAGTCAGGGTCAAGCGGGAGGTGATCAGGGCAGATCCAACGAACGACGATGATGACGACGAAGACGAAGACAACGAAGTTGATAATGCGCGATGCATTTCGTGGGGGCACAAATGCACCACCTTCTGGACGACACGAGATACGCACCTACACGCAAGCGTAGACGACCGGACAATGGATCCACTATTTCTGCTTTTTTTTACCTCCTTGCGATACCCGCTGCGCGATATCCTCTCTCATGGATCTTGCTGCCTTGTAACGATTGCGATTGATTTTCGTTGACGATGATAATGACATGCGCCCAGAAGCTCGCCGAGAGAATACCGAACTCAGAGTTTCGTCTTATGGGCTTCTCTGATCTCTGACAGAAGCGCTCGCGCTAACCTGGCTCGACTGCGTACAGGTGCTATCGCTTCTGAAGGCATGTCAACGGATGCGTTTTTCGTGCTAGACCCCAGATACCACTTTCAAGCCCCCATCAAGTTCAGATCATACGCCTTTATAGTCGACACTGCAGATCTGACCAAGGCAAGGTGGCTTACAAGAACGTGTTCTTGTTAGGGATTCCGACTCGACTCTTTTCGACTTTCGGCTTTTCTTTCTTGTAGTTTTCTTTCTTTTTCCTGAACTGTTGCTTTTTGCAGCTAGAATGAAAGTACAGGAGATATTAGGCGACGGATTAGAGAAGAGCCGGTGGCAATAGTAGCTTACCCGTGACCGTCTGTACAACATGTACAGTAACAGTTTCGCAGAAGCTATTAAGGGAACGATCTGATAGTCACCCATCATGTACACAACTACAACTTGCGCCTGAGCATGGCATATCAGGTCTAATGATACAAAATACGGTTCCGGTTCCCCTCATAGAAGTGGATCTCCATCGCTCAGTACCAGATGTCGCAGCAGCCTGGTCCACCAGCGTCAACTGCAAATAGCCAGAATGTTTCAGAATCATCAGTCGTCAGAGCATAATATATCGCTCGAAGCCTGGTGAAGGAAAAAGCTTACCGTTCACGACCCGCTCGTGCTCCTCACAAGTCCCTAAGATGGTCCCCGTCTTGAACTCCTTTTCGGTAGTCTTCAAATAGTCACGGTCCTCGTCGACCCCTTTTCCGGTGACCCACAAAATACACGTGCCGTTGTTCTTACTACCACTTTCTAGGCTTGCAGTGAAAGAAGCGCCATGACAGTCTGTTTGAAGGATGACGGTTGGTTTAGTATTTCTATCCATGTCCTACGTCGGCTGGTGGACAAGAGGGAAAGAGGAGGGCCCATGTACTAACCGGGTTGCTCGTAATGACATCGATCGTGCACTTGACCAGATCGCTGGCGGTCGTCTCGATCCAGGGCTATGACATCGAACATTCCGATCAGCAATCTCGATCTCTGCGGCGTTTCGGATCCTGGAAAGACTTGCCAATTCTTTGAAGCCAGCCGCGGATGCCGGATTGACCAGCTGAACAGCGGCGTACGACGTCAATCCGCCGGAGGACTTGGTTTTATCGCACCGGCCCGCTGAAGCGCCAATCGCGCCGATCAAGGGGATAACTGCTGTAAAACTAGATGCGTGCATAGTACCTGCGTTTTCAGGGTTAAGGTCGGGAGTTTGTAGCAGGTTGTCGGTCTGGTATGGATAAGCGCTCTGTTGATGCAGGAATCACGAGTTGGCTAGTCGCGCACACGATGAGAGGTATCTACCGTAGTGCCGAAAGTTAATATAGCTGCTTGAATGGAACAGAATCAAGTTGTCTATACCCTCGCTCCTGTATTGAAGACATGCTCCCTTTGCCCTAACACACCGTACATTCCCTGTGTTTCAGACAGTTCAGACACGGAGAAAGGGGCTTTGTTTTGCGAAGCTCGAGGAGGTTTTGTCTCATTCCTTTCGCCCTTTGACATAGTAGTCCCCTGTTTTTCCTCACCACAGCACGACTCCTAAACTTTCCAGGGCATCTTTTCGATCTGAGAGTTCAGACATCGTACGAACAACTTCGTACGAAACGACTACCAAGCATCGCTCGATCCATGCCCCTTGGCTAGAGATGCTGAAATTTGAAGTGGCCAAACGGCGCTGATAGTCTAGATTAACTTCGGCCCCAGGGTCATCAGGTAGCAGATACGTGAGCCCGATGTAACCACATGTGGAACGGAGCTAGAGGCGTTTTAATGGCCATACTTCGACCAATGTGTAGGTATACGAAGATGAAGAAGAATGAGGCTATGTTTGCGCGAATGTATCGGATCATCCACCCGTAGTTTACATCCGAATGTGTTCTACACTGGCGAAGGCTAGATCAATGTGATTCGCACGAATTTGTTTCGTTGACCATGACCAAGTTGTTTGCCTCGACCGAGCCCGGAGTTCGGTACTTCTGTTTCATGTACGAGTGTGTGACGATCGAAACGTGCCCCGCATTTTGGTGAGAACTCGGAAGCAAAAGCCATCTATCACTCCGGGTAATTAGTGATCAGGAACCCCACCTCCCCCGCAATCAACCTCCACATCATTCAGAGGTCGAGGACTCGTACAAATACCAATCAACATGACCAGCCTCCAACAACTCCTCGAGGCTTACCGGCATACCGAAAAAGCTCAAGACCTTTACCCAGATCGTAATTCAAGATGCTTCCTACAAGAGCACTCGCACGCAGTCTCACTGCAACCCGCAGCCCCGTTGCCAAGACCTCCCTCCGGCCCTGCCTGTCCGGATTAGCGAGCTTAGCGAGATCCAACTTTCACACCTCGATACCTCCTCGAAATGCTGCCTCAGAAGCTACGGCGGTACCGTTGTTGATCAACGGTCGGGAGATCAAGACCGGACATCCATTCGACCTGAAGCATCCTCGAACGGGGGAGGTGGTCAGCCAGTTTCACGGCGCTTCCGAGCAAGACCTGTGAGTCTAGCAACGCCGATATCGAGCTGGGCCGAGATCTCCAACCCTAAACTGGCAAGCTCACGACGACCACCTGCTTGTTTGCTTGACCTAATGTTGTGGCGCGACAGAAATGATGCTGTTTCCAGCGCAAAGATCGCTTTCAGATCCTGGGCTGCTCTTCCAGCTGGGAAACGACGTGACATCCTGTACAAGGTCAGCCCTTCCTGTCCGCTTATTCCCCCCTCCTGCACCTCCAGCCAGCTTCAACTTCAACTTCATCTTCACCGAAACTCACAATCTATCATGTTCGATTGTATAGGCAGCCAACCTGATCGAAGAACGCTACGAATCCGTCCTCGCCCCCGCTTATGCCAAGGATACGAACGTCGCCTCGATCGTGTTTGGGACGGACAAGGCGTACGGGGTGGAACACTTGAAGAGCGCTGCGGCATTGTCAGTCGACCTCCCCTCTCCCTCCACGTACGCGTTTCTCTAGTCCGGTTTGGGTAGCTGATCGATGATTTCATCCTTGTCTCGATCAGGACGACAGAGTTGAAGGTAAGCTTGTTGTTATGCCAGATGCCATGAGGGTACGGGCTGATGGCTGATTCCGAATGATTTGGCAGGGCGAGATTCCGCCTACGATGGACGGGTCGTTGGCCTTGGTCACACGCGAACCTTATGGTGTCATCCTGGCTATCAGGTCAGTCCGACGTCTAGTTCGACTCGTCTCTAGAGTGTGACTGTGTCTGATCCGTACCTCCCGCAGCCCTTTCAACTTTGGTATCACCCTCGGCGTCCGAGCATTCTGTTACGCCTTAGCATGCGGTAACGCCGTCATCTGGAAGGCCAACCAACAAATCCCTACGTTGCATTACGAACTCTGTAAAATCATGCACGACGCCGGTGTCCCTAAAGAAGTCTTGCAGATGGTCCAGTTCGCCCCCGGCACGGAACCCGAACGGACTGAACAACTGATAGCTCATCCGGATATCAAGCTCGTCAACTTTACCGGGTCGATCGGTGTGGGATCTTCTATCGGGGCTTTGGCTGGAAAGTACATCAAACCCGCCTTGCTCGAGCTCGGGGGGAACGCACCTGCTGTCATCTTGGAGGATGCGGATTTGGCCATGGCGGCCAACAATATCGTCTTCGGTGGGATGCTGCACAGCGGGCATATCTGTATGAGTACGGCGAGGATTGTCGTCCTCGAGAGCGTGGCCGATCAATTCGTGAGCGAGCTGGAAAAGATCGTTGCCGGTGAGTGTAACGTAGTACTCGTGCTCACTGATCTTGAGGTGAATGATGCTGAATTCGTACCTACCTTGCAGCCGAGTTCAAGGGTCTGGATAGGATGCGTATGGCCAACAAGGCCGGGGTGGACAAGCTGCATAGCCTGGTCGCTGATGCGACGTCCAAGGTGTGTAAGGAACGTGAACATTTCTATCGCCAATGCTGACAAGAATCCGATATCCACATTCACAGGGAGCCAACCTGATCAAGGGCGTCGCAATCACACCGAAAGACGATGAGATCTCCCACGCTCCCGTCATCCTCGACCGTGTGGACTCGTCCCAGGACATTTACCACCAAGAGACGTTCGGTCCCTCGCTTGTCGTCATCCGGGCCAAGGATGTCGAGGACGCTATCCGGATCGCCAACGACTCGGACGTCGGACTCAGTGCGAGCGTATGGGGCAAAGATTACAAGCAGTGTTTGGACGTAGCCAAGCGAATCGAGAGCGGGGCGGTGCATATCAACAGTATGACGGTACATGATGAACCTAACCTGCCTCATGGTGGAATGAAGGTGGGTCAAATCTGAAAAGGGGTGGTCCCCGAATCATCAAGGCTGACGTGCATGTGATCACCTCAAGAACTCTGGGTTCGGGCGATTCAACGGACAAGCTGCCGGAATGCAGTTTACGCAGACCAAGTGTATCAGTGAGTTTCAGCGGTTTCGAGACTAGAGGGGAGAATTTCTCCGTATCTGACGACTCGGTGAGCCTTCTCAGCAATGCGAGAACCGCACATGCTCCCCATCGCGTACATCAAGTGATGTCCATGCGGTATCCAGTGAAGCAAAAGTGCCGGAATGTATGAATATGCGTAGGATCGCTTGTATGTGCGACCAAGGTGATACAACTTGTATGGGAGAGAGCCAGTCTTGATGGTACACGACGATTCGTCGAAAGGGTCGGAGGCGTTGATTGTGGTCTAGGCTGTCGGGCGGGTGTGCGTGGCGAGGTCCTTCGCTAGCCACTTGAAGGGAAGCCTCTCTAGTCGGTCATTCCCAGCTTCTTCTTCTCCTCTGCCAGGGCCTCTTCTCGTTCCCTGAGTTCGGTCGCTTTGACAACGGCCTGCTGTTGGCGTGTAGGGTGATGGTAGAGCACTAACATGAGAAGCTCCAGATCAGCATGAATCGCTCGTGTCGTCCGTCTTGCGTCATAGCTCGACGTACCGACGATATAACGTTCGGCTAAATGGAAACCGTTCAAGTGGTTCATAGCTTCTTTCGCATCATCCGCATGCTCGTATACCTAGAATGACCATACAATCGAGAGTAGGAGAGAGATGAGCGACTCTATCATATCGGTTTATCCCATCTTCGGGGACTCACGATGTATGCCGTTCCCTTTGTCTTGGCAGCAGCATCCGTCCCTAATCTGACTTGCCGAATCGCTCCGTACTTCCCGAAAAGGTCGTAGAGGTCTTCCCCTGTAATTGCATAGTTCCTGTTGACAACACAAGATCGCCCGCTACTGGCATCAGCTTGCGATAGCAGATATTAGTACAGGGGACCGGGACTTACAGGTTCTTCACGAATAGCACTCGCTGTGAGTTCGGATCGTTTGATGCTCGGTTCATCTTGGCTGTCGTTGCCTATCGGGAGCCCATGGCTGTCGGACCATCGCAAACAGATTGATACCCTTTCTGCGATCTTCATCACGAAGCTACCCTCGCCTCGGGGCTCGGTCACGAGTGTTGCCCGCGGACACTGAATACGAATATCGATGTCCGCGCGTTTCAAATGCTGGTGGCGCGAATAGAGATCAAGGTCGATTACATGATTCATGCTATTCATGAGACTCGAAAATAGCGCTGTTCTGCTAGACGTCTGCTGACATGGTAATCCTGGGGTCGTCGAGACTGCAAAGACTGGATCCCCTGAAGTTGCATGTGCAAGGATGTAAAGCCGTGAGCGCGATTGTGGTAACAGGTGCTAGGGCGAGACATTCGCTAAGGTCTATGCCGGCTGCGAGTCGGGCTGAACGGATTTATCCCACCTTTGCTACAACCTCATTTTGGTGACCTTTTCATCCTTTGCCTCCAAAATCCATAACGAGCGCTCATGTTTGGAAAGATGTTGCTTGAGCGATTCGGCACCAATAGTGAGGTTCGAGTCCTTGTTGTTGTATTGGGTAAACTTCCTGCCGTAGTGGGTGAATTTGTAGTCGTATTGGGCAAGTTGATCATGTGTGAACGAATATGCATGCAAATGCAATCTGCACAATCTTGTATATTATGATCTTGCTACCGCTTCTCGTCATCATTCCGCGCTTCTTCAGCCTCTCCCCTTAATACTGATATACTGACCGATGTTGACAAGGGAGCACGACGAACGGTTCAAACCCCAAAGACCCGGTCTTCGTGCATTCGCGAGCTGGGACTGAAGCCTGACAAGATGTTACAGCGCGTTCAATAAGCAGATAGATATTTCGATACAACTCTCTGGAATACAAGTTTTGTCTATTATAATAGTTCATATCCGACCTAGATATCACTTCGTCAACCACCCGAGGTAGTCGGCTACGAGCAGGGTAACCATGCTGTCGAATCGATCAATACAAGAGGTCAGTCTATCTGTCGAACTCGAGCTAGCACAGGATCCCCAATACGGTGTACTTACGCATGCGGTGCGATCCTGACGTAATACGTCCCGAAACCACGGTAAAACCTCCCCACTCCCTCCTCTCGTGCCACCTTGAGAGCGGTCCCGACCATGCCGACCCGTTTCCCATCGACAACGTTCCCACCCTTCTGCATCCTCGTTTTCACGAAATCGAACGGCAAGCTGAAGAAGCTCGCAAAGAACCCAGCAACCGCCGAGCTGACGAGCGTCTGTTGCATGGCGTTCATCGAGTGGAATCCTTGGCGTTCAAACTTCGAAAGCTGCGATTTCGTCTCGGAGAAAAAGGCCAGTTGACCAAAGTTCAGGGCCATGGCCCGTGCGACTGTGGGGGTGGCGCCGTTCCAGAGGGCGAGCACTCCTTCTTTGGCGGTGATATCGGTGAGGGCGTGGAAGACGTTGGTATAATTTGCACGCATGTGAGCGGGTTTAAGACCGTCAGATTGCATTCGGATTAAGGCCAGGTCAGCCGGGTTGCCCAGCATGGCGGCTATCAAGTTGGTCAATCAATCAAATATAAGCGATCAAGCTATGATCCTTCGTTCGAACCCGATGCCGACTCACCGAGACCTCCAGCCGATAACCCAGCGATCGCCCTCTCCTTGAACCCGACCTCTCCAGCTCGTTTCAGCCGTCCCATGAACGTATCAAACAATCCCAGCCTGGCCGTCGTGTACACCGCCTGCCTCAGCAGACCGGCAGAGAGTCCGGTATAGAGTTGCGACGCTGGCATCGAACGGGCGATGTGGATGGGGTTGGTCGATTGGCCTGTTGAGGAGGCGAGCTGGATTCGCACCTACGGCCGAATTGGGGAGAGAAGCGAGCGCGTCAGTTGATTTGGACGCTTTGAGGCTGATGAACCGGAAAGTGACCAGACTGACCTTGACCATGTCGATAGGCTGGACCACAGCGGTAGCCTAATTGCATGACAACGCGATCGGTCGGATCAGCTTCAGCGCTCCCCCAACATTTTCTATCCCAACCTCCTCAGGAGGCCCTGAGGAAGGTAAGACGACTCAAGACTTACAACCATCCCGCTAACCCCTCCATTTACGAAAGGCAACAACCCGACGATCCAAGGACTCTTCAAAAACCCCTTGGCACCTTCTTTCATCTCCGCCCCAGCTCTGGCCACATTCGCCCCAGCTCCCGCGCCGATAGCAGTAGCGCTGTTGGAGACGTTCCTCGCCGTATGCGCTGAAGAATAATAAGGGGTCGTCGCGCGGAGAGACATGGTGTCTTTGATACGTTGGATGTTGGATGGGCGGGCGATGGAGGAGGAGGAGAGGAAGGAACGGTCGGGATCGGAGTTCATCTGAGGTCGTTAGGGGGTCGTTCAAGCGGGAGCGCAGTGAGGTGAAAGTGAATACGGGTCAGTTCCTCTGTATACCATGTATCAAGGGAGAAGAAATGCGGGACTTACATTCTTGCTCAGAAATCTCTATTCTTCTACCGGGAGTTCAAATTGTCTACCAAAAAGGACCTGGATCGACCTTTAATCCTTATATATCCAGAGCGTCGTCTTTCCCACTTTCACTTGTGCTATACTACGAAACGATGATGCCCGAGGCGCAAAGTGCGGTCCCGAAGCGTACGGGCCGGTTAACGGCGAAGTCGAACATCGACGACATTGTTTGACGATCAACGCGATACGGAGCGGAAGTTTGAATCGGAGCGGATAAGATCCCACGAAATAAGAGTGACAAGCAAGGGTAATCAGCCTTCATGCAATGTTTTTGGGAAGAGACCAAGTGTCGAAGAGGAAGGAGGGGAAGATCTCGGGGTGGATCGACCGAACAATGCCGAAAACGCGATGAGACGCGAATTGCGAACGAGACCCATCGTCCGCCCGTCCGTCGACCTCGTCCGTCTTTTCCGGGCAGACCGGGACATCTCTGGTCCGCATGTGGTAACGAGCAGGTAGAGAAAGACTCACCAGTGTAGACTATGGATTTTGGTTCTTGGAAGACGGAGTCCCGTGGGTGTAGGTTGCGGTGTATGCGCAGCGAGGTGTGTGGTCGGTATGGATATGGTGAAGGGGGGCTTGACCGGCCCGGGGCAGAAACTGGGAAGTTTGAAACGCGCGAGAGATGAGGCTTGTGAGCCTTGGCCGTGCGAGAGATCTGGTCTAGGGAGAGGTTTGCCTGGATTGGGATATCGACGACTCGGAAGGACATGGTAGTAAGTTACAACCGGCGATCGCAGGCATACAGAAGGGGTTATATAGCAAACGGTCGGCCGGCATTGTGTGTGTGTGTGTGAGCAGATGAAAGGAAGGATCCGAGATGTCGCAAGGATCCAGTGATCACTTGACTTCCACGGGGTGCAGGCGCAGGCGGTCCCATGATCAATTCTCCTCGTCAGATCACGTGATTGCTTCTCGTGCCAACTATAAGTGTCAGCCTGTGAAGCCTCACTTGAAGATGTCAGCCAGAGATGCCGAGCATCTCGGCAACGATGCCCGCTCCTGATCACTCTCTACGACGGCGGCAATTCCATCAACTTCCGCCAGACCGCTAGTCTGTGACTTAGCGCGCGATCGCCCAAAAAAAGATGGAACACGCACGGGGATTCGTCATTTCCCGGTGATCGACATCCTCCTCGAGCTAATACTCGTACTGCTACTACTCCATGTCTCGTCCGGTTAATGACATCGACCCGTTATTGTGAATGAAACGTCGACGCCTCTCGGCCGTGGGGTAAGGGTAAGGCTACTTGAAGCCGGGATCGTCGTGAGCAAGGAGGCGGTATGATATATGATATATAGATCTCTCTGCATTATTCCTCGATCTGCACACCTCCTCCTCGGACTCCTCTTTCGACAAGGACGACGTAATCTAGCCGTCTAGCTCGCCGATCGTCTATTTACTGCATCTTCGCAAACCATCTGACCCGCATCCGAGGAGGATCATCATATCGTTACACTCTCAATCGGTTTTATCGACTCCATATCCCATACAAGGGGGCGTTCAGTAGCAACCATCGCAATCACAAGATAGAGGGAGAAAGAGGTCAATATTCAAGATGGTCGGAACAACAACAACATCAACACTGCTCAGCCGTAAAGCTCTTCCCTTGGCTTGTAAGTCCGGTTCATCGCTCTATGGTCCCTTTCCCCCTTTCCCGATCCCGATCCCCGATCGGAGAGACACAATCGCACATCGTGTCATATGCATATATGATCATATGGGATGTAATGGCTCAGCTGACATCGGGAATGATCTCTTCGACTTGCGATTTGTCACCTTACAGCCGTCCCTGTATCACCAACATTAGACCTTGGAGGTGGAGAATACGATGCATGGGTGGAAAGACTGGTTCAAGATGCTTTGGGAGTGGTTGGGAGTATGAAGTGAGTCCCCATCTCCTCCCGACAACCCGAACCTCGCTTCACCGCTCCTCATTACTGATTCAATCCTGGAATCCTGAAAAACAGCCGATGGAGACTATCCACCTCGCATCAGAAAGATACCGTCCAGACCTACACCCTCCCTTGCCATCATTCCGGCCGAGACGCCCAGCCCAGCACCCCCGAGGGCTCGCGTCCAGCTCTCCAGGTGCACAAAGACGAGCTCTGGGCAGGAAGACGGAGTTTACATTTCATCCCCCGAGTTCGACGAGCCAGCTTGACCGGAGGAGTCGACATCGGAGAGGCGGAAGGAGAAGAAGAGGAACTCGAACGGAACGGAGGAGGGTTGTTCGAGGCGTTCGAAGAGGGGTTGTTGAGGCGGCATACGGAGCATGAGAAGCAATATATAGAAAGTTTGAAGGATGTCGAGAGGGTGGGCGTGGTGAGGGAGGGAGAGGCTGAGGTTTGGAAGATGGTGTATTCGATGCCGTGAGTACGACATCAGCTTCTAGATCTGAGCGTGCATGACACGTAGAGGATGAGGCAGGCTGATGGCTGATCCTGACGGGACGTTCGACGTTCGATAGATCACCACTCAGTCCGAGGACGTTCGTAGAGCTGGTGATTGCCAAGGAACTACCACCGATACCGGGCAAACTTCCCCCTGGTTTCCATACGAATCATCTTCCCAGACCTTGTCGGCAATTCATGGTCATCAGTCTCCCGATTGACGATCGAAACTCGTCTCTGCCTTCACCACCATACTCGGCAGAAACGGGTTCGCCTGGATCGTCCACGCCACCTTCACCTGGGTCCGGTATCGCTACCCCAGACTCAGTGGTCTCCCCGACAACGCCAGGGACGAGTCGGCCGTCTACGAACGGGAGAGCATCCACATCGACATCGACAAGCGGTGGCAAAAACAAGACGGTCCGAGCGCGCTACGTCAGTGTGGAATGGGTCAGAGAGGTCGATCTACAACTTGCTGGATTCGAGCATGGGGAGATCGACGGAGGGCCCAGAGTCGTCAGAGGGATCGAGTGGATCATGGCGACGAGTAGCAGTGCTGGGGGTGAGTAGTCGGATCGTGGCGAACTTGACGTGTACGCGAGCGCTAACGTCGTAAGAAAATGGGGTAATGTCAGGGAACGTGCCTCAAGCTGTTACGAACATGTCTCTGCCGTCCAAGATTACCGAAGTGAGTCCTCTTTCTGCGTCTGTAACAACGCCGCTTCTCGAAGTTCATGCTTATGAGTATGCGCTTCCAATTGCGATCAACAGGACGTCCCGGCTTTCCTCGCGTGGGTGGCGAAGAAGAGCCCGCAGCTAGGCAAGATAGAAAGCAAGAAATTGTGATCCCCTGAGCTGAAACGACACACCGAGATGAAGACGCCCCTTACTCAAGACTGGCCCTATTCGTGCGCAACTATATAATGACCCGGTTTGAGCGCGTATCATTGAATGGCCTGTCGAGCCTTGTATTGCATATGATTCCTCCATAGTTATATAATAAGATCTTTTCTTCCGACCAGTTGATATATCGATCAAATGATAGCTGAACTCCGTCTTCTTTGCCATGTCCCTGAACAGGCTCAGCATGGTAAGGACGGGGCCGCCATTCAACATTATTAAGACGACAAGCTACCTGCTTCAGCAATTTGTGTCGCCATGGGAGGCAAGGTGCTGGCGGCTGTGGGGCGGGGTTTCTCGAGCACAGATGTAGCCTGACCGACAGTCATGACCTTGACTCTTCGGGAGAGTAGACAAGGGGCGTGTCGCGTTTTGGATAAGTTGATCGCTGTATTGTGTTCATCGCTGTCATCGAGGACGTTAGTGATCACAGCGCTAGATGTTGACGATGCTGTACGAACCTGGTGAGATAGAATACCGTGAACTGCATTGTCTTCAGAACGACTTCTTCTCAAAACTCCCTGTCCTCATCTTTGTCTTGCTCTCGTTTGGATATAAGGTGATTAGGAATCCTCTTGAATTTAATATGTCCGATGTCGGACTGTACTCTACCTATCGACGCCACTTCGAGCTTTGAGGGTGTCGCCATCCCTTCGATCATCTTGGAAAGTCGCTCGCACCACGAGATATCACGCTGACATTTCTGGCCGATCCTTGATCGACATCATCCGGTTTAGGCATGAAATACGTAAACGAAATGCTGATAGAATACCTCAGGTATCGTCGATACGGGTACAACTTCAACTCGTCTCAATCCCACCTGACCATCGCCCATCCCAAAGGCCCATCCTCTTCCTCAAAGATCACCTCCCCCTTGCCCTCCCCCTCTTCGCCATCCACATTCCCTCGACTGTCGCCCGCCCCGCTCTGTACCGCCCCAGCAGCGACGACTAACGGCATGAGATGTTCCGGCGTAGGGTGCGCCCGTCGATAATCTTCCCTCTTAAACAAGCTTTTCGAAGCTCGGCCGATGTCCCCGAGGGGAGAAGTAGCGGCCTGGAGGAATGCTGTGAGGAAAGGTTGACCGTACGTGGTCCCTCGTCCACCGAACGATCTGGCTTGGCCTGTTGTATATATCATTTATGGGTTTGTCGTAAGCTTCTTGAACGAGATCGACAGTTTGGCGCGGTCGCCAGACCGACTCACCTAGTTCTCTCAGATTATGTACCGCCTGACCCGTACAGACGACCCCCCATCCATCCCCCCTAAGTTTGCCCAAAACCTCGCCCAGCTTTTCCGCCGATTTCGGACTAGAATCACCCGGTAAAGAGATCTGAATCAGGGGAGGGATGAGGTCCAGCGTCTCTTTGGAAGGAGTGGGAGGTTTGGCGTGAGGGACGGGAGGTTGGGAGAAGGCGATCTTGAAGGGGACTATAAAGCGGGATCCAGTATAGAAGATATACATCGTGTTCACGGGTTTGTTAGCGGCGAATCGTTATAGATCAGGGATGGCTTTCACTTACCCCATAACCCATGATCCAACCCCCTGTCTACCGGCTTGACCTCCCAGCCTCCCGCCTCGAGAGCTCGCTTGACGACCTCGACCCCGCCGTCTGGTCCGGAGGAGTGGAAGGTCTGGGAATAATAGTGTGTCGGAAAGTTGTAGAAATCGTAGATGAGCGGGTTACCAGGGTTGTTGTTGACTATAGTCAATTTAATATCACGCAACGACAAAACAAAAGACAACAGCGAGAAACCATCGAAGACGGATCAGCCCGAGTTCGGTATTTAGCTACAGGCCGAGACAAGACACACATGCCGACGTACCTTCAATAATCTTCCCCTTCGTATCGTCTGACTCCCAATGCGCACTGACGCATACGAAACCTTTCTTCTTATCCACCTTCCCTTGTCCTATATCCCGCCTGATGAGCTGGCCAACTCTTCCCCAAGCTTGGTAAGGGCCGCTCTTCTCGGCGTACATGGAGGGTGGACCTCCGTGCGAGATAAAGTAGACGGGAGCTCGGGGCATGGTGATTGTCATTGGTGTTGTGGTGGTTCGGTCGTGAAAGAGGTAGGAGAGGACGAGTACTAATAGGGCGATGAGATAGGTAGGTCGGATGAGCCCGGTCACGGTTCTGGGCGTGGGTGTCGGTCGATCCAGCTTGGCGTTGATGATGAGATGCTACTTGAAAGCAAGAGGAAATGTAGGATACTGGACGACATGGTCGAGTGCACGAGTACCTGGTATATATAGCATATGACATTGGGATGTCGTGAGATTCATGGCTAATCAGATTACAGATCGCAAGGGTAATCGGCAAATGTAGTGATGATGCTGACTCATCAGAGATTTGTCTCGAGCTTACTCCACATGTTTCATGGCAACATCGTGTTCAATCATCGTCACAGGGGATCAGCGCGCGCCGGTTAAGATTTTTTGGGGTCGGATAAGGGTAGGATAAGAAGCGACGGTTAAGCATTTAGCTTAACGGGCTCTTATCCTACCCCCATGGATTTGGACGCGGGGGTCTTTTGCCTTCGTGGCGCCTGTCTGTAATATGATCAAGTCGATCATCACTTCTTACCCCTATTTCGCTGCAAGCCCGTATGCTAGTTGATAGTTAGTGGTACGATAAGACTACCATCATATTACCGTTCCAGATGTCGGTATCCGCCTTTCCAACTCCTCCCGATTACTCCAGCCGCAGTATCGCTATGCTTGAGGCCCAGGTGGTGAGCGAATTATCAGTCCCTTAACCGACTCTTATCCTTGCTCCTCAACAGCCCCTCAACAGACTAGGACTCTGCCTATGCAGCCACTGTTCCCGCCGAGGCAGGGTTATTACTGGAAGAAAATATCTGGCTCATATCCGGCGCTTAGCAGGAGAGGCAGAAGAGCGGCAGTACCTACTTAATGAAATACAGAACAGCCAACTCCCCCCCGCCGTACCACCTGATCTCGACATCCCCTCCTCACCAACTCAGCCCTATCACCCCCCTACTGAACCACTTGGTGGTACGTTAAGCCCCTCGCAATACGGCCCTTTTGATACCCCCTTTGATGGTATTTCGCTGGACGATCCCGGCCACCTTAATCAATCACCGACATCCGAAAACGACCCACAACGCACCCTTAACCCTCCAGATAACCCCCCCGATCTGCCCCCCCCTGAGCCAGCTCTACCTTATATCCCCGAGCTCCATGATTACCTGGACGATTGGCCCTACGACATACCTTCGGTCTTAGTCAATCCTTGGGATACCGAGCCCTTGTCGGACTACATAGGCCTCGACCAAGTCCAGGACAGCACAACCTTCATGGAACGCTTGATTTACACCTACGCTATTCTCATCGAAGCTGCGGGCGCAGCCAGAACCCTAATTCACTTCTTTCTCAGGGGGGCCCTTAACCTGGTCGATAGCACCCGGTTAATGGTCAACAGTGATGCACCCTCCCTACTCAGCGACTCGCCGGCACAAACCCTTCGGACTGTTCATCGGAAAACCGGCACCTATGTGCCCAATATCGTACACCCTGTGTGTCCGAATATGCTCTGCCATGAGGTTCTGTACGACGTCACATCACCAGTTTCATATTCAGCCGTTGGCTCAGCCCGACTACCGGCCAACCTGCCTCTTAACTGCCCCGCATGTGGCCAGGTAATGGACGGAGAGAAAGGCAACGTCCCCCTGGACTTTTCACGTATACCCTTACGCTATCAGCTTGAACGAGTTCTGGCTCATCCAGGTATGGAAGACCTAGCGTTTAACTGGCAGGATAGGCGTCAGTTAGCAGTCCGCTGGGACGAGGCCACTTGTCCCGCCGAGTCGATCTTGCATGACCAATGGGATGGTGAAGTACTTGAGCGAATCCTAGGACCGGACGGTAACCCACTCTTACACGACCCCCCTAGGCCTGGAGATGTCCCCGTTATCTACTTGAATCTCTACCTGGATTGGGTCAACCGTTCATCATCGATGATGTCGACGCCGTACTCTGTTGGACATATCTCACTCCAAATCGTCAATTTCCCGCAAGGTTTGAGGTCAGTTCAGAGTATGATAATGCCTATTGGCATTATTCCCGGTATGTATCTTTGCGCTCATTGCAACTTGTTCGATCTGCCAACATAAAATTTCTAACTGGCCCTTATCTTGCTGTCTATAGGTCTGCGAGAGCCCCGACACGTCAATTACCATAAATTCCTTATGCCGCTGGTAATGGAGTTACGCCAGGCTTGGTTTCAGCCAGTCTCGATTCGGACTCCCAAGTTTCCTAACGGACGGTTATGTCACCTTGCACTGGCCGCCGTGTGCGCCGATAGGCCTGCTGCTATCGGCCTGATAGGAGCTTCGTCACAAGCTCGTAAATCTGATGTGTGCACTCGCTGCCATGCCACACACGATCGTCTGGCCTTTACACAGGGTAAGTCTGACCAGACAGGGGTAGGATAGTTGTTGGATAATTTTAACGGCATGGACCTTAGATTTTCCCCTTCGCGATTCGCATCATCACTGCCAGGGTATCTTATTCGGAGAAGAAGCCGGCTTATCTGCCATACGACAGGCCCGTCAAGAGCACAATAACGAGCAGGCTGCTCTTTCCAACCAAGCCGAGGCTAAACGAAACGACTGGGCTCAGTTACCCCGAACTACTAGGGGACCCAAACCACCCCCTTATCGGCCCATCAAATTCACTTCAACCATGGCTAAAGAGGCCCTCAATCGGTCCCCTTATGCGGATGTTAAGGGTCACCTATCGGCCCTTATGTTGCTGCCGTATTTCGACAAGTTCAGGTGTACCGTCTTCGATGCCATGCATAACCTGCTTCAAGGCAACGACAAAACCTACCTCTGGAAGTGCCTTTGTGTGGGCAAATACGGGACCGTTAACGAGCCGGACAACGACGACGACTCTGAAGTCGATTCGACTGACGGGGAGCTATTCCCTCAGCCCATCGTCAGGCCGACATTTAACCCACCCTTATCGAGCACCATAGCACCTGCATTATCCCCCGCTGTTCTGGACGACTCAATGACCCTGGAGGAGGCCATGGCTGCATCGCAGGCATCCGCTGAACCGTCGACCTCCATGGCGCCTCCCAGACCACCCTCTAACCCACCCTTATCACGTCCGACAAGGGTCAACCCAACCAGACGGGCAAAAGAGGTCTTGAAGCCGGTCTTTACCCCTGCAAACCTTGTCGCCATAAGTAAAGCCATTCGTCAGGTATGGGATCCTTAATGGCGCCTTGTCTCGTCATACAAGAGGCTGATAAGCGTACGTGACAAGGTGGTGCTTCCTACAGGCATATATGAAGCAATCCCCTCAGGCTTCCTTGACATCAAGGGCGGAACCAAGACGTCTGCCCAGTGGAGAACCTGGACGGAGGTTTATGTGCCCCTTATCTGGCCAGATATCTGGCAGATGAACAGAAACTAGTGTTGGCATGGAGTGAACGCGTTCACCAAACGCCTTGCAAACGTCTCGAACGTCTCCAAAAAATCACTGAACGCCAACGCCAAAATGAACGTCTTAGACGTTCGTGGCGTTGGCGTTCGAACGTCTTAGACGTTTGAGGCGTTTGACGTTTGAACGTGATCAAGTTTCATCGAATATCTATACTAGAATACACTACAATTGTCCTTATTGTCCGTACCGATCAATCGTCGTCGTCGTCCTCGTCGTCAGAGTCGTGGTCGATCACCACCACCGGCTCGATCGGTCGAGACGAGCTAGCCGCAGCGTTCGAGCTCGAGGCTGACCTCGAGCCCGCAGGCCGGGGTACCGGTGTAGACGTTTTAGACGTTTGAACGCCAAACGTCTCGACAAACGCCTTGTCGTTGACGACTCCCCTCTTCACCCAGTCACCAACAAGCATAGACTCTCGTACGGTTGATGGATTCAACCGTGTACGTCTGCTTGAGACGAGTAGGCCTGCCTTGGAGAAGACCCGTTCGACGTCGACGGAGGTGGCTATGTAACGAAGTAAAGAAGTTCGAGACGTTCAGACGTTCAAACGTCTAAGATACGCAACTCACCAGGGGTTCCCAACACATCAAACGCCATCTGCTTCAGCCCATTCAACGACGACTGGTGACTCCACCACAACAGGGCCTGGCCTCGGAACGGTGCGACCGTGACGTCAGTCGCAGATGCGTTGACGAACGTGTCGAACGCGTCCTCTTGACTCTTAGACGCCTGCTGCGTTCCTTGGGCCAGAACCTCATCGAGCTCGTCGTTGATCTGCGATGTGATAGACAAGCGTTGTGTATATCAGTAAGAAGCAAGCAAACGTCTCGAACGTCAAGAGTAGAGTAGATCGAGAGGGACAGACCATCGCGTTGACAACCACCTCGTTGTCGACCTCAGCCACTCGGTAGTGGTCCTTCCACATCTCCTTCCCGATACGCAAGGCCTCGCTGATCCACTCGGCAGGCCACTCCTTGCGACGCATGTATGCGACTCGGTAACCAGGATGGAGGACTGATGAAGTCGAAGACGTTTGGGTAAGCCAACGCATCCGAACGTCTCAAACGCCTTGATATACAACACAACTTACGGAGTGCGATGCGGTACAAGACGCTCTCGTCCGTCTTGCTGTAGTACTTGTCAAGTACTGCCTGTCCCCTCTTCACCCCGTACTTGACGGCCTTGTTGATCGAGGGGTGATCCCTGATCTGATCGAACTTGGTCGTAAGGGCGTCCATTACGGGGATGACGCCAGCGATCGAGGTGTAGTCGATGTTGACGTCAGTCGAGGTCGAGAACCTCGTCGTGGCAGCACTGACGATCTATTGCATGTTGTTGGCAAATCACAGGTGAAGATTGACGTAAACGTTCGAGACGTTCAGACGTTCAAACGCCATCAAGAAGCACTTACCCCGAGCGCCGGTTTCAACGACGTCAGAAGCTCGAAGTCCGGTCCGTCTAGCTTCTCCTCCTTCTTGATCTCGTTCTTGGGGAGGTTGGAGTAGAGGGAACGGCTGTAGTAGAGGTTGTTAGCCTAGCAAACGTCTCGAACGCGTTCGAACGCCTTACATCACGAGCTTCGCGTCCAAGGCGCCCTTGATGCACGACAACGTCGAGTTCCATCGGGTCTTGACGTCGACGGGAACGTTGTAGGCCTTCGACTCGATCTTCCCGTTCTCGATCAAGTCGGCACAGACTGCGTCCCAAACTCGTCGGTAAGCCGAACGATGTTTGAGACGTTTCGCCAGGAGACGGAGCTAAAGACGTTCGAACGTGTAAGCCGTTTGAACGTCTCGAACGTCTGGGATACTTCGATCTTACTAACCTTGAATAAGGCGTCTCGGGCCTTCTCCTGCTGACCGACGACCTGCTTGACGTCTTTGACGACTTGCGTCTGACCCTCTTGGGTCTCCGGGACGAGGGGGACGAGGGGGACGTCTAGAGAGTCAAGAACCTCTTGATCGTCTTCCAAGTCTTCGACATCGGGAACGATGTTCCCGTCCTCGTCGAACGGTTCCTCCGGGTAGACGTCTTCGTCGTCGTCGGCCTTCTCTTCCACCTCCTCCTCTTCATCCCACTTGAGTCCGGTAGCCCCTTCTATGATAGCCTGTAGTAGCATATTTGAGGAAGATCAGTAGACGTTTAGACGTTCGAACGTCTCGAACGCGTTCAAACTTACCCCCGAAATCAAGTTCAAGACATGAGCGAAACACCGGACTCGACCCTTGTCCGAGTAGAATCGCTTCCACTCCTGCTCCCCCACGGCCTCGATCATCGAGTCGTTGACACTGGCGTTGTCGCAGACGATCGAGAGCACCCGGTCCCGAATTCCCCAAGTGTTACGGCGGAAGTCGCTAATCGAGCTAGGTCCTAAGTCGTAAGGCGTAGGGTGCTTATAGGTGAATCGCAGGTAGTTGGGAGAATGTCGCAAGTCCGCTTAGATGAAGCGGGTTCGGGTGCGGGATACGAATCCAGAGATGTATGGATAAGGAAGGTGATCACTCGGTGTGAGGTACTGGATTCGGTCTAAGGTAAAACGATGAAGCGTAGATACTTAGCGACGTCCTTGAGTTGTAACCTCTCCGCAACACGTCTTGAAGATGTTGTAACAAGTCAGATAGGCGTGTATTGAATGTGATATCGGAACTTGACCTCTAACTATTACAGAGCGTCCTCTATCGAATTCGGTCAAGTTCCTCTAGCTATTTATACGGAGACGAGTACGGAGACGAGGCTGGCGAACACTGAAAAGACCCAAGAGAAAAGAATGGCGAGAGATGGCGAAACTGGAAGAACGAGATGGCGAACAGACGAATCCTGTCGAGAGCAGCCGGATTCGGTAGAGGAGGCGAGTTTGAGTTCTCATTTGTCCCTAGGTACGTCGAGTGAGGTTGTCGAGGTCCTGAGTAGAGTGTCGTGTACCTCTAGGTCCCTGTACCTGTTTGTGATATGTGTCGGGAAGGTTTGTTGTTTCGGTGAATGGTGAAGGCGAATGGTAGGGGCGACCGAATCTGCTCCGAGGGAATCGGATTCGCCTCGTCGAGCCGGACTTAGGTGTATGCTGATGTCCGTAGATCGAGCCTGTGTGTCGGTAGTCGACTCACGTGATGATCCCGTAACAGTATATCCCCCTCCGGAATGGCGCGCCCCGAGCCATCGTGTTTCAAGTATTGATCGCATCAATTTGTTTGATGATTGTCTACGACGCGTTTGTTTTGATTTGATGGCGACCGAATTTTCCATTTCGCTAAGGCCCATCGACTCGCGTCGAGTGGGGGGTATAAGCCGGATCCGTTTCGATTGAAGCGAATTGTGCACTTCCTTTCTCGAAGATACTCAACGATGCCGTCTCCTGACGTATCTCCTAAGATTGAAGAACGCTCGACTCCTTCTCGAGCCTCGACCGTAAATCCAGGAGACTCGGCTTCTCGTTCGTGCGATTCGAGTCGATTCGGTTCCTTTGCGTAAACTGATCCAATTCCGCTTTGTGTGTAGAAGTCAACCAAGTCTTTTCCGGAGGAATTTTTGATTTCGAAGAACTCCGCAATATGGACGACACGGACGAGGTCGACCAGAACCTGGCCTCGAATATAAGGGGGCTGTCGGTGACCCGATCGGGGTTGGACGGTAAGCAGATTCGGTTCCGAAAGGCGGTTTCGTTTCGCTGAACTTGTTGGGTTCTTCGCAGGTGGTGAACCGGCTCGTCGGGAAGGGCTCTACGGGGAAGCTCGTAGGCCGACTGGACGCCCGATATCGGGCGAGGACGTTGCCATGACCGGGCAACCTTTAGACTCGGTCGACGAGGAACCGGTTGCGGGGCCGAGTGCGGGTGAGTAAAGCGAATCTGCTTGGATTCTGAATCGATAATTCGTAACCTGATACTATGTCTATTCTTGCTTGATTGTAGCTGTCGTGTCGCCGCCCAGGACTCCTCGAGGGAGGTCGATTCAGCGGAGTCGACAAGGCCGACACAGCGCGAGGTCGAGTCGAGGGAGAGGAGCCGCATCGGCGGGTGCGAGGGTCGATGTCGAGAACATCGATTTGGGGGGTGCTCTCGTGCGCCAACGGTCGGTGAGCCCGGAACCCGGTAAGCGTTTTTGTTTGGTTTCTACCGGATCCGGCTCGACGAAGCTAATTTGGATAATCGCGTTCCAGCTCGGCCCATCGACTTCGAGGGCGTACAGCCGACTCGGCGAACGGGTGCAGCGCCTGCCAACTTCTTTGACGACCTGTCGGAGAAGAAGAAGAAGAAGAAGAAGGTGGTGACGTCCGAGGATGAAGATTCGGACTACCACGACAGCGGTGTACCGGGTGAGTCGCCCGACGCGTCTCCAGGGTCAGCGTACGAACGGCAGATCGAGAGTCGCTATCAAAGAGCGTTCGGGACTCCTGAATTTGCTGGTTCGTACTCGGTACCCGTCGGTCGAACTCGTTTCGCTGAACCAGATTTGCTTGATTTTAGCCGAAAGCGAGGGGGCCGACTCGATCATCGACATTGGGGATGAGAGCGTGATCAACATCGGCACGGTCGGCACTGAGGGAGACGAGTTGGCGTCGACGCCTGAGCCCGAGTGGTGGGATAGTGAGTAATATTCGTATTGTTTAAGCGAAATCGTTTGCTTCGAGCTAATCCGCTTTGTAGCCCACGCTGGTATCGTCAACGCTACCGACCAAGAGATCATCGATCACGAGGCGAGGCCCGGCGAGCCTCCTTTCTCGACTCGAATTGGGACGGCCAGCGAGGTGAAGACCAGGAGGACGGTGGTAAGCTCGTTTCGCTTGCGTTTAAGCGGATTCGGCTAAATCTTGTTCGTTTCGGTAGTTGCAATCACGTCGCCTAGCTCGCGCCCAAGCCAAGGAGGGTACCGTGAACGACCCTAAGTGCGAGGACTGCGAGGGCCTCGGGGACGAGGGGTTGAGTTGGGGATGTATCTCCAAAAGGTCTGGGACCTTGAAGGGTTGTGCGGAGTGCACTGGTCGGCGAAACAAGTGTTCGCTTGCCGGACAGCCGATTCCGGAACCTCCCGGCCGAGAACCCAGCCCCGACACCGCGGCTGCTGCGAATGCAGCACAACCGACTACTCCTCCGGCGACGAGTAGTCTGCTTCCTCGAGCTCGATGGGAAGCGCAGATGGTGAGTCGAATTTGTTTCAACGAACCGAATCTGTTTTAACGCAACCGAATTTGGCAGCAATCGGCCAGAGACCGTATTCAGGTCTACGCCGACATGCTCGAAGATGCGGGCATCAAAAAGGGTCTCTCGAAGGCCTTGGAGGACCTCGACAAGGTCCGGGAGGCGATCGCGGCGGAAGGTGACGCGGCCTTCAAGAGGGTTATCAACCCGTTGCCGGCGCCCACGCCCAAGAAGAGGAAGACCGGAGTCGTGTCGACTCCGAAGGATTCGAAGAAGTCGGGGGGTAAGTCGACTCCGAAGGGTAAGGGGAAGCAGAAGGAAGCGGATCCGGACGAGGACGAGGAAGAGAATGATGGTCGCCCCCCGAAGCGAGCCAAGAAGGATTGAAGCGGTTCCGCTTCGTCTATAATTTGTTTTTTGGGTTTTGTATTTTCTTTCAATCCGAGTCGTTTGATACGATGAATCCTATGCGAGCGAGAAGTCCGAGACGAGATCCAGAAGAGTTCAGAACATATGTTTATCCGTATCTCGGTCCAGCCGGGATCGGTTCAATGAAGTGGATTCGGGAAAGTTACGCTTCCCAACCCGGAGGCTTTGGCTTAGTCGGGAACCGAACGTGGAACTCCTCTTGTGCCTCTGCTGTGTTGTTGAGATCTTCGAGGGGTACCCAATCTTGTCCTTCAGGTCCCGAATAGCCTTTCCATTTGATTAAGTACGCGAATTGGCGTCTCCTGATCCTGCTGTCGATAATCTCTTCGACCTCATACTCGTCATCGTGAGGAGATTCGACAATTGGTCCAGGAGTCTGTACTCGTCCACCAAATGGGTTCTCGTAATGTGGTTCCAACATGTCGATGTGGAAGACGTCGTGAACCTTGAGTGTGGCCGGCAAGCGGATCCGGTACGCATGGGACGAAATTGCTTCCATAATTTCGTAGGGACCGTATCGCTTGTGATCCAGCTTCTTGGTAGGTCGCTTGGTCGCGATGTATTTTGATGAAACATAGACCTTCGATCCCACGGTGAATTCGGGAGGGTTTTGGTGTTTCTGGTCGAAATACTGGGCAGCTCTTTCGTTAGCTGCAGTCATCTGTACTCGCATCTGTTCCCAAACTTCTTTCATATCCCTAGCTTCGATCCTTGCGACGAGAGATTCAGCCCTGTGTTTGTCGAGACTGACGTCGAATCGTGGTTCGTAGCCAAAGGTTGCCATGAAAGGAGAAATACCGGTAGCGCTATGCTTCGCGTTGTTGCAAACGAATTCGGCTAAGGGAAGCAGATTCGCCCAGTTATCTTGGTGATAACTGCTATAGTGCCGAAGGAATCCCTCGAGAGACTGGTTGACCCGTTCAGTGGCTCCGTCACTCTGAGGGTGGTAGGCTGTAGTCAGGTCGCTCGAGATATCAAGGAGCGCGGTAAATTCTTTCCAGAATTTCGAAGTGAATTTGCTTCCCCGACCCGAAACGATCCTGTCGGGTAACCCATACTGCGTAAAGACCTCTTTGAGGAAGATCTTGGCTAAGTCCTTAGCTGTAGAGGTTGTCGTAGTAGGGACAAACTTGACTGGCTTGGTGAATCGGTCGGTGATTACCAGTATCGAGTTGAATCCTTCCGAATTTGGTAGTTCTTCCACGTGATCCATGGAAAGATCCGAATTCGGTTTAAACGGAACCGAAAGTGACTTCAATAAGCCATAAGGCTTGTGTCGATTGGTACGATCTCGCTGGCACACCTCGCAAGATGCGACGTAAACCTTCACGAAGCTGCTCAAATCGTTCCAGTAGTAATCCCTTGAGATAAGTTCGATAGTTCGTTCTCTCCCGGGATGTCCAGCCAGCGAAGCATCGTGTCGTGCCTTTAGTACCAAGAGCTTGATCTCCTCGCAGTCAGGGACGTAGATAGCGTCCTTGTACTTGAGGATACCGTTCTTGGTCCAGGACCAGATTTGTTCGTCTGAAGCGGTTTCGCTTCCGGTAACCAGATCTGTTTCGCCCTGTTTCCAGATTGCTCTGAATGCCGTGGAAGCGAATTCATCAGTCAGCGCGATTGTCTTTACCTTGCTGATGATGCGGTCGATGAGATCTCCATCTCCCCCTTTTTCTGGATTCGCTTCCATCTCGCGGATATACTCGTTCATCGCGGCCAGATCCTGTTCCTCCGCTCTACGGTAGAGTTCAGAATCC